TCAGACAAACAACTGTGATTCAAACATTGTTGAGATAGAAAACTTTCACTCAAATTCGAAAATGACATTAACACTTATTTCGACTTATGCTAAGATATTCTACCATTAGAATTTTAATTAAAAAATAAGTCAGTGTACGTATTTAGCAAATGCACTCAATAATCTGTAATTTCAATTTTGAAAATTATTTTTGTCTTCCTAAATGCCTAATTTATGACAAATAATTGATTTCAATTGTATATGCCTTGTATTACTTGCAAAAAGCTTCAGTTTTGGGAAGTTTTTTCGGGCAGTTTTTTGAATGAAATGAAGATGTTTAATCTTCAAAGAGGATATTGTGAAAGAACAATTATATTTAAAATAGCAATTATAAAAGTAAATAAAAGGAGTTGAGCAAATAGAAGTATATTTTGCTTGTCAGCATAGTGGAAATAGTTCAACAAATTAGCTTCATGGTTTAATTACAAACTTTCTAATGTTATTATTCAAGAAAGAAAATATGCTAAATGTCAAACTGCCGAATTTTCTAAATTTAATTCCTCTTTAAATTCTCATTTATATGTATATTAGTACCATTAATTTACTCGGATGAATTAGCAACGGTTAAGAGGAACATACAACAATAAGCAAATGATTCCTAATGAAGCAAAGCAGTGTGTAAGCTAAATTTAATCAAATGGAAACGTTTTAATAAATTGAAAGATTAAAATTGAATGCCAAGCCGTTACATTATGAAAAATCATCAAATAAAAAGAGAAATTCTGAAAGTTCAAAATACTATTAGCATCCTCCTTCATCTTTCATTTCCTCTCTCTTAGCATCAATTTATGATCGTCATTAATGGTTGTATGCAGTATTTTCATTCATCATTTCTTTGGCTCTTTAATAAATAAAAATATGATACTCTGTTCTACGATGAATTTATATTAGAAAATGTAATAAACTTTTTTCCTCCCACAAATATTCGATTAAAATCAATTTTTAATTAAATCTTTCATGACAGGCAAACTACAATGAATATTTTTTATTTCCTCCTACTTCATCTATTTCATTTATTTTATTCCTTCTTGCCTTATTGAGTAAATACTTGTCGGATCATTATCTACTGCAAGAAATTAAATGGTCTCATCCAATTTAACATAATTCTTAATTAGAGTTGATTTTTGACTGATTTCTTCGAGTGCGCCATCATGTCTGAAGGCAATCGTATTGAAGATTACATAGCGGCGACAACTGTCGCATTGGTTAGTATCTATGGAATGAATTTTTTTGTACTTAATATTATTTATATTAACGCTGTCAACAATCATTTGTGTGTGTGTGTGTGTGTGTGTTGAAATCACAGTGATGTAATTGACGAAATGTTTTAAAAAATCTGTTATGCATCAATTAAAGTAACAATAAAAACAGACAGATGCATCCGAAGTGTGACAGTTCCGCAAATGACTGTATTCGTTGTTTTGATTAGATGAATAGAAGAATGCAAATACTTTAAATTTAAAAAAAGAAAGAAAAAAAACGAAATTCCGAGAATTGCAGTAGTTTCTTGTTAATACATAACTCTACTTAACATCTTATTATATTAAAGTAAAATGAAATCAAATTTACAACAATGCATCATAGATATCGATCTTTGGACTGATTAGCAATGGCATATCCCTATACTTAACACGTACAAGATCACGTTTCCGTAATGCGTTTGGAGTTTTATGCAGTAGTTTCCTGATCTGTAACTTGCAAGCTATATTTGTTCACTTCACGTGGTGTACCATGGTTCTAAGTCTGTAAGTTCTACTTATGAAAATGAAGAAATTTTTTAATTTCTCATTATTTACGAAATTTTCTTCCGGTTTTTTGTTTTATTTGGAAAATTCCATTTGAGGAAGTCTCCAATATTATCGTCACCAGAACTGTTTTCCGTACGATTAGTTGGTGTTATTTTGAACGGAGCATGGTTTGGGTCGATTCTTATGCATTTTTTAACAGCCATCAATAGATTCTTTGCTTTCGTTTATGCGACAAGGTACAATCAGTTATGGTCAGAAGCGAGGACTTTCAAAATTGCGATCATCTTTTGGACAATCTCAATGGTCTACTGCACCCATCATTTGTACGGTAAGCAATTGATTTGATCATATCTTTTGCTTGCAAGAGCATGCGTAACTTGCAGCATGCGCAACTTGCAACATGCAAAAACCCTTTGTCATTCCTTCATGAAAATTGCAGAAGACTGTTCGCTTCTATTTAATTCTGGCTCGAAGTATCGTTGGTTACATCACAATTCTTATCATGGTCAGATATGTGCCAGAATTGATGGTATAGTATCAGTAGCTCTGATAGTAGCAATGGCATGCACTGATTTTATTACTTTACTCAAAATAATTGCATATCGCAGAGTAAGTTAATTTTTTCTGATAAGCAAATACTTTAGGAACTAATTGCATATTTCTTTTATCAAAATATGATATGCAAATTACACGGCAATGATTATTTCTCGAATTTTAGACAATGCGAAGAAATACGACAGAGTCAACAACTGTTAGTGTTATCAATGAAAAAGAAATATTGTTCTTCAAACAGGTAATCATGAGAAATTCAAGCATTTTTGAAGAAAATTGTTTATGAAAAGAGGAAGGAAAAGCTCAAATAGCTTTTAATTACTTTTGTTAAAATCAGTTGATAAATCCCATACCTGCTAATGTGTTCTTTCGAGAGTTGCGTGATTTACCTGTCAAGTTTCATGAAGTTAGATTCTAAAAATGTGTAATTAAATCGCACATTACCCTTTTGCAGTCATGCAAACTTAGTTTGCTTTATATCTCATCTGCTGTTACATTCAACCTTTCTTCATATTTCTTCACAGATAAGTGGATAATGTTCATATCAAATACAATAATATGGAATCTAGTGCATTCGATGGATGGGTAAGTTCCTTTCTAACAGAACTGTGTTTGGGAACCTTTTTACCCTCCTCAGTTTACCAATCACTTAATTTGTTTCAACAGATCGAATAGCGCATGTCTTCATATATCGCTCAGAAGTTCATATTCCAGATTAACCTTCCTACTTTTCAACCGGAAGCTTATCCATAAATCAAATTCCGGTGGAACATCAATAGCACCAGCTGCAAACTTAAATTTATTTCAGAGCAGACAAAGCAATAAAGTAAATATTTCTCTTGCATTATAGGATTAGTTATTTTCACACGAAATCACACATTCTTTTTTTGATTGAAACCTTTTGCAAATTAATTTAATTAGTGTTTTGCGATTCATTACGTTTGATCAAGGCTTTTCCATATCACTGTCAAAGTCTACTTCTGATAAGAGATTTTTTCAACAATACATAATGTTATCACCACTTTTCATCCATGTTTCTTTCTTACTGCAATTTCAGATCTGTCATGCACTTCACTTTGCATTGACTTTTTCTTTGCTTTCAGGCAATGCGATGAAATGCGATACATTTCTTGATAGCTTTTCCTCAAAGCTTTTCCTATTCCCAACTTTCTCTTAATTTTGCTGATTAATAAGAAACTGTCTTGCTAACAGTGATATTTGATTTGTATGAAATCCCAGTTGTGCTGCCTTCAGTTTCAATATGTTAACCTCGCATCTTTCCCCAACATTAATTCTTCTCCATATTTTTGCTTTTTCTCTTTTTTTGCACCTTTATCCTTCACCTTTACTTTTTTACCATTATCCATTACTCTTTTCTCGTTGACACAAAAAAATGTTGTTATCACTGGCATTCAGTGAATCTTAGGTTATGAAAGTAAGTTGCACTTTGAACAAAAATACTAATTTTGTAAACTATAAATTTGTCTACTGATCTCGAGAATGTCAGAAAAGATGACAGAAAGTTGTGATAGTTAGAAGAAAGGAATGATGAAATGGTATACTTTAGAAATTTCCACAAAAGTATTTACAAAGTAATATATTTTATCATATTGAATGAAAACCTGTTATTGAGCAAATTATCCCTAAAATATGTTTCAGTTATTATATTAATTGAAATATATGTCATATTACTTGAAAAGAATGCTGGGAGTATAATTAGTAATAATTACTAAAATAATTGTAGTTTTCATCTTATACCTTCGATATTGAAATTAAAATCAGCAATAAAATATGTTCATTTCGTGCAGTTTTTAAAGGATTTCCCATTTTTCGTTTAATTAGTTAGTTAGTTTAACACACATAAAATTCTAACAAATATGAATTTTTACTTGAGTTTTTCTATTATTTAAACTTTAAGTTTAAGTAATAGAGAAAGTCGAAAAAAATCATAATTTATAGATTTATTCATACATAATTAAATGGTTAAAAATAGAAAGTACTATTTAACATATAAATGAAATTTTCAAAAGGAAAGAAAAGAAAGAGAAAGGAAACGGTTAGGATTAAAAAGGATTGAGATAGTGTGGATTAGTAAAAAGATAATAGTAGAGCACATACTACAGAATGCGAATATTTCAGGGAATTAAAATGCATTGTGTTATGCATTTTATCGGAAATGAAATTGTTGAATTTTTAGAAATTTATTTTTAATAGAATTCGTTCGAGAATTGAATTTCGTGTTTACAATTTTTTCTCTGAAATATTTTGTAATAACTAATCATTTCAATTGTTAGCTAACTTCATTTATTTTCATTATCATCAATTGTCACATGCAATATTGCAAATTTAGGAGATAAGAAAAAAAGGAAAAATTATTTTTCATTACGACTGATCCATTTATCACAAAGATGATATGACTGATCCATTTATCACAAAGATGATATGACTGATCCATTTATCACAAAGATGATATGACTGATCCATTTATCACAAAGATGATATGACTGATCCATTCATCACAAAGATGATATGACTGATCCATTTACCACAAAGATGATATGACTGATCCATTTATCACAAAGATGATATGACTGATCCATTTATCACAAAGATGATATGACTGATCCATTTACCACAAAGATGATATGACTGATCCATTTATCACAAAGATGATATGACTGATCCATTTATCACAAAGATGATATGACTGATCCATTTATCACAAAGATGATAGTTACGAATCTGAGACTTACAATTTTGCAAAAGTTTCAGCATAACTTTATGACGTGCATTATCATCCAATTTTTCTGGCCATTTTGTACAAAATTCTAAAATGTAAAAAATAAAGTTAAGATAAGACATGGTGCAAATTATTGATAAGTGAAAAATCAAATATCCCAAAACATATTAATATAATACTGGACTCATAAAAACTTTGGTATTGATAATATTTCATGGATCATTCACTGACAATTATTACTCCATGAAACATCTATGCTTATATTTGTAAAAATTAATAGTAAAAGCAAACGAACTTTTAATTGCATTACAATGCCTTTCAATAGCTGCTGGAGTAAGATGAAGAAAATTTGGTATTTTGACCAATTCTAAATTACCTTCCTGGAAATAACTTCAAGGAAAAATGAAAAAAAAAAAAAAAAAAAGCTTTTGGACAAATCACATTTGTGAATAACTGGCTTTATGCTAAAATACGTTTTATACTTAATACGAGCCTTCACATAGAAACACTATTAAGTACACTAAACAAAAACATCAAAAAATTAAAATACCGTTTTAAAAGGTGCTCTCCTTTCTGGATGCCTCCTAGCACCCATCCGAATTGGAAGTGGTACCACAGAGGATCGAAATGAACGTGCTACTGGCCAAACACTTGGCCAATCTTGTTCGGTACTCATTTCCTCTTTTCGTGGCCGACGAACCTAAAATTCAGGTCTCGATTATACTGCATAAAAAAAAGATCTAATGGTGAATGTTAAGATTTAGGAGAGATATACAGTAAAACAAAAACTTCAATTTTCAACACCAACCTGGAAAGATGGTGGTCTGCATTGAATCTCATTGAAAAACAAACACAATAATTCTTTGCTTAATTAATATAATCGAAACTTTGTCATCAAATCAATATCTACGTACTTCACTAGAACACTGCATTACATCACCAACCTGTTGAATTCTTGTTATTCAAACTTCAGAAGTAAACAGAAACACAATGTAAGTTCTGGCAACATATTACAAACTAACCATCATTCGTTGAAATATATCACCACGTGGTAAACTTTGCACTTTCATTTGGCCTGTTTCCCTTTCGATGTTTAACTGCATGCGTAATTTGCGTTTTGGATATAAAAATACTGGACGAAACGGCTCACCCTATTAAAATATTAAAATGTTATGTAACAATTATTTTTGTTTATACCGCAATGAAAATAGTTAAGACTTACCAACTCTGCTTAAATTTAAAAACACAATTCCCAACAGGAAACTTCTTTTACGTATATCATTAATTTGACAGATTAGCCATACTATTAAGTATTATTTATAGTGTCAGACATTAATCCACAAGCTTTCTTCCAATTCACTCTCAATTAATTCCAGCAAAAAATTCAAAGAAAGTAAACTGATGAAACAAGATTAGAACGAGTATTAAACATTTATTACTTTACTGTCTCGTTCTTCACTCAAAATTCGTTTCTGTTCTTCTTCACTATCATTAGGGTTGATTCCGGAAACAGCTTGTTTCATTTTTTCAGCTAACGTTGATTGCAAACGACATGTGCTTGTATCCGGTCGTGTGCAAATTCGTGTGCAAATTCGAAGAGTTAACATCTCTTTTAATCTAGAAGCTGAAATTATAAAACACTGATACAAATGCTTGCAAATCGAAATTGACCTGAATTTACACTAATATTTCCACCGTATCAAAACTGTTAACAAACAATTGAGCCACTGTATCAAACAGAAAATTAGCAATTTATTTTTAAAAGATATTCTATTTAGCAAGCAACAAACAATAGAAAGGAAGAAAAAAGGAAGGATTTGGGAGAGAGTACATGTTTTGAAGAGCCTGCGAGAGATTAATAAGACCAACGAAATAGAGTGCGGTATTGCACAATTCAATAGTTTGCAGAGTGAAAGAGTGAATCGTTTTGATAGCAATAGCAATAGGTTCGCACGCTAATTACGATTTGCTGAGGGAATTGCGCTTCAGGCGGTAGTGGTTGTGTACTGGTCGAGGTGCAATGTTACGCTACGTGGAGACGGAGACGTTGCGCTACGTGGAGACGTGGCGTTGAAGAAGTGCTATTAGTATCGATTTGTTATTGAGGTTTCTTTGATTCGAACTGAGAGAATTATCAGTGACTAAAATTGATTATCAGCAGACTGGGTATTGTTGAAAAAAAAGAGTTAAAATGTGAACAGATTAATGTAAAAAGATGAAAAGAACTGACTGTGATTATATTTTCAATTTAATTCTAATTTGAAGTGCGATGGGCTTTCTATTTTATAATATTTAAATGATTAGTTAAATTAGCTTTCTTCAGTAATATACTTGTTTACCCTTTTCCCTTTTATTTGTTAATTAAATTGGTTTTGAATCAAACCAACCAACCATTTCTCGTGCTTCATTTAAATGATGGAACTTATTCACTGTAATATATTCCATTGGTCTAATGAAGAAGAAAAGAATTCATTCATCATTTTTCTTCTTCCAAAAGAAAAAAAGTAAATAAAATAATGTATGTGAAGACAAGAACCATTGTTAGCATTAATAAATGATATGTGGAAGTTTAAAAGAATTGTTTACTGCAAATGTTTCAGCTAAAAGTTACAACACAAGATCCGAGGCAGCTGTATGCTGAATGAAATATTTGAGGCAAAGTTGATTAGTATGTTGTTGCTTCTCTTCCTAGCTTTTCTTTCATCTTTCTCTTTTTTCCTCTTTTACCTGTCAAACACTATCCTTTTTACCTACTTTTGTAGTCTTTTTTTTTTTTTTTTTTTCATTTCTTTCATAATTTCATTCCCATTTAGTAGTAATAGTAGTAGTAACTACAAAATTTGATCACCTTTCAAAGAAATTTTAAAATGTTCGTAAATGTGATGGCTTATTTAAGAGATGCAAGCAGGTGAAAACAACAGTATCAAGCTATCATTCTTCTATTTGCAACCAAACTTCTTTTAAATGATACATGATTTGAAAAAAAGAAAACATTTTCCGCAAAAAAAATGGGAAAAATTAGAGGATGGGAATAAGTATAAAATTGAGGATTTTGCTCAATGATAAAGAAAAGATCAGCTGCTGTTGTCAGTGTTATCAGACGAATGGATACCTTTGATAAAATTCTATCCTATATAGTACGTTCATGAGCAAAAAAAGAAAAACGTCTTCATTTTTAGGAGGAAGAGAAAAAAGAAGAAAAGCAAAAATTTCCCAAAGTTTATCCGATCATCATTATCGAGTGCGGAACAGTTATGCTTAGGCATGTATATTCCTTTCTTTAATTTATTAAAGATTTAAAATGCTGCTTTTAAATCAAAATCCAATTTAGTTTGAATTTTTTGGTCAATTTGACTTTTGATAAATTTTGTGTCTTTCCTTCACTGTACCCATGAACTGTAATTGCTTTCATTTGTAGTTGCTTGTTTCAGTGATATTTTCTGTTGTGCATCACTTGCCTACTATGCTTGTTATTTAGCTAAATCTAAATTAAATTAAAAATTTATGCAATTTATAAAAGTTTTTGAAACATTTCAGAAAATTTCAACGCAAAACCTCAGCTAGTGTTATTTATGAAGCAGATATTATCGGTGTTGCACGGATTGTATTCGATGATAAAGCAATGAAATTACAAGTGAAATTTTTCATCCTTTTACTTTTTATCAGGCTTTTCTAATTCCGTTCCTAATTCAGTATAATAACACAGAAATGGTTATAATCATTTTTTTTTTTTTTTTAAGGAACGCTGAAGAAATTGAAATATTTTTGCAAAAAAAAAAAAAAATTAGAAATGCCGTGGTGTGTTTGTTTATGATTCTTCCATTCCTTCATTTCTGGACTGCTAATCTGAATTGAATAATGGGATGATGCAATTAGTAACAAAGAAGTACATAAATGCTTTTTCGAATATTTATTTAAAAAAAAAAAAATCAAAAAATTTTTAAAAGTTCTTAAATAACAATGGAAATATTACTGATAGGAATGCAAATAATGTCATACAAAGTTATCATTTTGATTTCCTTCCATTAATATTGCTAAGTTATTACCTTTTCTTATCACAATATTATTAACTTTATCAGTTCAGCGAAAGAAAACATTACCGCAGACACTGTCCATCAGAGTTTTTCAACGAAAAGAAGAAAGTTGTTGACAAATAGGAAAAACAGTACGTAAATGAATTAACAATTTTAATTAATTAATTAAAAATGCATTATAACGATAATATCGTAGAAAATATATTCTTTGAATGAAATATAAAACAAATCCAGCAATTTTTTTATTTCAGTTAAAAATTTATCTCAAAATTGATGATATTATATTATCGATGATTAAAAATGACTTTTGTTGTCTTTTTAATTTCTGTTTCGCTTCACATTTTAGATTAACATTGGCCCTTACCTGCTTAACTGCCCTCTTTTCTATTCCAAAGGAAGTAATTTATTCTTCTTCAAGTACTTATTTTTTTTATTTAAAAATGATACTTTTTAAAAGCTACAACAAGCATAGTTCATTGCGATAAAACTACAACTTTAGTTATGACAGTAATCCAAATCAGTGTCAAACTAATTTCACTTTTTTTGTCCATTTCTCAGATATTTAGTTGGAATCGTATTCCACGTTAATTGTTGCGCACATCCAGCCGCCATTCAGCATAGATTCTTCCGGCAGATATAGCTATAATTGAAAGAACTGAAATTTGTTAAAAGAAGTTTTTGATGCATTTGTTCAGCAATTTTTTTGTCTCACCAAACGTTTAATTAATTCAGCAGTCAAAAATTAGTAATATCATTTCTTATTTTTCAGAAAAACATATTCTGTCATATCTCTACATGCATATATTTTACATTTAGAATTAAATTTAATTCGGAATAGTCAAAAGTATTGAAGAAATAAATATTTTATTTACATGTTCACAACATTTATAACTTTACCTTAATATTTCTTTATCAATATAACTTTATCAATAGTATTTCGATTATACACATTTTGCATTACGATTCGTACTATATGAAAACGATATTATGAATGAATACAATCATTTTAGGGTGTACTAATTGATAAAAATGACAAATGCTTTTCATTACGTGGTTGCGTTGTTCCAGACGATAAACAACAATCAACAACAGTCCTATCGACCAATTTTGATGTGATAGATGGTGAAACCAACCATAATTTTAAAGTTCTTTTCCATTTCCTCTTATTTTTTGAATATTTTAAAAGAACATGTTTATTTAATGAATAATAATCATCATATTTTCTTTCAAAATTACCGAAAAACATATTCTATCATATCTCTACTGCATATATAATATGATTTTTAACGAATATAATATTTGAAATACAGTAACACCATTACAATAATTGTGTGTAATAAATACCATGCAGTGATAGTGATTTCCAGATTGATGATGTAGTCATGAAATTAGAAATTGATCCGAAAACAACGCATCATAAAATGATCTTAGAGCATCCATCACTCAAATTTATCACCAAAAGATGGTATCATGGATACAGGTAAATACCTATGAAGCTTTTGCCTAAAATTTTGTATCCAGTTTTACAAAATTATTTTGGTGATATTCAAAAGATAAAAATTAACTATGGGACAGTTAATGCAATTAGAAATCATGAAAAAGAGCTTTCATAATTTCTAATTAATTAATATAACCTTGACACTGTTCAGGGCAGATATAGAAATTAGTGGACATATAAATCCACAAATGGTTGGTTATGGCTGCAGTCTTTTTGTTGGTGATATGACAATTAGTACAATAAGTACACACCATTTTGTACCATTAAAACGACGTTTAAGCTTAGTGGACGATAACATCATAGAATCGTCCAATGATTTTCTAGCCTGAATGTCTTGTATAGGAATAGAAATAAATAATTTGAATATCGACAATTCACCTAATGTGTCTCACTCATTGTTTATTTTTTATCATTGCTCTTTGATCGGTGTGTTATTTGTTTGGATCAAATAAATTGTGATAAATGTAATATGCATGTCAATATGCATCAGTTTACTTAATTATAATTTGAGCAGCTTGCTTTTTTCAACTTTCTGGAGAGAGAGAAAAAAGGTAAGCTTTTCCATCTATAAAATAATCAACTAAGTTCTTATTACCTATTTTTTTAAATGATCTGCTATTCCTTAAAAGTTTTAGCACTTAATTAAAATGTAATTTGATTACACTAGGATTTATTTCTTAGGTTAATGTGCAAAAACGCTCACAAATTGTAGGATTTTTATAAATATTTAAATTTGAAATAAAAATTAGTTTATAATTGTAAAAATGATCTAAAACTATGACTAATTAAAAACTTTATTAATTTCGCTACTGAAATATTGTTAAAAAGCTTAATTATTAAAGTTTGTTTTATTATTTAAGCTGTCAAATGGCACACCGTATATGACCAGTTCCTGTACAGAAGAAGAGAACGTTCGACAAAAAGAACTTCCTAAAGTTAAATTCATTATTAAGAAATATCCATGAATGAAAAGGTGAAGATGAAATCCCAATCCAAGTTGATTTGAATGAAGGATGTCTTCGACCGAGAAAAACTGATAGACCTATAAATGAAATGGATGAATAGTAATTACAGCTAACCGAAAGAGTTGTTGCAGTTCATAGGAACAAATGAGTGAGTGATTACATCATCAAAATTCGTTCATGAAATATTTTCTCTTTTTAATATGCACAATGAAAACATACAAAATGGCATAAGGATTACTGTTTGACGCCGATTTCTCACTTACTTCCGGTTCCTTTGGAGATGCTCGAACAGAGGTACTTCGTGCTGCAGTGAGCCGATCATTGTTTTGGTGGCGCAGGTTGTCAGCACTCCTTTGTCGGACAAATGCGATTCGATACATGACAATTAGTCAGTTTGCACACGACGTATTTTCGAACGAAGTGGCATTCAATGCTGCCATGTCTTGACTGATGTTTACGTTCACTGAATCGTGAAATTTGGGGTTCAGTCTGAATATAACTTGTGGCTTAGAGTCGAACTGAGTTTTCGTATGCTCAAAGGCCTTCCTTGTTTGCTATCGTAGTTGGTGTAGATGAATGCGTTGAATGATAGGTGTATTGTAGCAAATTTATTTGTGAGCAACCACGATATATATGTATTAATCTATAGCAACAATACTGATAATTTTGTAGAGTTTTTTAAATTGATGGTGAAATTAACTGAAGTATGAGTGAGGGAGAGCAGCCTAATTGTAGCTTACTGGTAAGGAAAACAATGATAAAAACTGATCGAGACCCCTATACAAGGATTTAAATCCTTGCATAGGGGGCATTAACTTGCAACAGAGCATGATTATTGAGTAAGGATGATCTTTTATCAGATAATCTTTTGCTCTTTATATAGCAAGAGATGGTTTTAATATTGTAGCTTCCCAAAGGATGACTATCAACTTAGGAGACCTTTACAATATTTCGATGGAACAAAGAAGTAATTCTTAACATATTAAACAATGCACATACCCTTTGTTATCAGATGAAAATGTCTAGACAGGCAAATAAGCTCAACTGTAATGGGAAGATGAGTGTTGAAATAATGATTGCTTACATGATGTATAATTTGAAACACTTTTGCATTTCTAATGTTCAATTAAAACGAATTTTAGTATTATAGATTAATACAATTTTAGCTGATATATTTTGTAAGTTATTAGAGTTTCGCAACAACTGTTCTCTTAGATATTGTTGAAACGAATTTTTCATTATTTATCAACAAAAAGTATATTTCATCATTAGCGTTTAAATTTACTTATTAAAAAAATTGGTGCCAATTTCGTCTTCGCAACCCATTATCCAACTAAAATATTTGTCTTAGCTATATGCCTGTTCTTATTTTCTGCTTTACCTTATTACAAAACTGTGATAATTTCTATTACAAATTCTTTTAACAATCATAAAGTTTGTGTTTAGTAGCATCTAAACGATCTCAGTAATTTCGAAGTGCTTTGCCCTTATAAGAATTTCTCTATATTTGCCTATAATCTTCCTATAAAAATTCTTCTCCCTCCCTATGAGAACTACTTTGGAGAGTATGCATAATATTAGTGAGATTATTCCAATCAGCAGCTTCTCATACCTATTGGACCTGATAAAAACTTGCTGCATGTACGAAATCCCGGCAGAGTTTGATTTTTCAGATGCTCAAAGTTTTTTTGTGATCATATTTTTGTTCTTATTATCTCACATCCATCCTATAATGGATTAATTATGTCTTTCATTGTAACTTTCAAACATCTATGCGAAGAACATCAAAGGTACATTAGAGTTGCAGGCCAAAAAAAATTAAATGTGGATAAACTTAAGAGAGTCAGACCCTAATATTCCGAGAGTTAAAAAGGAGGAGGAAGAAAAGAAGGGACATTTTTAGGAGCTTCCATAAAGGTTGTTCATGTTACTTTTTCTTTTTTTACTAAGTTTCAATTGTGATTTGTTACGCTACTAATTTCAACTCACTTAAATTTCTTTTGATTAAAAAAAGTAAAAGTGCAGAGATAACCTATTTGCTGGTGATAAAAGTCGGTGAATTAAGTGATATGGAAACCTTATCACATATTACGTTGGGTAGAAAAATTAAACTTTTATCACTGATGCATCAAGCACAGCTAGTCAACAATTTTTTAATTTTCAATCAAAGAAATATGAATTCGAATGCTAATTTAATTGCTAAAATGTTACTTATATTAATACATTTCACACTGACATTTGAGTATCAAAAATTACCTATTTCATATAAGAATAATCGATTCAACATATAAAGCTATCAAATCTGTTCAATTCATTGTCTTGTAGCAGTTTGCATCCAATTTGTGACTGGCGCTGTTGTCACTGTTGTACCGGAATTTTTTTTGCAGATAAGGTTGTGGTTAAACAACAGGAAAGTCATTCTAGAAACACTAATGTGTCACTAAATTGTCATATGAGGTTGACATATCAGTGCAGAGCTCCTCAGAGTTACTTTCTGACTGCATTTTATCAAAAAGTTTCAAAATAACATCACTAATAATAGGTGCTCTTGGTGGCAAAATAATGAAGGACCACTTACCCATCCAATGATTGCACCAGAATCCATGATATAGTGGTCGACACAAATAGCACCCACTTATTAGTGAACACAAATGGATGGATAATCAATATAAAAGTATACGATATATAAATTACTCCAAGTATGCATGACTGCAATGACAATAATTTAAAAGTATTGCATAACATTGGCATTTGTTTGTTCGTATTGCTTGCAATTCTCGAAGAAAGCACGCTGAATCTATCGCTCAGTTTTGTAACCTTTAATGGTCATTTCTAAGTAGCCTTCAGTGTAGTTCTAATAATAATTTGAAATTCTGCTCATTACCTGTCTAAAGAACAAGATACCTCGTGCTCTGACTGCTTCACTCGTTGATATAGTGGTATTTGCTCGTATTCTCTAAAGCAGTCATCAAATGAAAATAATAACAGTTAGCACATTGCATTACCTTCAAAAACCCTCTTTTTCAGAAAAATGAGAAATGAGGAAAATGCCATCACTGCTGCTATTATCATGCAATGATTATTAATTCAGCAGAGGTAAACTTACTCTCTGATATGCAAGTATTTTAATCAAAGTAGTGAAATCGAAGCATGCCATTGACGTCACTGTTATCACTGTTATTGAAGCATCAGTGTTGGAACATATTTTGCCAGCAAGAGAACGTGAATAAGAAAATCGATAGGAATAATTCTTATTAAATGTAAGTGAACAATCGCCTTCAAAAAATTTTCTCGTTCAAATAACTACCGTAGTTTTTGGTTAAATTGAAATTAACATTTAAGGATGTTAGAAAAACCTGTTGGGAAGTAATGCATATAAATAACGAATAAGAGTCCTGAAACGGAATTGCTGCAGATAATGCTTGGTTTGAATTAATCGGAAAAAGTCCGTTCATTTTTCCAAGTCGATCAGCAAAATAATGCTTATGGTAGTAATAGTATGAGTGATAATATACGAGCTTACTGTATAAATGTGCCATGCTTATGGTAGTGATAGTATATGAGTGATAATATACGAGCTTACTGTATAAATGTGCCATGCTTATGGTAGTGATGGTATATGAGTGATAATATATGAGCTTACTGTATAAATGTGCCATGCATATGGTAGTGATAGTATATGAGTGATAATATACGAGCTCACTGTATAAATGTGCCATGCTTATGGTAGTGATAGTATATGAGTGATAATATACGAGCTTACTGTATGAATGTGCCATGCTTATAGTAGTGATGGTATATGAGTGATAACATATGAACTTACTGTATAAATGTGCCATGCTTATAGTAGTGATGGTATATGAGTGATAATATATGAGCTTACTGTATAAATGTGCCATGCTTATGGTAGTGATAGTATATGAGTGATAATATATGAACTTACTGTATAAATGTGCTATGCTTATGGTAGTAATAGTATGAGTGATAATATACGAGCTTACTGTATAAATGTGCCATGCTTATGGTAGTGATAGTATGAGTGATAATATATGAGCTTACTGTATAAATGTGCCATGCTTATGGTAGTAATAGTATGAGTGATAATATACGAGCTTACTGTATAAATGTGCCATGCTTATGGTAGTGATAGTATGAGTGATAATATATGAGCTTACTGTATAAATGTGCCATGCTTATGGTAGTAATAGTATGAGTGATAATATACGAGCTTACTGTATAAATGTGCCATGCTTATGGTAGTAATAGTATGAGTGATAATATATGAGCTTACTGTACAAATGTGCCATGCTTATGGTAGTGATAGTATGAGTGATAATATATGAGCTTACTGTATAAATGTGCCATGCTTATGGTAGTCCCGACCACCCAGGACATAACTCCAACTAATATAGCCTTGGATTTCGACCATAACTGATTGTATATGGGTGATAATATATGAGCTTACTGTATAAATGTGCCATGCTTATGGTAGTGATGGTATATGAGTGATAATATATGAACTTACTGTATAAATGTGCCATGCTTATGGTAGTGATAGTATATGAGTGATAATACATGAGCTTACTGTATGAATGTGCCATGCTTATAGTAGTGATGGTATATGAGTGATAATATATGAGCTTACTGTATAAATGTGCCATGCTTATGGTAGTGATAGTATATGAGTGATAATATATGAACTTACTGTATAAATGTGCTATGCTTATGGTAGTAATAGTATGAGTGATAATATACGAGCTTACTGTATAAATGTGCCATGCTTATGGTAGTGATAGTATGAGTGATAATATATGAGCTTACTGTATAAATGTGCCATGCTTATGGTAGTAATAGTATGAGTGATAATATACGAGCTTACTGTATAAATGTGCCATGCTTATGGTAGTGATAGTATGAGTGATAATATATGAGCTTACTGTATAAATGTGCCATGCTTATGGTAGTAATAGTATGAGTGATAATATATGAGCTTACTGTATAAATGTGCCATGCTTATGGTAGTAATAGTATGAGTGATAATATATGAGCTTACTGTATAAATGTGCCATGCTTATGGTAGTGATAGTATATGAGTGATAATATATGAGCTTACTGTATAAATGTGCCATGCATATGGTAGTGATAGTATATGAGTGATAATATATGAGCTCACTGTATAAATGTGCCATGCTTATGGTAGTGATAGTATATGAGTGATAATATATGAGCTCACTGTATAAATGTGCCATGCTTATGGTAGTGATAGTATATGAGTGATAATATACGAGCTTACTGTATAAATGTGCCATGCTTATGGTAGTCCCGACCACCCAGGACATAACTCCAACTAATATAGCCTTGGATTTCGACCATAACTGATTGTATATGGGTGATAATATATGAGCTTACTGTATAAATGTGCCATGCATATGGTAGTGATAGTATATGAGTGATAATATATGAGCTCACTGTATAAATGTGCCATGCTTATGGTAGTGATAGTATATGAGTGATAATATACGAGCTTACTGTATGAATGTGCCATGCTTATAGTAGTGATAGTATATGAGTGATAATATATGAGCTCACTGTATAAATGTGCCATGCTTATGGTAGTGATAGTATATGAGTGATAATATACGAGCTTACTGTATGAATGTGCCATGCTTATAGTAGTGATGGTATATGAGTGATAATATATGAGCTTACTGTATGAATGTGCCATGCTTATAGTAGTGATGGTATATGAGTGATAGTATATGAGTGATAATATATGAGCTTACTGTATAAATGTGCCATGCTTATGGCAGTAATAGTATGAGTGATAATATACGAGCTTACTGTATGAATGTGCCATGCTTATAGTAGTGATGGTATATGAGTGATAATATATGAACTTACTGTATAAATGTGCCATGCTTATGGTAGTCCCGACCACCCAGGACATAACTCCAACTAATATAGCCTTGGATTTCGACCATAACTGATTGTATATGGGTGATAATATATGAGCTTACTGTATAAATGTGCCATGCTTATGGTAGTGATAATATATGAGTGATAATACATGAGCTTACTGTATAAATGTGCCATGCTTATGGTAGTGATGGTATATGAGTGATAATATATGAACTTACTGTATAAATGTGCCATGCATATGGTAGTAATAGTATGAGTGATAATATATGAGCTTACTGTATAAATGTGCCATGCTTATGGTAGTGATAGTATATGAGTGATAATATATGAGCTTACTGTATAAATGTGCCATGCATATGGTAGTGATAGTATATGAGTGATAATATATGAGCTCACTGTATAAATGTGCCATGCTTATGGTAGTGATAGTATATGAGTGATAATATACGAGCTTACTGTATGAATGTGCCATGCTTATAGTAGTGATGGTATATGAGTGATAACATATGAACTTACTGTATAAATGTGCCATGCTTATGGCAGTAATAGTATGAGTGATAATACATGAGCTTACTGTATAAATGTGCCATGCTTATGGTAGTGATGGTATATGAGTGATAATATATGAACTTACTGTATAAATGTGCCATGCATATGGTAGTAATAGTATGAGTGATAATATATGAGCTTACTGTATAAATGTGCCATGCTTATGGTAGTGATAGTATATGAGTGATAATATATGAGCTTACTGTATAAATGTGCCATGCATATGGTAGTGATAGTATATGAGTGATAATATATGAGCTCACTGTATAAATGTGCCATGCTTATGGTAGTGATAGTATATGAGTGATAATATACGAGCTTACTGTATGAATGTGCCATGCTTATAGTAGTGATGGTATATGAGTGATAACATATGAACTTACTGTATAAATGTGCCATGCTTATAGTAGTGATGGTATATGAGTGATAATATATGAGCTTACTGTATAAATGTGCCATGCTTATGGTAGTGATAGTATATGAGTGATAATATATGAGCTTACTGTATAAATGTGCCATGCATATGGTAGTGATAGTATATGAGTGATAATATATGAGCTCACTGTATAAATGTGCCATGCTTATGGTAGTGATAGTATATGAGTGATAATATACGAGCTTACTGTATGAATGTGCCATGCTTATAGTAGTGATGGTATATGAGTGATAACATATGAACTTACTGTATGAATGTGCCATGCTTATAGTAGTGATGGTATATGAGTGATAATATATGAACTTACTGTATAAATGTGCCATGCTTATGGTAGTCCCGACCACCCAGGACATAACTCCAACTAATATAGCCTTGGATTTCGACCATAACTGATTGTATTTTGTGGCATAAACGAAAGCACAAAATCGATTGACAGCGACGAAAAAGTGTACAAAAAGCGATGCATAATATGGTCCGTTCACAAAAATGCCCACTGGTCGTGTGAAGAAGAATTCTGGCAATGATAGTTTGTGAGATTTCCTAGAAAAGTTTTGTTAACCAAATAAAAGGAATATTAAGGATAGAAGAAAAGGGAGAATATTCAGTTAGTAAGCGCAACTTACACGGTTAAAACAATGATACACCATGTGGAGAGTGAAAATATAGCTTGCAAGTTGCATATTAGGAAACTTGTGCATAAAATTCCAAATGCGTTACGAAAACGTGAACCCGTAAGTGTAATGTAGAGTGACATTCCATTACTGAGTAATCCAAAAATCGCTACCTAAGATGCATTTGAAATAAAAGTGTGAAATTGATGGAAAATACTGTTCTTGAATAGAATTCAGACTGTAATCCGTGAGCTTCAACTTGCACATTCTTGCTCGTTTCAATGCTCGTTGAAAAAGCTTACATCCTTTTTAGTATCTAATGGGAAGAAAATTGTCTTTGCATCGTCCTTGGTTTTCAGCTCTTATCTCCGTATGATTATCTAAACCAAAACTACCAATTAATTAATTAATTATGTTGATAAAATACCAACCATAGTAATGCAGGCTATTGCAATATCGTCTTCAAGCTCACTGTTTTTACCCATTATGGCACACTTGAAGAAATTGGCGAAAAATAGAATTAAGTTAAAAATTTAGTTAAATTTGATCATTTAGCCTTGTTGACCACGCTTGATGGTTCGAGAAGTGTTATTGAACAAAGCTAGGAAAATGAAGCTAGGAAGTAGATGAAAAGAGGTAAGGCAAAGGTACATTATCACCACTACTTATTTTCATTAGTGAGAATTCAAATTGAATTTAAGTGGGAATTTTTTGCCCTTACATAAGAAATACATCGGTGTTGTAAACAAGAGATATTTCATGGAAATATGTTTATAGATCTCTTAAAACAATGTATAAAGCAAAATCAGTTATTTCAATGCATACAATCTTTCAAAACATCGAATAATATTTGATTAGTCTTGAAAAGCCCAAAGCTTGAAAAGCCACCGACAAATGTACCGCACCTAGCTAATCGCTAAAACAACCAAATTAATTTGCAAAAGATTATAACCGAAAAAAAAATGTGCAATTTCATGTGGAAATAACCAATCCGTCACATAAAAATGCATGAGAACTATTCACTTCGTCGATTTACTTGAAAATTTGTAGCTGGTGCTATTGATGTTCCATCGAAATTTGTTTTGCAAATAAGCTTCCGGTTGAAAACCAGAAAAATCAATCTGAAAAATAAACATTTTCTTTTGAGCGATCGATACTGAATGTATGAAGACATGCCACCTGAACTGTTGCATCAAATCAAATAATTAGTAAGTTTATAAAAACAAGGGTTTTGGGAAATAATTTTAACAGAAAAAAACTTACCCATCTAGTGAATGCACCAAAAGTACTGCGATCGTGCTTGATATGAACAGCATCCATTTATCGGTCAATAAATATGAAGGAATATTGTATGTTACAGCACATGAGATGTAGAGCAAGCCAAGTTTGCATGACTCAAGAGTGATATTAATATAATTGATATGAACTAAGGAATTTAAAATTCAAGCTTTAAACGGAATTTAAACTTGATCGACTAACTCTTGCAGCAATCAAGCTTTTCCTCACTTCTTTCATAAACATTTTTTTTTCAATTTCTCATTATTACCTGTTTGAAGAACAATACTTCTTTTTCATTAATAACACTAACAGTTGTTGACTCTGTCGTATTTCTTCGCATTGTCTAAAGTTCAAGAAATAATCGTTGTCTGTAATCTGCATATCAGATTTATCAGTTCCTTAAGACATTTCTTTATCAGAAATTAACTTACTCTGTGATATGCAATTATTTTGAGTAAGGTAATAAAATCAGTGCATGCCATTGCTACTATCAGAGCTACTGATACTATAGCATCAATTCTGGCACATATCTGACCATGGTAAGAAGTGTGATGTAACCAACGATACTTCGAGCCATAATTAAATAGAAGCGAACAATTTTCTGCAATTTTCATGAAGGAATGACAAAGGATTTTTGCATGTTGCAAGTTGCGCATGCTGCAAGTTACGCATGTCTTGCAAGCAAAAGATATGATCAAATCAATTGCTTACCGTACAAATGATGGGTGCAGTAGACCATTGAGATTGTCCAAAAGATGATCGCAATTTTGAAAGTCCTCGTTTCTGACCATAACTGATTGTACCTTGTCGCATAAACGAAAGCAAAGAATCTATTGATGGCTGTTAAAAAATGCATAAGAATCGACCCAAACCATGCTCCGTTCAAAATAACACCAACTAATCGTACGGAAAACAGTTCTGGTGACGATAATATTGGAGACTTCCTCAAATGGAATTTTCCAAATAAAACAAAAAACCGGAAGAAAATTTCGTAAATAATGAGAAATTAAAAAATTTCATTTTCATAAGTAGAACTTACAGACTTAGAACAATGGTACACCACGTGAGAAGAACAATTATAGCTTGCAAATTACAGATTAGAAAGCTACTGCATAAAATTCCAAATGCATTACGGAAACGTGATCTTGTACGTGTTAAATAAAAGGACAAGCCATTGCTAATCAGTCCGAAGACCGATATCTATAATGCATTCTGTTAAAGTAATAAAACCGACCAACTTTATGAATTTGTAATAAGAAAGTTACAATTTTTATGGCATTAGTAACATGGTAATCTTCAAATCCCGTGTTTACGTTTATGATCCTAGGATTTTAACAAAATCAAATATCAGTGCCTCAATATTTGTTGCAAGTACTTATATTCTTTGTGTTAGCTGCTAGAAAGGGACTGAATGATGGTTCTATTTTTATTTAAACCAAATTTAATAATCAATTATATATTTGGTGAAATACTAACCGCAGCGATGCAGCCCATTGCAATATTGTCTTCAAACTCACTATTCTCAGACATTGAAAAAATCTGCCAAAATACTATTACTTTTAACGATTAAGCATAATTCGATAAGCAAGTTAAGCCTTTTCCATTATGGGCAATGATTCGACGAGTGCTATCGAATAAGACATTGATGGAAAGGATAAGTCAAAGATATATTATTACTACTTATTTTCATTAATGAAAGCATGTTCTCAAATATTAAATTTGAAATTGAATTTAAGGGTAACTAGGAAATTTCTACCCTTAAATAAGAAATACACGGGACGTTGTAAACAAGAAATGTTTTCCTGAAGATATGTTCATACTTCTATCAACGCAATTAGGTTAAGAACATCGATGATGGTGAAATTTGAATTTTCGTTATTCCGGTATTTTACTATGCTTCCTATTAATATATAAAATAAACAGTACATAAAATATTCTGATTGATTCAGCATTACTATGACATTTCTTGACAAGGAGAGATAGGCTTTGGCAATCATTCTACGAGGACAACTCTGATTACAAAAAATTTTTGTTTGTAATCAGAGTTGTCCTCTTAAACAAAAAGTTAAACATTAAACAAAAAGTTTAATGATCATTTGTGTATTTTGTTATACATTACTTTTCATTTCCATCTTAAGGAACTTTCGGTATCAGTTCGAGATCGTGAACTAAGTATTGAGGGTCATCACAAAGAACGTAACGATCAATCAGGACATGGCAGCATTGAATGTCACTTCGTTCGAAAATACGTCATGCCAGAAGAAGTGCAAACTGACACTATCTAATCGCATTTGTCCGATAAAGGAGTGCTGACAATCTGCGCCACCAAAACAATGATCGGCTCACTGCAGCACGAAGTACCTCTATTCGAGCATCTCCAAAGGAACCGGAAGTAAGTGAGAAATCGGCGTCAAACAGTAATCCTTATGCCATTTTGTATGTTTTCATTGTGCACATTAAAAAGAGAAAATATTTCATGAACGAATTTTGATGATGTAATCACTCACTCATTTGTTCCTATGAACTGCAACAACTCTTTCGGTTAGCTGTAATTACTATTCATCCATTTCATTTATAGGTCTATCAGTTTTTCTCGGTCGAAGACATCCTTCATTCAAATCAACTTGGATTGGGATTTCATCTTCACCTTTTCATTCATGGATATTTCTTAATAATGAATTTAACTTTAGGCAGTTCTTTTTGTCGAACGTTCTCTTCTTCTGTACAGGAACTGGTCATATACGGTGTGCCATTTGACAGCTTAAATAATAAAACAAACTTTAATAATTAAGCTTTTTAACAATATTTCAGTAGCGAAATTAATAAAGTTTTTAATTAGTCATAGTTTTAGATCATTTTTACAATTATAAATTAATTTTTATTTCAAATTTAAATATGGATATTTATAAAAATCCTACAATTTGTAAGCGTTTTTGCACATTAACCTAAGAAATAAACCCTAGTGTAATCAAATTACATTTTAATTAAGTGCTAAAACTTTTAAGGAATAGCAGATCATTTAAAAAAATAGGTAATAAGAACTTAGTTGATTATTTTATAGATGGAAAAACTTACCTTTTTTCTCTCTCTCCAGAAAGTTGAAAAAAGCAAGCTGCTCAAATTATAATTAAGTAAACTGATGCATATTGACATGCATATTACATTTATCACAATTTATTTGATCCAAACAAATAACACACCGATCAAAGAGCAATGATAAAAAATAAACAATGAGTGAGACACATTAGGTGAATTGTCGATATTCAAATTATTTATTTCTATTCCTATACAAGACATTCAGGCTAGAAAATCATTGGACGATTCTATGATGTTATCGTCCACTAAGCTTAAACGTCGTTTTAATGGTACAAAATGGTGTGTACTTATTGTACTAATTGTCATATCACCAACAAAAAGACTGCAGCCATAACCAACCATTTGTGGATTTATATGTCCACTAATTTCTATATCTGCCCTGAACAGTGTCAAGGTTATATTAATTAATTAGAAATTATGAAAGCTCTTTTTCATGATTTCTAATTGCATTAACTGTCCCATAGTTAATTTTTATCTTTTGAATATCACCAAAATAATTTTGTAAAACTGAGTACAAAATTTTAGGCAAAAGCTTCATAGGTATTTACCTGTATCCATGATACCATCTTTTGGTGATAAATTTGAGTGATGGATGCTCTAAGATCATTTTATGATGCGTTGTTTTCGGATCAATTTCTAATTTCATGACTACATCATCAATCTGGAAATCACTATCACTGCATGGTATTTATTACACACAATTATTGTAATGGTGTTACTGTATTTCAAATATTATATTCGTTAAAAATCATATTATATATGCAGTAGAGATATGATAGAATATGTTTTTCGGTAATTTTGAAAGAAAATATGATGATTATTATTCATTAAATAAACATGTTCTTTTAAAATATTCAAAAAATAAGAGGAAATGGAAAAGAACTTTAGAATTTAACTTTAGGCAGTTCTTTTTGTCGAACGTTCTCTTCTTCAATTGTTTTATGCTATTTCATTACAAAAGCAATTAATCGTTGTTCGAAATATTCTACTTTGATTGGTGTTATCATTCGCTATTATATTATCAGATGAATTGTTGCATGTTTCATCTTTATCAGAGTGTGCTTACTTATTATTGACACCAAGAACTGGAATTGCAGAGAATAGTTTCACACTGATATATTACCGAAAAGCCAGGGAAGATTTGTACTTCCGATAACTTGAACCATACCGCTCAAAGCCATAACTTTTGTTTAGTCGACCAAAATGATGCATCTTGTTATGCTTTCAGGCATTCTTCGCTTTTCGCAGATACTCCTTTGTCGTAGAGAAGCAGCTTCATATATCTATATGAGGTTGCGAGCAGTACTAGAAATGACATATATGACAGGTCTCAGCTGAAGGGTAAACACGTGGATATACTAATATCCAGATCAGCCATCCTAAGGATAACTCCAAACTGGATAGATGGAGCTGGCTTAGTTCTGCAAGTCCGTCCATCCTAAGAAGTGATATTAAAGATATCTACGATCTGACGACTTCTTTTTCAAATAAGAAATTTAAACAGTTAAAGACTTAAGCTAGCGTTGATTGTTACTCTACCCAATTTTTCATTTTTGTTAAGCATATTTGATGCTTGAATTTACGAAATGAAAGATACTTCATTTTTCTACTTCACTTAGCAGTGAAGAGCGGCAGTACATATCGGAAATTCTGTAATGAGAGTATTTTCAACACAGAATTAAACCATGGTGACAGGACAGAGAAGTGGGAACACCAGCAATGTGGAGAGAAAAATGAAAAACAATTGCAAACATTCAGAGTAATCTGTATTTTGTATAGATACTATTATAACTAATATATCATATTAGATAGGGAAGCTTTACTAGTATTTATAAGGGAACGGGGAATTAGATGGAAAAGCTTTTCATATTAGTAAAGCTTCCCTATCTAATATGATAACATATTGGTAAAGTTTTCCTGTCTAATTCCCCATTTCCTGATAAATACTAGTAAAGTTTTCCCATCTACTTCTCTGTCTCTGTCACCATGATTTGATTCTGTGTTGAAAATACTTTCGTGCTGCTGCACTTGCAGAATTTCGGATATGTGCTATCGCTGGTTTCTATTGAGTCACTCCTTAGAACCCTCCTTTTTTGGCAATGAATTTGGCTTCTTGTGATTTTCATTGGTCACAAGCGTACAGCTATACAATCCTTGATCCTTGTTTGAACTCCAGCTGTGTTGAACCATATATTTACTTCTTCATTTGACTCCTTTAAAACTATGTACCCGTTATCTTAACAAACAACCTAAACTGTTTGAATTTCTGTTCAGTTCTTCAAAAGAATCGATGTGTCCAATTTTCTTTCTTTTCTTTTGAAAGCTATTCTTTTTTTAAGCTTCATTATCTTCAGTTGTTCCCCGTCATTTGAGATAGTAAAATTTGCCTAATTCTATTTCCAATCTCTCGAACGAACAATTCAGAGTAAGATTAAATCATGAATGTTAAGAAGCAACTGAAGGATTAATGAATAATCTAGTTTATTCCGAATAGTTTAGAATTCTTACGATGAGCTCGAAGATAATCAGAACAGATCGAGAAAAGATAAGAGAAAAACAAACATTTCATAAAGCCATCGCAGATCACTTCGATCTATGATTAAACATTAACCTGTCACTGTTCGCTAACCAACAATTTCATTGTCGTCTCATTCATGCATGACACCGATCCATCTGTCTATTACTGCTGTCCCCAAGCCACTTCATTTCCCGTTTTTCACCCATTACGTCATCTGTCACTTCCTCTCTTTCAAAAAACTATTTATTAGCTTTTTTTATCAATTCTAAAGCTGTTGACAAGACAAATTTTAACTTTTTTTAATATATATTTTGAAGTTTGTTTTTTCATCAAATCGCATTATTCTTTTTCATACAAACATCAACCAAAAGAAAGATATTCGTTGATCCTTCACTTATTCATTTGATTAGCAAAACTCCATTATGAGATTCTGGAAATAGAATTCGTTGTTCAATTGATGAAGGTCAAAGTTGAGGAAGTAAAGAAAAATAAAGGAAAATTCAGAATATATATTAAGAGAGTTAACATTTACATTGCCATCATCTTAAGAGAACTTTGAACATTTATTCATAAACATTTATCCATATTTACAACGCTTAATGTCGCTTTTATGTAAGAGGAATGGTAATAATAAGTCTTTACATTAATCACTGTTAACATTTATGTAATCATGTCTTCTTCAGCAATAGCTATAGGACCATTATGTTTGCTAAGAAGCACTCTTATTAAATTCAAAGTAATTTTCAAAACTAATTTTTGACTTATTTCTTGAAGTGCATGATAATATCTGAAGATACTGACAATGCAGTGGTCTGTTTATAGTTGCTACTTTCCAAGATTTTTACTCTTAAGGCATCACATCACACTGTTTGTCGAATTCCAAGAAAAATTTAAAATACAAACTGAATAGGCATACAATAACTAAATTTGGATTTTAATTTTAAAATAATCAAATCAATTGTTGGGAAAGCTTGAAATTGATGGTAACATAATATGACTTTTCGTTAAAAAAATGTTTATATACAAAAAATGTGTCATTTTAAGTAGTTATCATCAATCAGTAAATCCTCACTGTCTTGCATTAGTTTGAATCCAGTTCATATGTATAACTGGTAATGTTGTCGATGCACTGCAAATAATTGTGCGATTGAAAATCAGAAAGGTTAATCTGAAAACCGGATAAGTATCTTTTGGGTGATCATTGAATGAATGGATAATGATCCAATATGCATAAAATTAATTTTAAAAAAGTTACACACAAGATGTCTAAAGAGTATTAAAAGTATTAAAATGGATGAACGAATTAGAATCCGAAGAATTACGGGAATATTTAAAATAGAATGGTGAAAATTAAAAAAAAAAAATTTTGTACATATGCTATAAAATTAATTAGTCGTGAGATGATTGCATCAGAAATTTGATAAAAGTTCTAACTTTCAGCTGCTATCGAAAATGACATGGCAGTGTTTACTGGTCAAGAAATAACTGCCATTGCTTACCCATCTAGAGACTGTGTCAGAATCCATATTATTGTACTAGAAGCAAACAGAAACCATTTGTCGGTTGATAAGTATGAAGCAGTATTGAACGTCGTAGCGCATGAAATGTACAACAAGCCAAGTATGCACGACTATAAAAATAATTTCATGAATATTTAGACAATTAATTTTCAGAAAAAAACATGCTATAAAAGATAAAAAAAAAAAAGAATTAATTTTCGAGAATTTCTACAGACAAAAGAAATTCTCGTTGTCATTTGATCTCTTTTTCTAAAACTCACTTTTTTTTTGTAATGCTTCGATTTTTTGTTTATTACCTGTTTAAAAAACAATATCTCTCGTTCGTTAATAGCGCCACTAGTTGACAATGCCACATTTTTCCGCATTGCCTGGAATTCAAGAAAAAAAGCATTTGAAAAGATTGCAAACTAGTCTTACTGTATATCTTAAATGCATGAAATATTGCCACCTTGTGAATATCACTATGCACTGATACAATCGTTCATCAGAAGTGGAAAAAAAAAAAGAAAAAGAAAAGAACTTACTCTTTGATATGCTATTATTTTGAGTAAAGTAGCGAAATCGATACATGCCATTCCTAGTACTATTCCTACAGTTGCAACAGTATCAGTATAGGAACATATTTTACCATAGAAAGAACTTTGAAAGGAAAAGCGATAGTTCGAACTTTCATTAAATACAAATGAGCATTCTTCTGAAAAGAATATTTTCTATTTTAAAAGAAACTAAATTAGCAGAATAAGTAAACATCCTGATATCATTTTATGATACTATGAAAGATAACATTCGATTTAAGCTTGGGGACAGTTTGTTTGTTCGTGATCAAAATAATGACAATACTTTGAAATATTTGATACCGTAATCAACATAGTCATCAATTAATAGTGAAGAATTCATTTAAGTCTTCACAAACTTCTATATATTTTATTAAACAATCTGATTTATAATTGAAACAGATCGAATAGCTTCATTATTATAGATTTACTATATAGATGTTGGGTGGAGAAGAGTAGTCCAAATGCCCAACAACAGATTCCAATAAAGAAAGCCCTGGATTTCGACCATAACTGATCATATTTTGTAGCATAAACGAAAGCACAGAATCTGTTAAGAGCAGTGAAGAAGTGCACTAAAAGTGATCCAAACCACGCTCCATTTGCTAAAACGCCCACGAATCGTACAGGAAATAGTTCCGGTGATGATAGTATTGGAGATTTCCTGAAGTAGATTCTTCGTTTTTTTTTTTTTTTTAAACAAAACAAAAAATGAAAGGAAAATTTTGGAGAAAAAAATGAGAGGAAGATTTTCCGTAATGTAAATGAAACTTACAGACTTAGAACAATGGTACACCACGTGAGAAGAACAATTATAGCTTGCAAATTACAGATTAGAAAGCTACTGCATAAAATTCCAAACGCATTATAGAAACGTGATCTTGTACGTGTTAAATAAAAGGACAAGCCATTGCTAATCAGTCCGAAGACCGATATCTATAATGCATTCTGTTAAAGTAATAAAACCGACCAACTCTATAAATTTGTATGAGGATGGTAATATTCAAAATTCAGTGTTTACGTTTATGATCCTAGGATTTTTACAGAATCAAATATCAGTACCTCAGTATTTGTTGCAAGTACTTATATTCTTTGTGTTAGCTGCTAGAAAGGGACTGAATGATGGTTCTATTTTTATTTAAACCAAATTTAATAATCAATTATATATTTGTTGAAATACTAACCGCAGCGATGCAGCCCATTGCAATATCGTCTTCAAACTCACTATTCTCAGACATTGAAAAAATCTGCCAAAATACTATTACTTTTAACGATTAAGCATAATTCAATAAGCAAGTTAAGCCTATTCCATTATGGGCAATGATTCGACGAGTGCTATCGAATAAGACATTGATGGAAAGGATAAGTCAAAGATATATTATTACTACTTATTTTCATTAATGAAAGCATGTTCTCAAATATTAAATTTGAAATTGAATTTAAGGGTAACTAGGAAATTTCTACCCTTAAATAAGAAATACACGGGACGTTGTAAACAAGAAATGTTTTCCTGAAGATATATTCATACTTCTATCAACGCAATTAGGTTAATAATGCTGGTGATAATGATGATGATGAGTATTTATGGCACTTGCAACAATTGCATAAAATATGCAATGTATTTGGATCCATCCGCAAACATTAATGAATGTTAAAGACGAAGTAATTATTATATTTACTATTTCCGTTTAAAATTTTATTCCGTTAATAAAACTTCATCACAGATGTTGTTGCATTCGCGTTATTATTGTTAATGGTTTAAAAAAATCTTTGCATTCTTCTTAGTTAAAAATTTTGTTCAAAAGTTAACGACGAATTGATACATTCATTTGGTTTTTTATTTCATTTAAATAAAATTTAAGGGTAACTAGGAAATTTCTACCCTTAAATAATAAAAAAATTTCAATTATTGAAGAGGAAGAACTGACGCAAATTCATTTCGATACATTTTTCTGAGAAAGTACTTTTCCTATTTATATTCAAAATCATTCAGTATCTCTTCTCAGTTTTCTAAAATCTAAAACATCTTTTCAACAACGGAATAATTGACAATGAGAAGAGAGAGCTGATGAAAGAAAAGCTCAATTTTATTTCTTGAGATTTTGATTTGGAGCGCTTGACGTCCTTGCATTGTTAAATGGTTACAATTGGTTTTACAGCAAATTTCGTCCGTATAAAAATCTTAATTTTTGCTGTTTCCAATTTCAATATGCTTTTTATCAGTTTACAAATAAAATTTCATTCTGTACAAATGGTTAAGTGCCGAGAAGATTTGATTTATTCGGTTCAATGGTGCAAGAAGACTTTGCTTACAAAGTTATATAGATCTATTTTTAAAACGAAATGTTAATTATAAGATAATATGTTTAAAGAAGTCTAAAATCATATGATGCAAAAGACAATAAAAGAAATCTTCAAAGTGAACATTCCGCAAAAAATAAATTCTTCATAAAAGATGTAGGTAATAGCTAATGAAGTGAATTTTCAAGAAGAAAATAAGAAAGTCATCTTCAATTGTAGAACAAAAAAAAAACTGTTCGAGAAGACAATTAAAGCATGAATTTCTTAATGAAACTAACAACTTAGCATGTTAGTTGATTTATTAAATTAAATCTTCTTTATCAGTGCTATTTGTGATCATTTTGCAGCAATTGTCTCCTGACTACGACAACATATAATGTCAAATATAGGTCAAACATCAAATTAGCAATGGGTCTATTTTTAATACTACAAATGTTATTTGTTATTAAGACGATATCAAATAAATAACATTTAATTTTCTCACAATGCAGTGGTAAAACATTCGATACATTTTTGTGTTCACCATCAGTTTTTTTATGCATAAAGCAATGGAAAATGTCTGAGAAATAACTTTAAAATAATATTGAGAATGGATGACAATGAAGAAATTGGAGTTTGATTTCATCGTGTAAATAAATTTTGTTACATATTAAAGCCAATGCCTAAGAGAAAATTTCACATGAATCTGTTGAAATCCATCTACTATTATATTGTATGAAGGACGGTAAATCTATATTTGATGAAATTAGAATCAGTGTTAAAACTGATTATAATGGTATAATAAAAACTGAAAAATTCACAGACTTCAAAAAAACGGAAATACCGATTTCATGGTATTATTATAATCAGAATGACTCCAACATGACTCTAACTTTTATGAATTTTTCAGAATTTGGATGGCTATTAACAGATTTCTAAGAACCATGCGGATTTCAAAAAGCTTATTCTTGTGTTAATAAAATTTTTTTTTCTTACTCTCAATATGTTTTACTTTGTTTCTCATAATATTGGCCAAGCAAACGATTTAAGTCCCGAAAACTTGCAGAAAACGGATTTTGATTGTCTCTTCGCTGTTGTATGAACAATTAACAACATCAATGCATAATTAGAATAATTTAGGAAATTCTTTACTTGTATAAGAAAAAGAATACTTTTCAATTTCTCTTTTTTGTCAGAATAATATTCTCTAGAGTAACATTTCAAGTTACCACGAAACAATCGCTAACAAACAGATCACTAATCTTTTTACGAGATGATCACCAGCAACAAGATCTACTCTAAATCTTTCTACTACCGGAATTTGTATATTTAACCTTTAATTTCTGATATCCTTGAACTGAAAGCTTTGTATTTTTCTACCGAATGATTCATATAAAGAGCTTAAAATTTTTTCACTTTTAAAAATTATTAATTATGTGCTTTTTAGTGTCTTTTAAGATGTCAATTCGGAAAATAAGACTTATAAAGAGTTGCAGATAAATAAATGCTAATACGGAAAATGAGAGTTTTGAGGAGCTGCAGAAAACTTTAACGAGCTGACTTGTTTGTCGAACCAACACATATTATTAGTGTGCCAGCTTGTGTATTATTATATAAATTAATGAATCAGACCGTGTGACATCCTATAATACGAAATTATAATTTCACTTCTTTTGCTTATTTTGAAACTGATTTGAGATTGCCACTGCTACTACATAAATGCTTGTCGCCCAAATCATATTCCGGTTGAAAATTCATGGAAAGCAAACGATAATTTTGAAGTGAATAATGAAAGTGAATGCAGTATAGAAAATTAATTTTAAAAAACTTAAATCTATATAAATTTAGACACTATTCAGTGATTATGGATTTCGTGCCAAAATACAAAACTGGAAAATTAAAACGTACCTCATTGTATAAAGATGTGCTGTCAAATTGATCAACAAATAGAACAATAATATTTGACAATAAAATTTTTGAATTAAAGAAAACAAAGGAAGAAAAAATTTTTCAATCTTTACATATCCAATAAGTTATTGAATCAGGATCCATATTATAGTGCATGATGCAAACAGTAATAAATCACTGACCAACAAATACTGCAAAAAAAAAAAATGCAAAGTAAGCCAAGCAGATATGACTATATAAAGGTGATTTCAATGTATACTAAATATAGAACTTGAATTTCTATCCATTACCTGTTTGAAGAATAATACTTCTTTTTTGTTGAAAGCACTACCAGTTGACATTGTAACATTTTTTCGCAGTGCCTGAAATTCGGTAAACAATCATTGCTGTATGTCAGACTTTAAGCTTAATTTGCAGGGAAAAAGATGCATGCATGAAGAAGCGTTTATTTAAGCAATCATTTGTCAAAAGTAAGCTTACTCTGCGATATGCAAGTAATTTGATCAAAGTAATGGAATCAAGGCATGCCATTATCATTACTATAAATACTGATAATGCAGCATCGGCATTGCTACAAACTTTGCCATAATAGGAATTTCCATAGAAAAAGCGATAAGATGAATTTTCATTAAATAAAAGCGAACAATCTTCTGTAAACAGTTTCTGTATAAGAATCAGTACAAAACTACAAACATAAAACCAATGTTAATAATAATTTAAACCATTAATAGATTCTTTTAAAGACAGTGATTCGTTTGAGTGTTCATTGAGATTGAGATAACAAATTCTCTTTCAAGGCATTGTAAAAGATATCCATCACTCAGTGAAATTGTCAAAGTATTTGCTGCTTAGTAAAGGTGACAAAGCATCTGCTTAAATATGATAAGGGTGGTAATAAAGGTAAAGGTAAAGGTTGATATAGGTGACAATCTTTTCCTATCATAACAAACTTACTATATAAATGTAGCATACATAAGGATGTTCCAGTTGTCCATGAGATGATTCCAACAATTAAACTTCTTGATTCTGACCATAATTGCTTGTATTTTATTGGATATAAAACAGCACATAAACGATTAAGGGCCACAAAGAAATGCATCAAAAGTGTCCCATAATATGGGCCATTTACTAGAACGCCTACTAGTCGAGCCAAAAATAACTCTGATGACGACAATATTGGAGATTTTCTGAAAAAAGTTTTGTAGGAATAACAAGTAACTTTGGCATGAATATTCAACAAATTAATGTAACTTACAAAGCTAAGACAATGGTACACCACGTGAAGAGCACAGATATTTCAGAATTTAAATCGAAGTTACTAATTAATTAGTTTTTTGAGTGAAATATCTACCAGTACAATAAAAAACTTTGCAATGCTCTCTTCAAAATTATTGCTTCTGACGTTGTGGTGCTGTATTTGTGCCTGTAAAAAAAAAAAGAATTAACAATAGGGAAAGTATTACCCATATAGATCTTAATATTTGAGGTTTTACCAACAAGTGCGTAAAGTGAAGCACTTAGCTTGAATTCTTTGAAGTATAAATAATAGATGAAATGAAATTTTAGAACTATGTATTACTGATATTTAATTGAGCATTTTCTTAATTTTTAATAATAAATTGTTACCAAAAGATGATGAAAACAAGATAATGAATTCTTTGAAGTATAAATAATAGATGAAATGAAATTTAAATTACTATTTCAATAATTTAGCACATTTTCATTAATGAGTGTCACCAAAAGGTGTGCAATATATGCTAAGTATTCCTTGTTTCATACCACTCTTCAACCTAAGGAAAAAATGATTCAAGCGTTGATATCGTCAAAGAGTAAATTCAGTTGAAATAGTTGAACAGCAAAATTTCAAAGGATTGCATTTGCATTGACAAAGATTAAAAAAGCAAAATAGACATGTTGGAATGATTACTAAGTTTACTGAAATCAACCTGACAGTTTTTACATATCGTTTCGCTTACACTTTTCTCAGAATACATGTGGCAAAAATATTCAGTATTTTGTTTTCAACAAAATAATGAATTTATTGAATTTAAATTACTTTCTGGCAGATTTTAATTATTTGTTCTATACTTTCATAAAAGTTCTCGATTGCTCATGTAACGACAAAAGAATATTCAAAACTTTCATCACTGTGAAGATTTGTTTCTTCATGTATCGATGAACAAAAAATATAAATTTGATGCAACAGTTTTAAGGAAATCACATTTTAGCAATTTTCAACCAGTAGAAAATCAATGGAAGTAAGCTGAACACTGCAAATTTTCCTTCCATTAAACAACAAATGAATAAAAATGCAAATAACTTTTAATCCATTGAATTTAACTCAGATGACAATATTTACATCCCTCAAATGTCTAAATGAGCTATAAAGTTAATTACATTGAATATTCAAAACATTCATAAAAAATCCAACGTAATGATATATATATATAAGGAAATAAAGATAGTTCAATAGGTCAAACTTTGGAGAAAATAAATCAAATACGATATTTTCCTTTTGAATCAATGATTCATACAACGAACTAATTAACAAATGATATGATTCACATTCACCGGATCCGGTTGAAAAATTAATAAATGATTCTTACAATGTTAGCGTCAGTCAGAATTATTGCGATTGTTCTCGATAGAAATATGAAATTAAGCCTGAACATGATAACTGATCCTGCATAGAACGGATTGCGAATACGTAATCGTAAAGATAATTAATTTGTTATTTTGGCACACTGTGCATTTCAATTTTATTAAGGTCAGCTTTCAATTCAAAATTAGTAATACATAGTGAAAGCAATTTGTAATCCTCAAATTTAAATCCTCAAGGTTTTAATGAATTTCAATTGGAACTAATCCTAACCACGTCCCATTCAAATACGAAAAAAATTGTTGGTAGCGATAATATTGCAATTTTCTAAAATTATTTTTTTAATCTAAATAAAAAGTAAAAAATCAGAGATTGTAAACTATTACTAATTAAATATGAAAAAGCAATTCAGGTGATTTTTGTTTTTCTTTTCCAAATTCATAAAAATTGTGATTGTTTGTATATACAAAATTTCCAATAAAATTGAAACGAAAGAATTTGATTTCACACATTGCATTGAGAAGAATCACAAACATATCTTCATAAAAGGTCCCTTGTTTACAACATACGGATATTTCTTATAGGTGGGAATTTTTCCTTGTTCTACTTAAATTCAATTTCAAATTCAGCACATAGAAAAATGTTCTCGAAAATAAAAGTAAGTGGTGATTATGAACTTTTGCACTTATTCATTTTCATCTATTTGCTAGCTTCGTTTATTTTATTGTCCCTTGCTCATAATATTTACGATCACTGCAAAAAAATTGAATGAGTCTATCGAATTTGAGTTAATTCTCAAAATTCATTGTATACTTATTCAATACAGTAATGGGAGGATACAATCATTTTGATGATAGCATAGCAATGATTTGCATTGCCATGGTTAGTGTCATCAAATAAAAATAATCATTTATTTTTCAATAATAATATGAAGAAAGACAAACAGGTATCATTCATTAATTGACATAGTGTTTTCGTTCTAGTAGACACACATTGTAATGGATATCAAAGAATATGGATTGTAATCTTGATTATGAATAAAGCTACTTAATTTTATAATTAAATAAGCATTATAGGTGTGGTTCTTTGGATTTGTCAGCAATGGTTTATCTTTGTATATAACACGTACGAGGTCACACTTCCGTAATGCGTTTGGGATTTTATGCAGCAGTTTTTTGATATGCAACTTGCAATCTATATCTGTGCTCTTCACGTGGTGTACCATTGTCTTAGCTTTGTAAGTTACATTAATTTGTTGAATATTCATGCCAAAGTTACTTGTTATTCCTACAAAACTTTTTTCAGAAAATCTCCAATATTGTCGTCATCAGAGTTATTTTTGGCTCGACTAGTAGGCGTTCTAGTAAATGGCCCATATTATGGGACACTTTTGATGCATTTCTTTGTGGCCCTTAATCGTTTATGTGCTGTTTTATATCCAATAAAATACAAGCAATTATGGTCAGAATCAAGAAGTTTAATTGTTGGAATCATCTCATGGACAACTGGAACTTCCTTATGTATGCTACATTTATATAGTAAGTTTGTTATGATAGGAAAAGATTGTCACCTATATCAACCTTTACCTTTACCTTTATTACCACCCTTATCATATTTAAGCAGATGCTTTGTCACCTTTACTAAGCAGCAAATACTTTGACAATTTCACTGAGTGATGGATATCTTTTACAATGCCTTGAAAGAGAATTTGTTATCTCAATCTCAATGAACACTCAAACGAATCACTGTCTTTAAAAGAATCTATTAATGGTTTAAATTATTATTAACATTGGTTTTATGTTTGTAGTTTTGTACTGATTCTTATACAGAAACTGTTTACAGAAGATTGTTCGCTTTTATTTAATGAAAATTCATCTTATCGCTTTTTCTATGGAAATTCCTATTATGGCAAAGTTTGTAGCAATGCCGATGCTGCATTATCAGTATTTATAGTAATGATAATGGCATGCCTTGATTCCATTACTTTGATCAAATTACTTGCATATCGCAGAGTAAGCTTACTTTTGACAAATGATTGCTTAAATAAACGCTTCTTCATGCATGCATCTTTTTCCCTGCAAATTAAGCTTAAAGTCTGACATACAGCAATGATTGTTTACCGAATTTCAGGCACTGCGAAAAAATGTTACAATGTCAACTGGTAGTGCTTTCAACAAAAAAGAAGTATTATTCTTCAAACAGGTAATGGATAGAAATTCAGGCATTCTCTATGAAACATATTTTTACCAACCTAAAATAAGTGTTAGAATTATTAAAATTGATCTATGTAATAACTTTTATTATTTCTCCAAACACTGTATTTTCCTGAATTACGATTACTCTCCCACTACGATGAAGTAGGTATCAATGATCGGAAACTCTTCAAACTGTGCTGTGATGAGACATTTCAATGACATTTTGTACAATACTGTGACACTTGTAGTCCTGCTTGGTTAGCTTCATCTACACAGCATCCGTTGCCGTATTAATAACTCATCCATTTCTATTTACAAATAAATGGCTTTTATTCTTATCGAGTACAATTATTTGGATACTGATGCAATCAACGGATGGGTATGCAACTTTTTCATTTTTCTAATTAAAATTGATAAATCAGAATAATAAGATCTGATTAATTATTCTACCTGCATATACTATAATACCTTCATCGTTTTTTTCAGTTTTATCAAGAAAATTTTCTAATTCTTGCATTCAAATATTTTAAATTTAATTATTTATATTCACTTTCTGCTGCTGCTTGGATGATAATTCATTTTCAGATTAGTCCTTCTAATTTTCAATTTCAAAATGATTTGGAAAACAAATTCCTGGATACCAACGTCAACAATAGCACCAGCGACGACCATTCATCGACTTCACACTATCACGAGACACTGAATTGTATTCTTATCTTGTTTGTTGATTATTTCGACTATGATATGACATTTCTTCCAATATTAAATATATCAAATATTAGCGTCCATTGTTACGAGTAGCTATTTTTATATTTCATTTTTCAACTGAAACTTCCTAAAATTTCATTTGATAAAAGCTGCGAATTTAGTTGTAACCAAATTCATTTGTATGATATTATCAGTTTCTTCTAGCATGGATTCAAGTTTTTTTTTTTTATTTGATTTGAATTTGGCATGTAAAATTTAACTAATTTAATGTCATCGCAAATTGTGTAATACATGCTATAAAGTATTCAGTTCTAAAGTATTTAGTTCAGATAAATGTAAGAGTTTTTTGTTTAAAATAATTAAACTTATAACTGATAACCAACAACGGCAATACAATTCATTGCAGTATTGCTTTCAAGTATTATATTGTTATTGTCATTATTGTCACTTGGAGAAATAAGTTGAAATTAAAGCAAGAAACATTTTTATTAACAAATGTACTAAGCTTTATTATCAACTTTTTCGGCATATATACATTTCTTTCATTTCTTCAACTTTGACCTTTATCATTGATTTGTTGATCAAACTAACAAATCAACTGAAAGATAACTATTTTAATTGATATGTTTCTGTGATAGTTTAAAGCATTTGTATGAAATTCAACAAAATGGCGAAATTTTCAGCACCAAATTTGAAGAAGAGGTGTAGACTAGGTTCACACTGGAAGTTTGTATTGCTTAGAACCACAAAAAGGTGAATTCCGGTTTTCCGTTATTTTAAATAATTCACATCACTATTTTGAGCAGTACAACTGATAAAAAATAAAAATGTAGTTGATGAACAGATTTGAAGCGAAGTCATAATTAATTAATTAGTACTGAAGATGCGATTTGAATAATGAAAACAAATATAGCTAATATAAATTGTTGGAAATGTGCCACTGCGATTTTTCTTGATCGCAATTCTCGTTGACAGTAGTAACTGTGACATTGTCAACGCGAGACGAAAGAACTTTTACTTACGCACAAATTGTCAAACAAAAAAAAAAGCAGGAAAGAAAATAAGAATTAGCACATAGGACCCACATAAAAACAAGTAGCAATGATAATAAAATTTCAGTTGAAACTTTAGCAGATATAAACATAGGAAACAAAATGACCTCAAAATCTTAGCATTATTTGCATAACTTTAATAAATAGATTTGTGTAAAGTTAATCACATAAATTTACAGTGACAAAATAACAAGGCAACAAGTAATCTTCCTACAGTGAATTTTCATTTTAAACAAGTTGAAAAGTTGAAATATAAGAAAAAGATTTTAGCATATTCTTTCCAAGTCGTTCGCCCTTCTTATCTTTGTGCAAACCGAATTCACCTACTCCAATACTTTTTAAGTTTTACATTGTTATCTTTGACTACTTCGAACTTTGTCAACTTTACTCCTCTCTTCTACCTCTACAATTTCCACTTCTGGTACCATTGCTGGTATTTGACCAGCGGCAATTGTTTTCACAATTACAGGTGTCATACAATGTACAGTAACCCGTAGCTGCGGGTCAATATATATGCTTGTTGCAAGTTTCACGTTGTTGCAGTTACTAGACCAAATAGATAGCACTTGCTTAGATGCAAACGTGAAATGACCCTTCTCGCATGGCGTATGCGTACGTATAATCAATTTCATTTGCAGTCGTACTATAAATTCCTCAATTGCTTTAACACCAAAAAGATGACCTCGGCCACCTAAAAATAAGAAAAAAAAAATGAAAGATTGATAATTTTAATTTAAAAGAAATTTTCATTTCTGATTTTACTAGTCGAATTTTAAAATTACATCGACAGATCTTGTAAAAACAATTTTCAGCATAGTATCTCAGATGTTTCAGAATTGGAGACTACTAAAATTTTAATATGATTGGGTTAAAAAGAAAAGCAATTAATTGACAGAGTAATTTGATATCACCTATTATCTAGCTTAATCTTATCAGTAATATTTTTCAACTCTCTATTATTTACCAGATGAATAACTAATTGCGCTAAGCAACTCCGATCACGTCATACGCTTAAATTAGCGTGCTCATTAGAGTAACCGAGAATGAGCAAACGTTATACTTGAGTAAGGATGAATCATCATGTTTTAGTATTCAGTAAAAAGTTCTTAGTTTATCTCCGAGAACGTCAATGAGAGAATTTATAAACGAGAATGATAATTTCATTATTTCGATTTATAACATCTAATCATCACAACTTGATTCAATTTCAGATGTGCTAACCTTTAATTTTTTGAAATCTTTCAACAGCAGTACTCGGCATTCCCAGTATTAAATCACAGAGAATTCGATAGTTCCATTTCAACGGTGGCCTTTCAATTTTCTTTATTACTTCAAGATTTTCTAGCTGGAAAATTTATTTGTTCAACTCATCAATTTTTCCAATCAGTAATGAACTGACAAAACTCTAAATCGAATTTTCAATATTATTACTTATTTCAATTATCCCTGTTTTTTTTTTTTTAAAAAAAAAAATGATAATAAAACTGACAGAAATTCATGTACTAACTTTTGAACTGATACCGGAATGTACGGCAAAAATTGTATTGCCAATTGTAGCAGCGATAGGCATTTCAGAGCAAATTCTCGTGATAAACGCTGACAACACTATGCATAGCTTAACCGGAAAACGTTTTCTAACTTGAAAAGGGAAAAATTCCGTAGCTCCACGTATTATATAAATGTGATTTGGTGTGGTCACCTACAAAATTTGAAATTAACAAACAAAGTTTTCTGTAGATGAATCAATAATACCCAATTTATTATTCGGCTTAACATGTGATATTAATTGTTCATTTGCACTGATATCAACATTAGTTATCACAGTGTATCACATTTGAAATTTCATTTTACATGAAAATTTTAAAGCATACTTTATACGCTGCCAGAAAAGCAAGTGTTTCAACAGATTCAGCACATTCTTGATCGATGATACCACCAAGAAAAAGATATCGCCGTTTTGGTGGATATCCATATAATTGGAACCAACGTAATAAGTCAGAATACCTAATTAAAATAAGATGCTTAATTTGGATTACATTCTAAAATACAATCCAAGAGTGATTTTAAAATTTATTCTTGCTTTTAAATATATAAATTGATGATATTTGTTTTGAAATGGAATGAAAAGTAGTTGGATGAAAAGCTGACCGTCCACGAAGTTCACCGATTACCACAACATCGGTTGAAATTTCTAGAAGTGAATCTTCTGTACGTAAAATTTCACTTAACTGTAAAAAAATATTTTATAATAATTTTACATTTCATTCAAAAAATTATGAAATTTGAAATTGCTTTTCTAAATAGCAAAGAATAATTTAGAAGTGAATTAAATGTATGCTAAATTTGAAGAAATTTACTAATTTTAGAATGTAAATATTTCTCTCGAAAATCTCTGCACGAGAATTGAGCAACAAAAATTTTCAATGAATGGATACCTCCGACAAAAGCTCATATAACTCAACTCCTTCAATGTCAAAGAATCCTGGTCCTTGTTCAATCATACGAATTAAAAGACTTTCAAATTTGGTTGGTTCAATACGTGTAATCTAAATCAATAAACAAATCTAACTGAAATTTTCAGTCATGAAAATTAAAATTTTCCATTAAAATATTTAATAAATTCACTAAATTATGCTGACATTGAGAAAGAAACCTTATCTTTTCCTGTCCTGTAGTTCTTTCAGATGAACTGAGCCATATAATTCTCTCGGTTTTATACTTATTTGGTTTTTTTTTTTTTTCTTTCGCTACTAATTTTATTCTTTTCGATTTACTCTAGCTTCCAGGTATTTTTCCAAATATTGTCATAATTGTATGAGGTAAAGAGATAATAAGTTTAGAACAGGTGATCGATTCACTCAGGTATGAATTTACTATCTGCTCAATTAGTACAATTGACAGAAAGATAATAAATTTGCGCCAAGTCATCAAATCAAGAAATAATGCCGAAATGTTTGCTAAAAAAGGAATTACCACTGCATAGTCAAAGCCCAATGATTCGTGAATCTCATAGTTCACGTAAGTGATTTCTTCGAAAGGTGTCCTAACTGTTGGTTCCTCCACGTTACCTCTGTATTCTGCTAATGCTCTCATAGCTTCCGCAAATTCCTCAATATTTAAACATCCATCGAGTGGTTCACCAGTTATCTACAAATTTTCTGCATTCATTATGCAAAACTAATAATATCAAAAGCAATAGTTAATTACTTCAGTGTTAATTAAATTTCTTTTTTTTTTTTTTTTTTGCTAAAGTATTTGTCATAAAATATTAAACATTTCACAAAATTCAATTGCAGATTTCTTTTTATTTTTGCATTAAAATTTTAGAAAAGAATTGAACAGTACTGGTGGTGAATCTTTGAATATTATTCCTTCTTTTTGCAATAATTCGAAATCCAATTTTGGATTATATTCAATTTTTTTATATGCCTCAATCATCCATTCATGGATCAATGTTGATAGTATTGGATAAGAGATAAAAAATAGTAGAAGAAGTGGCGTTAATAAACGAGCCAGGATTTGCATACCTGGTAAAAACCTGAATTTCTTTTTCTGCAATCAGAAAACATTTAGAAAATTTTAATATTAAATTCGATTTAAATTCATTTTCTTGCAAATTAAATGCTCTACAAGCAAATGGTTGAATTAGAAATAACGATTCTTCACATATTCTCACGGATTTGACGTTTTTTTCAATTGAAAAAGAGAGCAAAAAAAAAAAAAACAGATATTTCAGTAAAGCATAATTTTACCTATCTAATTGTATTTGTTTCAAATATAAAATTTAATTTTAAATATTCCATTGTAAAGTTGACGAAATAAGATAAATGTAAAAAGTTTAAGCTAATTTATTATGCAAAAATCTGATAATCAAAAAGTTTTAAAGTAGATTTACTGATGAATTATTAATGAAAATTAACTAACTAACAGTAATAGCAAAAAGCGGCATTTCCTCCCAGTTGCAGCGGTCAAGTAAACAACATTTGATATCATGAGTTAAATTGCGCAGCAAACACCATTCTCGATTTAAAGGCACTCTTGGACACTGCTTTTTACACCATCCTGTCACGTCACAGCGAAAACTGACTCGTATTTTGCGTGACCGAAAAAAAAAAAAAAAAAACGAACTACATATTTTGTTTCAGGACTAAATTTACTTTAAATTTTGCTGCATTTCAGCTGATACAATAGAGGCAAGAAATGTCATTTCGAGAATTGACGTCTTTTTTAATAAATTTAAACTTCTCTCAATTGCTCTTATAATCAGAAAAAAAAGTGACTGATTTAATGCAAAATGTAAATTAACGATTTTATAAGAAAAATTATTTTAAGCGAAAAATTTTGCACGACAAAATAAGAAGCAGAAAGAATTGTTCTAATATTTAAATTTTAAAATTAAATGAACATAAGATTATATTATCAGTGATTCATATTTTTTTTTCATTTTAATTCAATTTTAATTCAATAATTTCTTCGATTAATAATCAATCAAATAACTAACTCTGTGCTTCGTGATACAACACATATTGCCTTCTCGGGACATAATAATTGGAAATGTTCATTGCCGCATTGCTTCGATGACCATACAGCAGGTAAAATGGCGGTATTGGATAGTAGAAAGATGAAACAACCGCCTAGGTGCATCCTTTTGCGCAACAATTACTTCAAGCTTCCATTTATTGTCAATTTTATATGAATTCTTTGTGGAAAATCTAGCAAAAATGTAAAAGCAATTAGTCAGAACATTTATTCAAAAATTAAGCGCTTTTTTCTCTTTTGTTGAAATAAATTTCATACCTCAATGGAACATCGGAAATTTTAATAACAAAAAATATATTAACAATAATTAGCTAACAGTTATTTGAACGAATTCGATTTTTTTCATTTTGATATTAATAAGTTATGAAAAATTTCAAAAAGTTATCATTGTGTGTTTTTAGATTTAATTATTGTTTAAACAAAATTGGATAAATTAAATTTTTTTCAACTATTATCTAAATAACAAATACATTAAAGATTAAGCAATAATTTAACAATATGACGATAAACTAGTAGAAATAAATAAATTCAAACCAAAATGATTTAATATTTTAATGTTATGGCTTCAATGTTAAAGTTGTAATAATGATATTAATTAGAAAATATAACATTTATGTGAGTATTTTGATAAATTTCTTTTACATTAGTCCAAGTACTTTGATAAATTTCTTATGCTTATGCTTTTAATAAAAGAAATTTTTAATTTTTTGAAAATTTCCTTCACTTTAATTTCAAATTTCATAGACATATTGTTTATGCAACAAAGTAGATAGCATTAGTTATGGATGATGTATCATCGATATTTAAACATATCAAATTTCATAAACTGTCAACATTACGATTATACTAAAATTCATGAATTTGTTGAAAAATTAATGATTATGTCTGGCATGCAACTACGAATTAAAATTTACGGTTAGATTTTTTGAATTTTTATATGACTTTAGGAAGCAGTTTGAAACGTATCAGAAACTTTTTGCTTCGAAGCCTTTCGTTCTTTAATTTTAAACTTGAAACCTTTTTATATTCTTTAAAAACTTAGTTTTGCTATGTTTGGCTATTGCAACCGGATACGTAACAGTGGCAAACAGAAAACTGGAAGAAGCCTTAATGAAAACATACAATCGGAAACATCGACCAGTAAAAAAAGATTCGACAACGATGCAAATTCAAATTTATCTGTTAATTGGACATATTGAAAAAGTGGTACAATATTTTGAAAGCTTTTCAAATGAATATGTTAGGATATGCTTATTGATTGACTCAATTAAATTTCAAATTTGATTGACTTATTGATTTAAGTAAAATTAATTAACTTATTATTGCTTCTACAAATAAAGCTAACAAAATTTTTATATGCAATCTTAAATTTAATTTTTTTGGAAATCCCAGTATTACTGATTGAAAAGAAAAAAGCAACAGGATGAAGAAGAGCAAACGATGTTACTTCATGGATTATTGTGGACATCGTGGACCGATGAATATTTAAAATGGGATCCTAGCAAATATAATAATACAAGACGAATCGCAATTGAAAGTTGGAAAATTTGGCAACCTGCTCTTTCGCTTTATAATAGGTTTTGAAATTAGTTTCTTTCATCCAAAGAAGAAATTGGATTTAAATTAATTAATGAAATAAAATTTTTACTGATAATATTGTAATCATTATCATAAGATCCTCGTATCAATATGAAATTTACCCATATTTTCATAACCTGTGGACTGATAACTAGTTCTTACTAATTTCAGTTTTTTTTTAATAGTTTTCATCTTCAATCATCATTGCCTTTTTTTTAATGTAATTGTTAATTTCAGTGTTTAAAAGAATTTTAATTCAAATCTTTTTTTTTTACAATAATTGATAGTTTCAATTTATAAATTCTATTGAATGCAAATGTATTACTTCTATCAGTCAAAATTTCCAAATTTCATGACAAATTTTAAACTGAATAATAATAATCCAAAAAAAATATTAAATGTGAAATTATACATCATTCCAACTACAGAACTAAAAATAAATTTCATAATAATAATAAATATTAAATTAAATTTTTGAATACCAAAATGATTTTTTTTTTAGAAAACAATGCGAAAAATAATTTATTATTTGATATATTATTATTTGAAATAATAATGGTTAGCAAAATTTAACTTACCCAAAAATATAGCAATATTATTTATCATTACTTACTCTTTAGCACTACCAATACATTCCAGTGCACGTGGTAATAGCTGGTATTTACATATGGGTGGCTTACCAGCATCAGTAAACAATGATGGCAAAGTTTGGGCATCTGGTTCTTTCAGCTTTCACGTAACATGCTTATTTGATTTTACTAATTACCCATACGATGAACAGGTAATTCTAACTCTTCAATTCCTATCAAATTCAATTAACTAATGCTTAATCATTCCAAAGCTTATTTTAGCATATTTCAATAAAATTTTTAAATTTTAGTCTTTTCATTTCAAACTTCTTTGCACACTTTTGTTTTTTGCATATCATATTCCATCCTTAGTGTATCCGTTTGATTGCATATCTTACGTCTTTCCAGTTCACGTTCACGTTTTATTTAAGGAGTGTCCTATTGTGATTGCTGACTGGGTATATGATCTTTCTAAGGTGAATTTATCAGATCCATCTGGAAATGCAAGTTTGAATAAACCAGCAATCAAACTTAGTTATGATCCGCTCGATAATACAAGCATGAAACGTCATGTTGCAGGTATGTATAAAATAGAAGATTAGAAATAATGATTCACGAGTGAAAATTGAAAATAACTTCAGATCCTATAGTTTGTATAGCTTCAAAAGTTTACCTTCACTTTTGCTTTTTAATTAATTTTTTTTTTTTTTTTTTTGTTGCCGAAAGTAAGCTTTTAATTTTGAATTGGAAGATGAAAATTGAAATACTTATTTCGGTCTCGTTGTTTAGGCTGTTGGGAAGTGAAAGATACGTGGCGTCGTCAATGCTATTGGGGACCAACAGGTTGTCGGGATGAGTCACCAGACAGTCAGGTATGAAATATTATTAAAATAATTACAATTTTCGTTCTAATCGAGAAGTCAATTGCTTTATTGTAATCGAAGCTACTTCAGCAATAACAAAGATTGGATAAGTCTGAGAGCACAAAGATGAAATTAACATTCATAGCTGTTAGGCTTCGTTCAAGAAGTAAACAAATAAAGGTAACAAGTAGGGTAGTTGTCACCAGCCATGATTAAATGAAGTAAAAGCTATTAAAAATTCTTGCATGAAGTCAAACTTGAAATCAGACTTCATTTTTACAGCCTGAATGGTTTTGGTCATTGATTGAATTTGGTGTTCGAATTAAGCGCAGAGTACCGTATTTTGCTTTAACAGTTATCGTACCTACCGTAAGTTAATAATTGATACTAATTATTCATTAATTACTAAAAACGGAAGTTGATTGAATAGATGTAAAAAAAAAAAAAAAAAGTTCATGTAAAATAGCATAATTAAGTGATGAATTGCTGTGTGTACAAAGAAATAAAAAGTTATTGTTAAAAGATTTGCTAAAAAGATAAATGAGATAACTTCATGATTTTGAAATTTAGTGCAACCTGTATACAAGTTAGCAAATTGAAAAATGATCGGTATTCAGTAGCATTTCCATCAATTTGTTTATTTGCTGACCTTTGACCCATTAAATTGATTTTTGTATTATAAATGTTGTGAAAAAAAATTACCATTTACAAAGGTTCTATTTAGATAACCACCTGTTTTCTGACTTTAATGGTCTTTTGGATTGACACAATGTCATTAGCAATTGCTACAACAGTAATGAATGTACTCTTACAAGGATTGTATAGTTGGGAATTTATTAAAAATTTACCACCTGGCAGTGGTGGCGTACCAAAAATAGGTGCAGTTTATATTATTACTTTTGTGATTAAAATTTTTGTTGCAAAGATTTTCATTTGACCAACAAATTAAATATTTTAATTATCTTGGTCTAATTATATATAATAAAAACATATTTTCTTAAACATTTACTTTAGGAACAATAATTCAAATAATTTCTGATTTTAAACCTTTCAATGGAATTTTTATTAATTTCAGTGTCATTTTATGGTATGAATCTATCGTTGACAGGAATAACATTTATGCTACATGTTATTATCGCTTATTTGGTTTACATTTTACCTGAAAATTTGGAATTACCATTTCAGGTAGATTACTTTTTTGTATTCTTTTTAATAATATGAAAAAATTTCGTCTAATTTGATTTTCCGGAAATTTTATTATTTAGAACTAATAGGTGGTTAATTAAAGTCTATTTAATCTTTTCTATTTCTGATTCAGTTAACTGATATAACGGAACGATTGAAGCAGCTGAGACCATTCAAAGTTAAAGGATTTTCATTCGACCCACAAAAATAAGTTTTACTTTTTTTTACAAATATTTTTTCATTTTTTTTTTTTTAAACTTTATTTACTTTACTTAATGTAGTAATTGCAATCTTTAATAAAATATTATATATATAATATTATGCTTCCAAATATTTAAGTCAAACATTACAGCTCATTGGAATTTAAAATGATATAAACTATTAAATGCAAAATGCTCGGAATTTTAGAATGCAATAAAATTTGCAAATTTATATTAACTAAGACAATTTGTTTGGCTGATTTTACAAATATTTTCGTGGAATTTTGGAAATTTGACGAAGTTTGATGTTAGCATTACTAAAAATTAATTTATCAGTAATGACAGATCAATGATAATGATAAACTTAGAGTTTAATTATTGAAAATTAATACAACATTAAATCAATAGCAATTATAATAGAAGCTGAGATTTGAAAAAAGATCATATTTTTGTTCGAAATATTTTACATGGTCAAGTAAAATGAGACCCATAAAATCCTTTTGTAACTTTTGAAAATACATAAATTAAAATTTAAGCTTTTGATTGGTGATTATCAAGACAACGAATACAATCAACAAGACCATCAGAAGCAGCGACAATGTGACAATATCATAGCGATGGATCAAAATCCCACATTTTCCTTTATCACTACTACTGCAACTGCTCCAGCAACAGAATTACAATTGAATCCTGCAGTGAATGATGGCGAGAATATTGCATTGACTGATAATTTATCACGTATCATTTAATTGAAGCATTATAAACTGATAAGAATGAAAAGAGAATTCGAGAATAATAGAAAACATTTAAAATAAGAAAATTATTTTAATAAAATTAATAATTAGTTCAAGTAGAATTGAAATTCCAATATTTACTTTTATTAAATTGAAATAATTATAAAAATGATTTCCATTTCCTCTCGAAAACGATAAAATTTTGTAGCAATTTATTTTACTATGAGTGGAACATAAACTGTTCAAGTTTTATTTTTTTTTTTTTTAATTAAAAAATTTTTTAAAATATATTTCTAAAACTTACACTTAAAATTTTTCAAATTTTGATTAGCTAAAATAAAATTCCATCGTTTAAAAAAAAAAAAAATACAAAAAAAATTTAGGAGAGGAAGCATTTAGTTGCAGCTTCGGAAACTTAAGCGATGATTTACTAAATTAACTATACATATTTCAAAATTTTTTACCAAAGATTTAAATGAAATGCAATAATTGAATAAATAATTGTCCAAATATGCAAAAATATTTTTTTTTTTTTTAACAACATTTGAAGGTTCAATTTTTTTTGTTAAAACACAATTTTTGGAGTTGCGAAAAAGTAAACAAAGGCGATAAAAATTGAAATGAAAGAAATAACGAAAATTAATTCTTCTTGTCCATCCTAAGTATTTTGTTTCATAAATAACTTAGCAGTTCGTAGGCGAAAAGTGACGAATTACATCTCCGTGCACTGTCTACGATAGCAGAGAATGCGTAATTACGATTTCAGATGCGTCTATTCGCATTTCAGATGCGTCTATTCGCATTTTAGATGCATTTATTCGCATTTCAGATGCATTTATTCGCATTTTAAATGGTTTCTATTCGCATTTCAGATGCGTCTATTCGCATTTTAGATGCGTCCATTCGCATCTTAGATGCATTTATTCGCATTTTAAATGGTTTCTATTCGCATTTCAGATGCTGTTTATTCGCATACTCCGTCGCAAAGTGGGAATGTGACAACAAGTGACGCAAATGCAGGAACGACAAGAAAGAATAGCGACACTGCTGGATTTGGCCATATTGCTCAACAATTGTATATTATCAGAAGATTGATATTTTTCTTGTTCTTTATCATTTATATTATTTCTATACCAATTTGTTTATTCTGATTACTTTGTGTTATTTGGTAGCTTTTTCATAGTTACCGCCATTGGATTGAAACAACAATTAAAGTCGATGACCATTTTGTGAATTCAATTAAAATTAATTTCATTCATTTCAATCCAATTCAAATTTCTTTCATTAAACTTCAATCATACCTAGCTTGCTTCAATTCAAGCAATCTTATTTCATGTTAATTTGTTTGAATTCAATTCAGTTAAATGATTTATCTCTTCACGTCTCACTATCTTCACTAACTTTACACATTTGAAATATTTCAATCAAACTATTTATATTTATAGTTGAATACACTTTAACAAATGTTATCAGTAATAAAGAAAAGTATTCAAATGAATGTTTCAGTGCAATTTTATGAAATTCAAAATAATGCATCCAATTTATCTTCGTGACAAGCAACAAACTTTCATTTTTCTTTTTTTTTTTTTTTTTTTGCAAGCCGAAAAATGCATAACACAAAAGTTAACATCGGTCGATGTATTATGCGAGAAGTAATGACAGTAAGACCAGAAGTGAACTAATTTCAGAACAAGTAATTCGAAAAAGGAAATTGTTTACTTCAATGATCAATAATCATAAACTTATTTCTTTTCTATTAGAAGCAATCAACAAATTCAGGTGTAAATTTCTAAAAAATTAGAACTGTAATGTTTGAATATGAATTATTGATTGATTACGTTAAGCACTTCGGTCAGATTTAAAAAATAATTGCTTCACAATTGCATGTGCAATATTTGAAATTCTTATAAAAATTTAATCGTACTACATTTGATTGTCATGTACGATGCTAAATTTTTTAGCTTTTATTTTGATAGATTGAAATTGAAATGATAAACACAATTTTAAGTAAAATTAGTAAAAAATTTAAAGACAATTTTCAATTTAAAAAATATAAAGTTATCGGACATAACAACAAGGTACTGAAAAATTCACAATCGCTGGAAATTCTTTAGCTTTTTCAAAATTTTACAAATAGGTTATACGGGGAAAAATGAAATGAATAACATTGATAGTTGATTCAAGTCAATTAGCATAATGTGGAATAGTTGAAGTATTTAAAATTATTATAAAAATTAAATAGAAAATGAGAACAGGAAAATGATTCAACTTTTTGTCCTCTTTGTTTATAATTAATTAAAGCATTACTTTCTCTTGAGTACTGATCGCTAAAATTAATTAATTCAAGAAACTGTTTTTCAGTTTGGGAATTATTTTTTATTTTTGTTGTCAAGTTTTGGACAAATTAAGAATTTGTTCACAGAATAAATGGACAAATGAAGAATTTATTTTGAGACTTGGTCATGAACAAATTTAAAATTTATTTTAGGGTTTAGTCATGGGCAAATCAAGAATTCCTTCCTTATAGCGACTTGAATGATTTCATGATTGCAGCAAATGAAAGTAAAAAATGGTTATGTTTCTGCTTGGCATGAAATTATAAATGCAAGTTTTCCCTTAAGCATCGATCGCTTACAATAAATACAAAGAATTCGAATATTTAATTTAGAAAAATTCATTAATTAATTAGGAATACTAAATTGAAAGTTATTTTTTCCTAAATTTAAAATTATCATCCCCATACATATGTATATATAATCATATATTATGCTCGATTTAATAATCACATTGTTTTATTTATTCATTCAGTGATTATAAACAAACTTAATGACTCATATCGTGTATGAATTAGCTACTTTTAAGTAAAAGTAAATGAATTAAAAGATATTATGAAAAGATATTTGATGGAAAGAATTAGTTTTGATCGATAAAACTTTCCAAAAAAAAATTTTCTGAAAATGGAAGCTTTGATGCTATATTTTTCTTCCATCAATGAATCATTAAATATAACATTAAATGAACAAAAAAAAAAAAAACGAAAAAAAATTTGAAGGCAAAAAAAGTGAAACCATTTTAATTTTTCATTTCTTTGCTGCTTTTATCGTATTCAAATTACATACATTCGTTTGGAATGTTACTGTCACTACATCCTACAGAAGAAAAAAGGCAAAAATGAAAGGAAAACTATGTTTAAATAATAATAATAATAATAATAATAATAATAATAATAATAATAATAATTCTATTATTAGTCATTCTTTACATTAAAATGAAACTATAATATAAATATTCAATATCTTTAATATAGCATTCAAAAATTTTTCAACTATTTGCAATACATTTCCTTTTATTATTTCAAATTTCTTAAAAATGAAAAAAGAAAAAAAATAGTTTTTTGTTATGACCTATATTAAATGTTCATAGTTTCTTTTTAAAAAAAAAAAAAAAAAAAAATGAATTTTGACATTTTTTTTTTCTGTTCTAAATATATATTTTTTTTTTCAGAAATATAATTTTCATTAATATTATGCAACAAATAATGCTATTAAAATTGCACTTTTTCAACTTTTTTTTTTTTTTTTTCAATGAGAATACGAATGCAATGGGATGGACTAAATTATTCTGTTTCGTTGTTTTGGGAAAAATTTTCATACAAATAAAAAAATTTCATGTAAACATAGTACTTCAAAAAAAGTTTACTGTTGCAGTCCATCATCATTACCATTTTATTTATTTATTTATTTATTTATTATTATTATTATTATTGTTATTGTTATATTTTATTATTATTATTATTATTATTAATTAATTCCGAAATTCATTCATTTTGTTCCATTCTGTGAAATTTTCCATTATGTTCCATTTTGTTTTTTTCTAATCTCAGTTTTTAGAAATCTTTTTAGAAATACTAAAAAATTTAGAAATACTATAAATTATTTCACCAAGAATAACATTACGATTAATACTTTCTATAGCGGTAGAATAATTAAAATAATTCTTATAGTGATGCAACATATTTATTTATATTCAAAAAATTTACTTACTTGTTTTCTATTGAGTACATTAAGAATAACAGTAATATTTTAATTGTTACATAAATAAAAAACATTCTTCAACTTTAATAACTCTTTATTTTGATAAGTAAGCATTCAAACTCTTGAAATGCTAATTTTTAAATTCAACATTTTCTTGATGAGAGTAATAAATTCTCAAATTCGGAATATTTTTAATACTATAAAGTAAATTTTAAAATCTGATATTTTATACTTGAAAAAAAAAAAACCGCAGTATCTCAAAGTTTGCTATACATTATAAAACAAAATATTTGGATAATATATAATATTTTTCTATTCTTATTCTTGGAAAATATTTATTGATTTTAAATTTAGAGCAATTGCAAGAAACAACCCGATAAACAATAAATAAACATTATAGATTGATCAGTTTGAATAAATAAAAATATTCAGATGACAATAAATTATAACTTACAATTATCAAACTCAAAACCATGGGCACTTTTCCTCATTCTACTACGTTGGCGTGGAAGTATTTGGAAACTTGTACTAATCGAACTTATCATATTTTTGTTAATGTTTTTATCTATAAATATATTTCTCAATCACATACTTCCAGAAAATACACGCAAGTAAAATTTCATTTGCATCTTTTGAATGATTTCATTTTTCATTCTTATTTAAATTTTTTCTTTTAATGCATTTAGAATTATAAATTAAATTGCTTTGAAAGCATATCATCGTATAATATAGAAGATATTTGATCGGTTTACTTTTTACAATTTTTTTTTTTTTTTTTCTCATATATTATTGATTACAACGAGTAAATTCTGGAAAAGTTCAATGTGAAAAAAATAGAGTATAACTGTAGTAATACAATAATTTTTTGAATTTATTAAATTCGTTTGCATCATTTTACTTAATTCTTCTTGTAAAATGATAATTATAGAATAGTTGCTGAAATATCACAATGGTTTAAATCCCAGGAAACTTTTAAAATGATACCAGTGGAATTTATGCTTGGTTTTCTTGTTCAAGCAATCATAACACGTTGGCAGAAGATGATTCATGATATTGGTTTCATTGATAGGTTTGTTTATGATCCTTTTTTTTTTTTTTTCTTCTTTTCGATTTTTAAACTGTTTAAATTCCTCGCATGTTTTTCCTCTTTTATTTAGTCATTTTAATCCATAATAAAATTGAAATTTAATTCTAAAATTTTGCTCCCTCATTTGTCTTATTTTTTTCTTAGAATTTTGTTGTAAAAAAATTGATCAATCATTTTTCTTCTGCTTTAATTACCTATTGTTATGATAAGGAAGTGATATCATTTTCAATTTTCCCTTCTATAATTTATGCCAATGAATAATCTCTTGTCTTCAAAAGAGCAACTGATCAATAATCCAGTCAATCAATCAATATCATTATCAGCCATTATTTTCATCTTTTATCATTACGAAGACAATTTAGAGTTTATTATTTCTTTTACAGTTTATCATTGACAGTAGCTAGCTATATTCATGGTAATACGGATTATAGTCGTATGATACGACGTAATATCGTACGTTACGTTTGTTTAGCTCAGGTGCTTGCATCACGAGATTTTAGTATTGCAGTTCGAAAAAGATTCCCTACAATTGATTCGATTGTTTCAGCTGGTAAGATGAATTAATTTTTGTTTACTATCTTTAATCTAAAGGAAAAAGGTAAAAGTATGCTCATCTTTTATTTAACATAACTCACTTATCTATTATTTATTTCAATTAGTTGAAATGACTAAATTAACTGGCTATTATAGCTTCATTATTGAATAAGTAAAACTATAACATAATTGATTAATGTCAATTGTAAAACTGTTTTAAGAATTATTTCTCTACCCGTTTTATTTGCGAAACTTTTTATCATACTGATTATCCAATAATACTTTTTTCAAAGAAAGTTTGAAATTTCGAATAGTTTCATTTTTGAAATAGTTTCATTTTTGGTTTCATGATGCCACATGAGAAGGAAAAGTTCGATCAAATAGATTGTAATTTTGGATCAAGGTATTGGTTACCTGTACAATGGGCACTTTCTATTGTTCATACTTCTCGTCGAGAACAGTTAATTGATAGTGACTTCTATTGTGAACGCATCTGTGAAGTATTTTATTTTACAATTTATATTGTTTATGCTTATATTAACTATTAGAAATTATCATACAGGATATCTTCGAGAATTGCTTTTGATAAAATTTAATTCGACTTATTTTCAGGAAATTAGATGCTTCCGAAATAGTTTAGCCAATTTATGCAAATTTGACTGGGTACCATTGCCGTTAGCATATCCTCAATTAGTGTATCTGGCAGTACATGTACATTTTTTCATAGTACTTATTTCAAAACAAGAAATTATCCTACCAGTAGTACAAAAGAATGTGACAGAATCGCTCAGTGCTGCAACAACAGTTAGCGAATCGGTTTTCACATCGTTTTCTTCTCTCTATTTTGTAACAAATTTTTATTCATTTTTTTTTTGAAAAAAAAAAAAAAAAAAAAAAGAAGGAGAAGAAGAAACCTTAAGATAGCAATTTGATAAAAAACATATCACTGCAGTTGCATCGGTGGGTTCCGTTAACACCAGCTATACAATTCTTTTTTTACATGGCTTGGACAAAAGTGGCAATGGTACTTATTAATCCATTTGGTGAAGATGACGATGATTTCGAAACAAATGCACTCATTGACCGAAACTTTAAAGTATATTTTGAAATGAATTTATTTAATTTATTATTAAATCAAAAATTTGCAAACATCTCTGAAATAAATACTTTCTCACTGATATGATAGTTATCAATCAATACAAAAATATTCATATCATTGCTGCTGCTCTAATTTTTATATTTGCATAACAGTAATACTTGTGTTCCGGATAATATAATAATTTAACATACTTAATCTTTCTTTTCTGAATTCATAAAAGCAACTAAAGATGAATGATTTAATTAAATCACCAAGGAAATTATATCACCATCTCTTTGACACATGATAATTACATAAATTAGACAGATTTAAGAGATCAAATTTGATATTTATTCATCTGCTTTTTTTAAAATAATATTTATCGAAGTTAGCAATATTAAAAACGTAACTTGCAAATCATTTTAGGTAGGAATAAGAATTGCAGATGGTACAAGTGATGATGTGCCAAGACAATTGAAGGATTCATTTTGGAATCATAATATCGAAGCATTATATAGCGAAAAATCTATTAGAATTAATGAAAGACAAGATGGTTTAGTGGGTTCAGCTACAAGATTTCCGTAATGTTACGCAAACATTTCACTGATTTTAGAATTTTAAGCATTCGTTTAAAAACATGTCAAAATTAAATTAATGATATATTGGCTGCAAAAATTTAAAAGATCTTTTAAGGTTTATATATATATATATAATATAAAGAATTTATTGAAAGAGGTAAAACATATTACTGCTATGAAAAGTGCAACTAAACATAATTTATTATTAATTATCTAATTTAACATAATTTACTAAAGACGTAAAATTAAGCATTAATTTTTGAAATTCATGCAAATAATCAATCAGTCATCTTTTTAGAGAACCATATGATGTTGAACAAATATTGATGGTACCATTAAAACGAAATAGCATAAATAGCATCAATAATGGTAGTCACTCAATGTATGTAAGACAAAGATCACAAAGACAAAATTATTTGGATAATGCAATGTGAGCATTGTTTACATGATATTACAGGCACCGAACAGGTGAACTATAGGTACCGAACAGGTGAACCAATATAATATTAGCAAAATGTTTTATTTCAATATTTGTTACAAAATACGTTAAGGGTAAATGCAAAGTATTCCATATCACCTCAACATATGCATATGAAATCTTGAACCACTTTAACTCATTTCAATTGAAAGAAAAAAAAACTCGAAATAAAACCTATGCAACGGAATTCAAAAATCTATGGATAATTTCGAATCTTATAAATATCTTTTATATTTATAAAAATATTTTTTACAAATATAAAAATTCATCTTTTTCAGTACTGATATCGGTCAACAGCTTCGAAATACTGCAAAAAGTATCACGAACACAGGGTACCTTTCTACGATTTAAATTTTTCTGAGTAATTTGAAAAACGATGACTGAAACTAAATTTGACTACAGTACATATATTTAGCGCTATTTATCCCTGTTGATTTGCATGTGAAATCTCAAAATCCAACAGTTTCGCTTTGCAGTACTTCCGAAGAACATCGCACACACAAAGACAGTTGGTCATTACGTCGCGGCAAAAAATCCTCAACTTTTACTTCATTAAATGAAAAGTTCTGCCACCTGAACAGGCGTTATATGATGGACGAGCAAGGTAATATAATTAAATTATAAATTGCCAATTTCGGATGTTAACAGAAAGCAAAACATCTCTGCAGGAAAAATTATCATTATTATTATTATTTACTGACACATGTCATTTGCATGACTTTAATGTACTGATGTTACTTTACAACTGAACGTCAACAACGTGTCCATATAGATTTAAAATAATGATCTACCTGTTGGATCATGCAAATGGTATAAATCACTAAGTAACAATTTTCACCTAGCTCTCGAACATCTAATTGCCCCTTATTTCCTTTTTAGACAAAGCTTCCGAGAATTAGACTGTAGAGTCGGAAAAAATAGTCAAAACGTTCACTAAAATTGTCGAAGTTTTCCCTTTTTTTCGCAGCAAAGAACGACTTATCAAAGCAACACGATGGTACTGCTGGGAAACTAAATCTTCCCAAATCAGAAATTTCGCAATATGAACAATATGGAAAAGATACATCGAATCAATCAGTGGAAGACGAAAGTAAGGATGATGACAGCTTTGAGCAAATTGCAAAAATGTGAATGATAAAGTAGCTTTAGTCAGCAGAAATTTGTAAAGAATACAATTTTCCAGACAACTGAAAAAATATTTCGAAAACCTGCAAGTTTTAAAAACCATCGAACACTGAAACGACTAAGTGCAATGAAACTTTTATAATGTTTACATGCATAATAACAATATCTGAAAGTTAAAAGAACACCAAATATTGTAAATATTTGTAAATATTTGAATGGCACGGTAGTTAGAACGAAGTGAATAATCTTATAAACAATGTTACCTACAATGATTAAAATTTAACAAGATCCATAGAAACCTAGCAATTTATTAGAAATCGACACATGCAGAAATTAAAATAATTTATCACTACTTATTAAAAAGTAACAGTGACAAAATTAAAGATCTACTTTTTATGAGTTAAATATTCCTCAGCTTTTCGAATCAAATCCTGCATTTCCTTATATTGTGCCAACATACTAGCTTCATCCACCGATAACCATCTAACATCTTGATGTTCATCTGATAATCTAATTTCTTCATCATTTTTCAACCTTGCCAACCAATACTTGACTGTTTTCTGAAAAAAAAAAGTGAATTTTGATAGACATACTTCACAAATCTAACATGTTTAGAGGAATCAAATGGAAAACCATCCAATCATATATACCTCATCATACTTACATAACACCAACTATTGTGATGCTTATGTTAAATAATATGAACGGAAGCTACAACAATAATAATTATCCACGATAAATTGAATCTCGAAAGTTGCTCACTTGTTTGTTAATCTCTTCTCCATGTCGGTCACTTTTTTTCACTACATAGGTCATAACTTCTACAAAGTCCATATGTACATCCAAATTACTGGCCGTTATTCCAGCTTCTTCACAGGTCTCACGTAATGCTGCCGACCATTCATCTTCACCAGGATCAACATGACCTTAACATATATGAAAATAAATTTTCTTCATAAATCAAAAAAAACTGCAAACCTTCTGTTAAAATCTTATGCAAAATGATATAACTAAAATGAAATTCTGAACAATTTACTAAATCCTTAATTACAAATAATAAATAAAATCTACAGCCTCCAAAATTACCACTCACCAATGTGTTAAAATTGTGTTCACACTAGAGTAAAAATGTGTTAAAATGAAGCTGCATCGCATAAATCGAGAAAAGGATTTCCTGAGTTCTTCTAAGAAGTCTTTTCTAGAAAATATGTAGTATATTAAGGACGACATAGCATATTACCTTTGTCTAGAGATAAAAATATTATCTTACATATATGTGTCAAATGAGTGTGATTAAACGAAGTATAACACGATGAATGGTTCTTATAAGATACTCAAATAAAGCAAACAAAACCTTTTGGTGGAGACCAATGGTGTGGAGGATACGACGCTTGCAATAATAAGTATTCGATTCGATCAGCCTTATGACGATAAACTAGCATACCTGCTGCACGTACAATGTCGGCCATCATATGGCCAAGTGAAGAGTAACGTGAAAGAAGAATACTAACTTAAGTGTAAAGACTTAAACTTTTGACCTGAAAACTTTAATTAACTGCTCCCTCATCCGGTCAACCGCAAAATACTCCTACTGAAATTTTAAATTCGAAAACTTTTGTTTCAAAGTTGGTTTATTTCTCTTATCTTCTCTTTATCAAGTTGAAGTCATTCGGGTTAACAGATTCAGGTAATCTATCTCTTTGTCATCTCTTCTATATCATTACTCTGTCCCATAATAGTCAATACCAGATGTATCTTCTCACATGAGTTATCACTTTTTCTGAGTGATAAGTAAATGCTTTATCAGTCGAATACTGCATCGAAATCTTTTCCTATATAACGTAATCTCACTTTTGTACTTTGCTCTTTTACAATTTTTCCCTCTTTCCTTTCCATTTCTTTCTTCTCTTTTCTTTTTCTAATGTTAATAGTTCCTATCTGTATCAATTTTTTAGAATTAACGTTTATTTCAAACTTTTAAAAATTAGAGGAAAGAGGAAAATCCTCAATATTCTGAATTTTATCTCATATTTCGACATGAATAGTTATTATTGAGAGTAACAATGGCGATGAATGGTATAGAGAAGTTTGTAAAATATTAAAGGACAAAGAATAGTGGAAGTTGTCAGACTTTCGAAATATCAGACGAAAAAAAAGTATAAATCAAATAATTTAGAGTTGGTGTAGCTCTTAACACTGAGAACTTTCGATTTTGCAATTCAAGTCTGAGTTTTTTTAGTATTTTTTAAAGCTTTTACTAATTTCACAAATTATTAGTGGAAAAAAGGAGCAAAGAGGAGAATACCAAGGTCCCGGGGAGATTTGAACTCCCGTCGCAGGATTCAGAGTCCTGAGTGCTAACCACTACACCACGGGACCATATAACCAAGTATTCTCGTAATTTCTTCCAATGCACTGGAAATTCGATGCTATTTTGGCTTTTTGAATTAATTTTATACTTAAGGGAAAATTCCATGTTTTTTTCACTGTTTTAAACAGTTGTTTGAACATCAACAAAATTGTAAGCCTATGGACAAGCAAAATGAATTGTAAGACAAGCAAAATGAAGTGTCAAATAAGCATTAGTTACTTAAAGCATTGGTTTGGTCTCAGTAAACATGCATTGATAAACGAGGATCAAATTTGATTTAGAGAAGTTATGTGAAGTATAATGCAAGAAACATATTTATTAATTACTAGTTTCTTTTTTTTTTTGCGAATGCTAGATCAGAAATATTTTCGTATAGATATGCTATCTCATATTTTTTTTGATCAAAATATCCTTGTCCTCAAAGCAATTCCTTAGAATAAATTTTTAGGTTCAGGTTCATGTTTTGGTATTTACTTTAGTTTCTTTCTAATGTTAAGTATCCTGAATTAAATCGAACTTTGCATTGTGGCATAAATGGTAGTTAAGTTGAATAGTAGTAAAATTGAAAAGTCGCATGACTAGGCTCAATCCCAAAAACGAATTGGTATCATGAAGATATCAAGTGTATAAGTAACAAAATTATCCAACCAACGAACCGTTAGGTAAGCCAGACAGAATAATTTCATTTTTATAGTAAAGTAAAAGATTCAAAAGATTTTTCGATAACTTTAAGTTTGTCTCTATTTGGTGGGTTACTGTCACATCGATGCTGCCAATAAATTAGATGAGGAAACTATAAACAAACGAATTCAAAAAATTGGTTGAACATACCATGCAAAAGAAATTAAAGGGAAAATCAGCCGTGCAAGCTGGATATTCAGGAACATTTTTTTTTTTCAGAAACGATGAATTTCCAACGCAAAAATTTCTTAGTTTAAAAATAAGCATTATTCTTTCATGTAGTTAGTTATATTATAAAATGTGAATGTTTATTTACTTTTTATGCACTCGGATTACAGCAAAGCAAATCCTTTGGTATTGTTTAAAAAAACAAAAAATTGATTTCACAAAATACTGCACAAGAAGCAATTTGGTCTGAATAGATGCAGATAAGGATATAAGAAAATTTTTTTTTCAGAAAATTTCCTAATAACAATCAAAAGAATAATAAGTTCATTCAATTTTGTCATCGTCATTCATTTCATTTATTAATTCAACAACCCAAATACCGTCTGAATTACGTTGTTCTTTGAATAGAATACGCATCAGCTGACCAACACAAGGTATTTCACTCACACGGGAACTAATCGTTTTAACCAGTTCTGCTTGATTCACAGAAGCCAAAATACAAGGTACTGCTAGAGCAGGTTGAGTACGAACCCTTGGAGACTGAAATATTTAATTAGTATATTCCAGAATCTAGGCTTAATTAAGAAAAAACATGATAATTTAATACGAAATAGCTTATTAAGACTGTTGAAGTTCCAAACGAAGTTTACCAAGTTTTCTGTAGACCATAATTCATTTTGCCGAATGGTTTCCGTATGCCCATCGTCAATATGTCGTACATATACAACGTTTTCAATGAAGTGTTCAATAATTGCTCTAACTTTCGTTTTTCTAAGATCATTACACTGTACTATACAAAGTGCACCAATTGCCTGCAAATATACAATAATAAAAGGGAAAAAATTGTTTAAGAACTTCTTTCGTAACTCTACTATAGAAGTTTCTTCCCATAATGTTTTTGTAAACTTTAGCTTTTCAGCAACATAATGAAACATGTTTGCCATTAATCTAAGAGAAAGATAAATAAAAATACCAACGTGAGTAAAATTAACCATTTCATTAGCATTCAGTTTCTCTGTCGGATACAACGAAGCAAAACATTCGGCAGATATATCTTGCGATACTGTAGCTGGGGTTACAAAAAATACTGGCCAGTCAGTATTGCTACCAACTCTTCGTACCATCAATTCACTTCCATTAACTATACTGATAAGCTTATGATATATCTGAAAATTCAATAATGCAGCACAACACAAAACACTGTTAACCTTAGAGTTAAAATTAAAGTACGATTTTTGAAAAAATTAGATTAAATCGTTTTTTAGTGATATCTAGTATAGAATATCATGCATTTTCGAATATTATACTATAGAATTATTGCACCTGATAAGTTGGAAATGACTGCAGATCATCTTGATGCAAGGAGATTGGCTCTGGAGATACAATCTGAAATCAGAAACGGTTTCTTCTATAATTCATTTTACAACAAAACTAAGCTAGATTGTTGGTAGAACTACCAGATCATGAGTTTTGTAAAACAATAAGTACCGTTTCCTGTCCTTCATAGTTACTTGTTTTAACGCACAATTGACTAAAATCAGCTGATTCGTCGGATGTATAAATTGGTTTCTTAATCAAACTTGTTTGTGATGAATCGGATACCTGTGAATATTATGATATGAAGTTCTGAAAATGAGCTAGACCAAACGCATTCCTCTTATTACCCCTTCTTGCTACTACAAACATTTTTTATCAATTACAAATAAATGGAAATAAAGAATCACTACAAAAGTTTTCCACCGATGCTCCAGTATTACCTGCGGAATTGCTTGATTTGAAAACTCCGGCAAATTTTTCACATATTGCGAAGTTTCACTCACTGAACGTTTAGGAAAATTACTTTGCACGTCTGAAATAAAAATTTCCATTGGGCTACTTCTTCGATTCATGCAAAATTGTTCATAAAGATGCGAAATATAATAACGGTAGAAATAAATTCCTAGCAATTACCATGCGACTGTTTCTTAACAATATTACAATAATCACTGATTGTGCGGTGTGGCGGTTCGCCATATTCCAATTTACGACGGCAGCTATCCCAAAAAGAATCTACTGATACAGAAATTTTACAATCTAAAATAAAAATAAACAAAAATTTAAAAAATCTTGTTGAATTTCAGTACCACTGGTAATGAATGGAGCGATTATTAACCATTACTTGAAGTTTCTGATATCTCTATCACAGCATATTAGCTTCGACTTTGACTCGAAAGAAAATTTTTTATAAAACTATTGATAAATAAATAAAACATAGTGTTAAACGAAGATAATAGTAAACAGAAAATAAGAAATAAGTAAAACTAGGTGATGCATATTGGAATAAAAAAATAAGGAATTTTAGATAAAAAAAAAAAAGAAGTACTCGTAAGACTTTGTAACCTGTGCTTGAATTCGAAACCATGGAATTTGTTTTTGATGTCGGAGGAGTGGTAGCCTTTGATTGCATTGAACGTTTCTTAGTTTTTGAACTGGAGCGAAATAGTGGCTGAAATTTATTATTGTGTGATGATCGTTGCATTGTTGAATGTCCATTGTTGCTTTCCGAAGAAGTATCATTGAGCATCGGCTCCCGCGTTCTTTTGGGTGATGCAACTCGCCATTTTCTTGGCGGAAAATACCATTTTTCAGGAAAATTATGCTGCAATAGCAATTAAAAGGTACAACTCTATCTCAAGATCTAATTTTTGAAAGTCTCATCTTTAAACTTCCGATGCTTAAAATTGCTCGTTATCCAAAGAATTTCAGAAAATAGTACAACGACATTAAATAAAATGAATAAACGAATCGAATGTGTTAAATCAATTGCTCATAGCCTAAACTGCTTGGAAAACTAAACTGCGAATCTCAGCAAATTCCGATGTTACTTCTATTCAGGAAATTAAACCAATTAAATTAAGTTAGATTAGAATGAATTAAATTGACACGTCAATTATAATACATTCATTACATTGTTTATATTTTGGTTGTATTTCGGAATCTCAAAATGATGACCAATTGTTGCATTCGGGAATGACATCTGTGCATCCGGCACATAGGGCATTAATGAGCGCATACCATTTCTAAAATGAAACGCTGTAAAATTTCGAGTTTTAATTTAGTATATATATAAAATTTTCTGTAGATCTGAAAAATTTTCAGGACTAAATATAGACAAACTAGCAATACCAAAAAAATCGAACAATACAACATTGAAATTTGCATAACTAAATCCTTGTGAATTCGAATTTCCTTATGCTTTAAAGAAAAAGAAGTTGTCTAATAATTCTAAAAAATAATTCTGCTTCCTTCTATAACCTCCTATGATACCCCCTGAGGAACCCTTCTATAAGACTTCACTGGATATGTGGTACACTACTACCAATAACGTAGCATATTTTACTATCGATTAATTAAAAGGTACTAAGACAAACATTTGCTGGTATGGCTGATCGCATTGGTTTGTGGAGTCCAATGAATGTGAAGGCTGAAGATAAGATGACCACTGCTTTCCCCAAGATTGGTTCACGATGACGTTCTGTTGTTGTTGCATACTGGCCGCACTATTATCATTACCGTAACCGTCGCCGCGTTGACCGTAATCATTTGTGGTATACATGGGAACTTCACAATAAGTATTTTGTTGTAGTTGCGGACAAAAAGCATTCTACAAAAAAAAAAAAAAAAAAAAAAAAAGAAGCTTTCTTCAGCTCTTGCATTCTGATCAAAAAAATATGGGAAGCCATAAAAGAAAAAGAGCAAAAAGATAACTGATAATTATCAAACTTCAAGGACAAATGCATTGACAAGCGAGACTTCACTGCTTTTCATGAAGTCAAAATAATAATTGTTCATAATAAATATGACAATATAACAACTGATCCAATTAGTAAATGATTAACAAATAGGATGTAGAATTGTTCTGGGAAAATCTATTAATTTTAATCAATCGTGAAAAAATTGATTTACAAAATCTTTTCTCCACTAAATTCTTTGCAGACCTGAATAATACATACCGCTTTCACAAGATTTGAGTTATTAGAAGCAATCACATCCAATTTTGCTGATATATCCCATAGCTGCATTTGTAATGCTACCAGCTGTAATTCTTGTTCCCTCTTGATGCTAGAAAAGAATAATCTTAGTTATATACCCAAGAAATATCTCTTGATAAATCAAAGTGTTCTGACAATAAAAGTCTGTCCCAATTCCATTGCTTAAAAAACAAAACTCATATTTCATCCACGCGATTCTATCTCGACAACAAACCTTTCATTTGTAAAATTTTCTTCCTCCTTTCTCAGCATTTCTTCCTGCTCATGCAGTCGTTCTTCTTCCTCATGTAGTTCCTCTTTTCGTTGTTCAAGCTCCCTCACAGCATCCATTTTTGGCACATTTTTGGTTTCAAAAAAATTTTAATAAAAACGTTCAAAAAAATTTTTAATTGAATTAAACTAATTAAAGCCAAGAGAAAGACGTAAGAACTGAAAGTCAAAGCTTTCCGTGAAGACTGTTTTTCTTTGAATTTCTATGGTGATTTTGTTATACTATGATTTAGTTAATCAATTACAAAAAAAGCATTAATTAATGTAGTGAAATAACAATGAATCAGAGTAACCCTGTGATGCACTATTGATATTCTTCCCTTGCTTCACACTTTTTTTTTCATCCACCTCTTTGCGAACTCGTGGCTTCTTGTAATAAAGTACAAAATCTGTATCTGATAACGTCACTTTTGCCCAATACAAATCACGGGCACATTTCAATGTTAAACAAACATTGTAATTATTTTCATCAAGTAACTGAAAAAAAAAGCACCGTTAGGACTTGAATAAGAAAACAATTAATAATATCAAATCACATTTAACATTTCATTAAAAGTACCAAAGGTATTTTCCCATAAAATATAATTTCTTCGTATTATGTATATTAGACGTAATTATAGGGTATTTATTAAAAAAATATGACTAAACATATTTGATGGGCATACAAACAAGCAAATAAATTACATAATAATTACATGATAAAGTATTTAGAAAACGCATCAATTTTCTAGCTCAATTTTTCTACCTAAATTATTGCCAATTTCGAATTTTGCGTAATATGAGGGTTTGAAAAACGCAGCATTGCCTTACCCTTATTCCTTTATTAACATTCTTTTTAGATGGTGAAAACCTCTTCACTCGACATCGAAATGATGCTATTGGCTTCTCAAGAACTTCAGCGGGCTAAAATTCGCCATTGGTTACTAAATTTTATGTTCCAATTATGAAACTGCGGCAAATGTACGTATTCATGAAACAGCTGCCACAATTTCCAAAATTTACTACCAGAAAACACAACAGCCACAACTAATACAGAGTCGACTGCCATGTCACCATGAATTATAATTTTTGACCATTGCAAATATCACAATGTATTCAAACTCAATGAACAAATGCTCACCTGATCCTGGAGTTCAAATAAGTCTGACACACTACATACAACTGTCTGCCCGAAATCAACAAGCAATACTTCACAAGTGTTATCATCTGGCCGGTAATGGCTAGCTATTGCTCTAAATAAATGGATAACAATTAACACAGAAAAAAGTCAAAAACTTCACTTGAAAATTTAAAATTTTCCTTTCGAAACTAAAGGAAATTAGAAAATGGATAAAAAATTAATTGACCACTGATAGAAAAAATAAATACACGGTCAAAGAGATAGAACTGCGAGAAATTTCGAAAAAACATAACAGTGATATATTGGAAATACCAATCCTATTCGCAGTAAAAATTTGACATCAACTTGGCAAGTTAAACCATTAAATCACTAACATACCTGAATGCTTGTGGCTGAAACGATGAGCTGTTTGACCGTGCTGGACGAATCAACCGAGCTATACAACAAATACCACGATCTAAGCATACTCGAGATGTTAGAGGTGTTGTCGCTGTCACCATACGCTTAAAATAACTAATAATAATTCCTCATTGAACTAAATTACATGAGATAGTGTTTTATTAAAGGGTAATATAAATACAGATGAAAAATGATGCAAAATGAACCAACACTAATTTTGAGCAAACATGACTGTAAATCCATTTAAAATGTATAAACATTCTCAAAATGCTTCAACTACGATCAACCTACAAGAACAAACCCTTGCCAGATCATCGATTACGTCGGGATTTCTCATTAAATAGGTGTCGTAGTCTGTACGCTCAGTTACTCGTGCTGTCAAACGAGCCGGTAATGAAACACTGAACTTTTGAAACATAAACGGCAAAGTTGGATCTCTAGTTATTGCTGGCACCGATGCACTTTTTACTACCAATGCCCGACATCGACGTCGAGGCATACCACTATTATTACCACCGTTAATATTAATGTTCTGCAAATTTGAAGAATCATCGAATTAAAATCAAAATTTTGGAAAAATTTAAAAACTCGAAAAAAAAATACCCATTGGACATCGTCAAAATTTTAATTTCCAGTTCTAGTACGCTTTTAATATGTAAATAACTGAACAAGAGTCTAGAACAAACTATAATGAATGAGGAAAGATAACGATGGATAAAACTGAGCAAAATTTGTAAATGAGAATTTCTATCAATAAAAACTGGAGAAGGCATTAAAATGAAAAGAGAGAAGGATTTAAAATAAGAAGTTAGTCTAGTTGACTATTTCATTAGTTTAATTCATTCTGTTGAGGATTTACTTTAAAACTTTTGGAAAGTGTTTGTTAGTGAAAATTATTAGATCAAAAATTAGAATGTTCATCAATAGATCATATATATATACAGATATATAAATGAATACATTTAACTCAAAGTTCCTTGAAATGAGAAAAAAGTGGACCACAGAACAGAACCATGCCTGTCTGATTAAATCGTCATTACGTAATTATCACTGATGCTATTTGTACTGCTACTAATATCATCATATGGTATTCCGATAATTTTCGCGCCTGCCTCCCTCATTCCAGTAAATCCCGCGAGAAACAGATTTTATATATATATAAGTGTATACAAATAAATGTTTATATATACATATTTACGCAGTCTTTTTATGGGAACAGATCTTCACAATACGAAGTTATCAGTATATAGGAAATTGTTCAGAACTCTAAAAAAGAAATTGTTGCCCAGTTAATCCTGAAAATAGAAATGTTATCAGCATTTCCACACTTCCACATAGCAAATATGCACTGATTAGGACCTTCGAAAGTTCGAAGAAAAAATCCATCAAGAAAATGTATTTCAAAAATATTCTATTTTTCTAAAAACTGACACATGTTTGGAAAAAAGTCTTTCTGCTAGCAACTGAGTTAGTGATCACCGATGCATGCGTAACATCAGATCCGACATGTTGAACCTCATCAGTAACAGAAGTTAGAGGAGCTTCTGGGATCTTTTCAATTATCTGGAACACGGTATTGCATTTATGAGCTCAGAGAAGCAGATTAAGACTTCTGCTTGCTTTGCTTAGCGTCTTTCAAAAAATTTACTACGATACTTTAAAACAAGTGAGCAGCCATGATAATTTATTTGTAACAAAAAAAAATTTAAGCTTTCAATAATCCAAAAGGCTCGCATAGAAAAAACGCTTCTATAACCTGACTTTTACCTTCTCGGTACATGTAATTTCAACAAACTTTCCATCCTCATTTTTCTTGTATATTTGCGACATGATTGCTGGTGGATACATTTCTTTTGCTCGTTGAGGATAATTTGAGGGGAATTCATTGCCTTAAATGAGACGGAATTTTCAATAACTAGTAATATAATATGATCTAAAACGTTTGGAAAACTCATAGAAGTATCTGCAAAGTTGTTCGAAGTCGAAATAATGCTATGTTTTTTGTTCTACGGCTCATACTTTATATGAATAATACAAAATGAAAATGATAAGAATGCAATCTGATATAAAATATCATAAGAAAATTTACAAATTTTGATTATGCAAATCGCTCCTTCTTCCAAGAATTCAAACTCTTCACATTTGCTTGTATTACAACAAGATTCCAAAATAACACATAAGCAAAGAGGTGGTATACCACGCAAAGATGGCAATAATTCACATATGTCATTTGCGCTTATATCATACACCTCTCCAAGATCAATACCATACATCTAAAGTCATGGCATTTTCATAATCTGTGTCTACTCAATTGAAAGATGATTTAATGAAAATGCTATCAATGATTTTTTAAAATCTATTTTAGTGTGGACAGTAGCACACTAATGCATTTGATAAAACGACTGATAGACTTCAAACTTCTTCGGGAACGCTGCGCTGCCCTCATAAAGTTTTAAATACAATCCATAAACTTAGAAATATCGACTACTCTCTAACCAGTAAATTGTGTAATGATTGTATGAGAAACTTTTATAGATTCAGGATATGAAAAATTAAGAACGATTAAGTGATTTAGCTATCATCGAGATGTTAGAGAGATAATAAGTTAATCCTCATCGAAGTAATGAAGCATACCGAAAATGTCATTGTCTTGTCTCTCTTTAGTAATACCGCCCTTTGATATCCCTTCTCTGTTCGTACCATATACACGGTGCCTTAAAGTGATAAAGTTTTATAAATACTCTGCCACTTCCAAACTGTTTTGTAATGAAAAAACATGGATGTAGGAAATAACTGATTATGTAAGGCAATATTAGCAACCACGTATGTAGCAAGTTTACGTGATAATATCTGCAATAGAATCAACTAATGAAGACAAATTTAATTAGTGTGAAGCCATACATCAAAGAAATTTTTAATGTTAACATGAACCCACAGCGTCACACGTTATTAGATTTAGTCAAACTTACTCATGCTGAGTGGTTGCGATACCGCAGGACGCAATGAATCTTCTGTGTCGTCTACTGCCGCACTGGAAAGATTTACACTGAGCTCATATTGATCGTCGCTACATAACGGTTTTACATATAAGCATTTCGTCGCCCTATCCACTCGTAAAATTCGAACTTCGAAACAATCACCCACTGGTAATGCCAATCCAGCCGGAATAAAACACGTGCTTGCCATTAAATTTACTGTAAATTAATGCATAGAAATTTAAAATAGAAATTTTCAAAATCTAGTGAAAATTACAAATTTTGGATATAACTGTTAGATTGAAAAACAATAGAACAATCGTTTTTATGAGAAGACAAAGATCTTTACAATCATAAGCTTGATTTTTCTCAATTTTGAATTAATCCTAATTCCATCGCTTAGGAAGACTCAAAACACTTCAAATACAAGAAAAACGAAATAAGAAAAAAAGCCAAAGTTCTAGTTAAGATGAATGTTGAAAATCCTATGTTAGATATAAATGTAGAAAAGACAAACTTGATGAGCCGTCATGTCGCAACCAAAGAGCTCTGCCATCTGGTGGTGCAGCTACTAAGGATTTACTTCCGGAACGCATTTTTCCGTTTTCGCTGCAAACATAAAACAAAAAAGTATTGTTAAGTATTCCCGCAAAAACACTGATAATCTTGAACAGAATTAAATTAATACAATTGCTACCAATTAGCTGGATAACGGAATTACCAGGTCGTCATACTTGATTGACACATGTCTTGGTATTACACTACATATTATATTTTATATTACTATTTCCACTATTTCGCTTATTTCATTCAGTTTTTTGAAATTGTTGATCACTTTTGAAATTTCATTTTTTCTTCCTTTTACAAATGAAGAAAAGAAAAGCAAAAATAAAAAAATCTTCAAAGTTAAAAAATAAACATAGCTGGGAAAAAGAAAATGGGCTTTTGTAAATGACACATTTTATGAAAATCTTTTTAGTTATCCTAAGAAAGAAAACATTTCTCAGTACTACCATGATTTTTGGTTGTAAATAACGGACGATTTAAAATTCCGGATACTGATACTGCGGATGTTTTCAGGATATCCCAGATATCCTCATTCAACTGAACTGCTAAACCTTACATCTCAATGAACAAAAACACACAAATGCGCACCGCCAAAAAATCCTACAATCTAGAGCACCAAATCTCACCGTATTTACTGTACTAATTGACGTCCGTGTTTTAGTGTATGTATCTTTTCCTCTTTATACCACCACATTTGCATATAGCTGCTGCTACTCATCTGCATGTTGCATGCTCATCTGCACGTTTGCAATTTAAAACGTGCATCCAGACGGATTGCTTGCAAGTGCAGCACTGTTCTAGAATATGCACAGATTGCTACTGTAAAACAAAAGAAAGTTACTGCTTACGAAGAGCTACAAATAAGCGCATAGAGACTGATATGAAATAATAAATAGGCTACAGTATGCCAGTAGGATACAGTATGTAACCATTGTATGTTACAGTACATCTGATACAGTATGCAGCATATCTAATATGATTAGGTCATTCCTTTCTTATCGCATTCAAAATTTTATTCCACAAATTCCAAAAAATTAAACTAAGAATTCATTTTTACAGTTTTAAAAAAATTTTAAAAACAGATTTTAACATATTGTTGCAAGGAATCATCATGATGTGTATAAACTTTCCTTTTGAATTTTGAAGCTATGTGCATCTTTGTTTTGCAAACTGCGATATCTGCTGAGGTTTTCCATTTGCTTACGGTTCTCAACATCTTATATAAAGGATGAACTGGAGAATATTCGTGAAGCTTAGATGATGATAAAAAGATGCAGAACTAATATGCACATTTGAATTCAATCGAACGTTAGTGACAAGTTTCAGTCGATGTTTAATTTCATCAATCAATCCTTAATTTAATGACAAATGATAATCCTTAATTTCGTCCTCGAATCTCTACCAGAAATTGAGTAAGTATGTGATGCACAACACTTAAGTTGTTCAAAAAATTTTATTCAAAAAACAACAATGTATGACAGTACTACCCGTAATGCAATAACTTGAACATATTGAGCAATGATCAGGAATTGAGGTATTCATTTCAGAGTTAGTTAATCAGAACTTTTCGAGATTTGTAGCTATTCTGAATCAAGTTGTCATAGAATTCTGAGTTCGAATTTGGGTGTAAATTTCATTTTTCTCTTTCGAATTCTCCCAAACTTTTCAAAACCCCAACTGTAGATTCTAAATCCTTCATTTCAAATACAAAAATCTTATGTTCAGCATCAGCAAGAACTTTCATTTTGAATTCTTCAATTTCAAATGATATTTTGAACCTAGAATCAAATGGAAGCGTCAATGAAGTCTCCATGGTTCAGGTTTCAATGAAAACCTCATAAATACAAATATCTGATAATAATCAAATCTGATAAGAACAAAATCACGAGTCACGCGTAGTAAGCTCAAACCACTGCCTGACTGCATCACTAATTGTAGCTGGTAACATGGCAACATGTCCAACAACCACATAAAACGGAAACGGAAATTTCTGCAGATATGGAATGAGATTCACATTTCCATCAGCTGTAAATTCAGCTACTTTCATATCCACGATTGACTTTTCACCATTGTCGATTGCCACAAAAAGTACTGTAACTCGGTCAGCGTGCACTTCTGCTACAGCCTAGAATTTAAATCTTATCACTTGATTTTTCAAAAGTAATTTATAAAAGCTTAGAAGATAAAGCCTGGAATATCTCAACATAACAGATTACGAAACTGATTATGGATGAAAAGACAACCAACTTTTTTCACTGCCTCAGCGCCATCCACCAATACTCCCCTGCCATCCGAAACAATGATCAACATCTGGTTGTTTCTTTCGCGTCCTCTGGCTTGCTCAAAAAACTAAAAAGAAAATCTTTCCCCACAAGCAAAATGTTCATTCTTACAAGTTAAAAATCAAAAAATTTTAAACCACCATTAAAATAATTACTCCCACTGCAAAAACTTCAACGAATTCTAACTTTTTTACTACAGTTCAATAAATTGACTAAGTCGGTTCGGTTTTGACCAAAGTTTAGCTCGTTTATTAATTTTCCACCCAAGCTACTGCCACCACGATCTCCAAAGTCGGAAATCATTTTCACCGAACCACCAAATTTACAGATTGCCAACTGTCCTATTTCAAGTCTTCGCAATCCACTTTCTATCATAGCAACACTTTGACAAGCTTTCTGAAACATTCATATTATCCTCAAAAATTACACTGACCATCTACGATTCTACCTATGACTCTAAGCAATACACTATCAACCAGTCTGTAAGTGTTAAAGGCAAAACAGTGAAAGCACGTGAAAAATAAAAACAATAAATTACTAGTTTCCATGCAGCAGTGAATTTCGACTGTGTATACTTATCTACCAAGCAGCTTTCACTTTAAGAAACAAAATAGAAAATCACAAGTAAAGTTAAAACTGAAAATAAAATTCAAAACATACCAATTTAATTTGGTTATCGTGCATAGAAGATGAGTCGTCAACAGCTATTAAAATTTGGTAGTTGTGCTGAGCTTTCTTTGTACGACGTAACCAAATTTTATCTTTTCTATAGCCGCTAGCAATATATGCAATCAAACGACGCATATTGAGTCTTTTACCAGTTCGATAGTCACCTCTAAAATGGACAATGGGGATATTTTAAAAATATATAGTCATATATACAGGTTAGGTTTTACAGATAGCAATCTGACAATCACTGCTTTCTTACAACTACTTTCTCAAGTTTTTATCCTAAAATGTATTCTAGAAATAACTTACTCAAATCTGGAAGCCACTGTTGGTTCAATAATCATTCGCAGATTTTCCGAAAGCTCAGCTGCTAAAACAGAAACCGAATCAGAAATTCTATTCCATCGATCTTCTGCATCGGCGCTCGACAAACCTATCTCCTCTGTATCTAGCAAAGTAATTGTCGAATTTGAACATCCCATCTGTTACAATAAAAATTAATAAATAAAAATTTTGCAATTTTTATAGTTGTGACTTGAAACTATTCTTTCGGTATTCTAACCTATTCTCAATCTCCTATTTTAGAAAACAAAATTTTAGCGTAATGGGTAAAAATCGAAGAGTCAACAAAAAATGAATTCTTAAAAAACTTTGGAAATTAAAAACAACAAGTCATGAGTCATAATTTCAAAATGAAATAGACAAGTTTCCAACTTAATTCAATTTCAAATAAAAAGCTTACCGAACGATGAAAATTTGTTGTCGAGTGGATAATAGAGCTTTGGAAATCGGAATCCCAGATATCAGTATCGATCAAATCGCCCTCGTCCACTTCATGTTCATCTCCGGCACTATTATTTTTCGTCATTTCTTCATCATTCTGAAAAATGGTATTCATTCAACGATGCAATAATAAAACTAAAACTTTAATGTCTAGTCATCGGTCTCCCAGTATCGATGATACTACGACACATAAAATTTGTAGAATAATTAAAATTGATATATGCTAAAATTAAAGGAGTTTTGTAACTCTCGAGAATCAATTGAGATTTTTTGCCAGACTGCTAAAAATTTGAGAATTTCTGAACTAGACTATCAAACGTACATTAACGACACACCTGTTCTACATTTATATTCTTCAAGTCTCTTAACTGGTCTCTATTTCCTTTTGAATTTCTTGCTTCTTCTACCGAACTTTTATCAATGACTATCTGTTCGCGCAAACTGCTATTATTTCCATCAAGATGTCCAAATTCGGGTCCTTCTTCATCTTTTTGCTGACCGTCTTAAAATTAAAAATAAATTATTACCAAATCGAATAGAAAATGCTACTGTTTATCGAAAGAATTTGGATCACTAGGAAAAATAAATCGAATAAACTATAAAGAAAAAAAAAAAAAAAAAAAACAGGAAACTTGTTTGAAAACTAACTTGGAAGAGTTTTTTGTACGACTACATCAGTAATATCATCAGCTAATTTCTTCTCTTTTTTGGATTCCTTGTCATCTTCCTTCATATCTTCTGATTTTTCATTTCTTATATCGTCGTTTTCTGTTTCTCCACGACCACTTTTTCCCTTGCCTTCTATCCCCGCCATTAAATCACTGAAAAAGACACTTTTACAATTACAGATGTTGTTATAACTTCTAACAATATCTTATTTCTCTTTAAAATCAACATACTTCTCTCTCATATTCTCATCATCCTCAATTATGTCGTTCGGATTTAAAACATTGTCACTGCCTGTGATATCTTCCACTTCTCCCCTATCCATTCCTCCAGAACCACCTTTGAGGACTTCATCATCATTCTTGTTTAACTCTTCCACGTTAGCATCATTTGTTCCATTCTAAAAGGGAACAATTTGATAAATAAATGACTAAGTCCAAATGAAATACAAAACATAAAGTACAAAAGTTCGTCCTTATATTAAAAACTGAAATTTCAAATGTGATGAAATAAACCATAAGTCCGGAAAATTAAATAATCAGAAGTTTGATGTGAATAAGACCTACTCCAATAGTTTTAAGAAAAATACCACAAGTATTCACACATTTAACTGCATTTGTTAAACATTTTTTAACACTCACGAATGTCCCAAATATCCCAAATACTAAATATTTACAATAAATAAGTACCAGAATTTCCTCCTTATCCTTTTCAGTCATTTCTGTTATCATCTCGTCTTCAACATCACTATTTGACTGATCGTCATCTCCATCTAAATTATCATTCATAACATCTTCCATATCGTTCTCTGACTTGTTTTCACTCTCATTATCATCATTACGATCTCCATTATCTTCATTAGTTTGTTCGTAATCCTTATTATCCACACCATTATCCAATAAGTCACGCTCATCAACATTCTCCAAATCGTCATCAGCAGTGTCATCTTTACTATCATCATCATCATCATCAAATATATCTTTATCTTTTTTGTCATTTTTAGAATTCCGTTCATCATTATTCGCTTCCATATTGTCTGTTTTTTTATTTGCGCCTGGAAAATATCATAAAATATGCAAAAGAGACGATACTGACAAAATATAATTGATGGCTACAACAACACTATGCAACACTACATTAATTCTCACTTCGTTGGCTGATTTAATCACAAGCTGTCATTTCAGATAATATTCATATCAATCTTTCATTTTTCAGTCAAACTGTGCTTCTTGTCCTATTTTTTTTTAAGAAAAGCTGAATTCTCCCTTCGTTTCACCATATTTCATTTCAGAAGACTGATAAAATGACTCCATCAATCTTTCCCACTCGCAAAGAAATATTGAAACTAAACCTTCGCTGCCATCAGCAAGTTCTTGTTTATTATCATCATTTTGATCCCATAAATCAGGATCCAGTTTATCTTGCTCACTTTCGTTAACATCTCCCACCTCCATATCCGCTTCAGGTTCATTGTCTTCATCTTTATCACTTCCTTCATTATCTATAAGTAATCGAAAATAAGTTTCCTTGACATACAGATCCAACAACAGTACAAAAAAACCAATTTGTCTCCATAATGCGAACAAATTACTTAACTCGAACTGCTCAAACTGCTTCTTTAATCAATAAAGAATTAAACTAACCGTCGCACTGTTCACGATCAATATCCTCTAAACATCCACCAAAATCGTCATCCATGTCAAGCGGCGTACCATCGTCTTTATTTTCAACTGGTTCTACCGCATTTTCCTCCTCACCTCTCAAGCCTTCAACCTAAAAAAAGTCTTACACAAATTTTTGAAATCAATACAAATTCAATCAAAGATCCAGACAAAAGCTCAGATTTGAATTGGAAAATAAAGCCTTACTTTACGTCATTTGGAAAAAAATTGATGGAAAAGAAATAAGTTTAAATGGGCCAAATATATACAGTTTTACTTTTCTTTACCAGTAGTTTCAAATAATTTACCTGTCCTGTTTCATCGATATCATCACCAACATCCTTCTCACCTTTAGCATCTCCTAAACCAGCAATGTCATCATCATATGACTGCGGTTCACCTCCATCCTTTTCACTGCCCTCCTTTTGAGGTTTCGGTATCGGATTTACATAACCCTAGAGAATAAATGATATGACAGCACAAAAAATTAGCAATTAATTATTTCCCATAAAGCTAGAGCTGAACTGAACATCTTCCAATGCAAAAAGAACATAATTGAGTAAAAAAAATGAAGCTGATCAAATTAAAATATTAATTGGCCCTTGTTTTTCTCCTCTTTTATTCGTATTTCTAACTAGTTTTAGAAAATTATTCATCTACTATTACTATATGCCAATACCGTTGAGAATGATCATCATCTTATCGTTACTTTCACATTTAAAGCCAAAAAAAAAAAAATCTGCAAAGCCGAAAAACCAACTTTTTCAAGTAGTGCAGCAGTCATTGATTCGAAGTGTATATAATATTTGGCCAACTCAATTGCAGAATTCTCAACTACCTCCAAAATGAAGGACAAAAGTTCACAGAGCGTACTACTTATCGAAGTTACTTGCTCCAAACGATCATATTCCATTGATCGCTTACCTTCAGATAATTGTACACACAAGTTCCATATTTCTTCAGTTGACTAGAACAAAAAACTCTTCAGTTTTTAATTTGATTTAGAACTTATTTTCAGAGACTCATAAGTCAAATCAGATGAAAAGCCTCAAAGAAACTATAGTTTGCATAATCTTTTGCATAACCTTTTCTCCATTTGATCAATATATTATTTGTTAAATTAAAAATCGGGTTCAGCATTTAAGATGGATTCCTTTCAGGATGACAATCACTTGATTTAGCTCGTGGTGGGTTAGTTATTGATAACCAACAGTTTGTTTTTGTCACTTCATCATATATACTGGGAAAATTTTTTTTTGGTTAAAGGTATCAAGTCTAACCTTATCAAAATTCAAATTTCGTAGCAAATTTGTCAACTGCCTCAGAATATCCATAAAACGGTCATTGTCAAAATCAATTGACATTGCTTGCTTGTAAGTATTTTGCACTATGATCAACAAAGCTTGAATTCCCTCCCACTGTACATCTCCAGTCGTTGCCTGAACATTTGTCGGATTCGTCAATGCTTCTAAAACTTCACGCAAGATTCCCTTTGCCTCTTCGACCTCTTCAACCATTACACATGAGATGAGAGACAGTTGGGAATTTATATCGGTGCTTTCCGCTTTCACTGTATTAATGGTGTGCGATATATCGGAACTGCAAAAATTTGGAATGTCTAAAATATCAATTAAACAGATTCTAAAAGTCGAGTCAGAAGGCTCGTCAATAAATAATAGATGTGAAAGCTACAGATCGATTAAAAAAGTTATAACGGAAGCTAGAAATTCAAAAAGCTAACTGAACTAGAAACTTACGTGAAACATGGATCACAAACTTTAATTGAAATTCCTGATATATACAGAAATTTACCTTTTCCAAATAGCAATATTGCTACAATCCAATGAATGAAGAAGCGATAATTCAATAGTTTCAAGTATTCTTGATGCTTCATCTCGTATTTTTCTAATTACGTCAAATGTTGCATTATATTCTTGATGTTGCTTATGCAACTGCGATAATCGAGTATCTTGAATACCACTGAGTTTCAGAACCTGGAAAAAATTGAATGTAAATTCAACCCAAAATATAATCATCAAAAAAAAAGGATTTAAGAGAATAACTTTAAAAAGAAAAAATAATAATAAACATATTCTTCCCTTTATTTAAACTAATCAACATGTATATCAGTGAATTCAAAAAAATTACCAATCAATATACAAACACCTGTCAGCGAAATTTTTGCATGTCAGAATTTTTGAAAACAAAAATAAAATAAGTCACTAACGGTGTTTTCTTCGAAGTCAGTATTGCATTCCGGAGCGTTTTCAAGTTTTTTTCCCATAAATTCCAAAAGCGAATTAAATTTAAGCGCTGAATATTTCGACTGTTGTAGACAATGCAACCACTGCTGACCATGTAAGCAAGGTTGTTTTATATCCTATAAAAAGTACAGGAGGAAAGCATAACTGATAGGATTTTGAATTTTCAGTTAAACAAAAGCTAAATATATTTAAATCGCCTATAGTTCTGTAATATGTCTGAAGCACAAATACCTTAAATACCTTAGCATTTTCTAGATAATTCGACAACATTTTTTTAGAACTATCCATCCTCCTTAGCATTTCTCTGTTGACTGTTATAAGCTGATCACATAAGTACAGTTCATTCAGGATAAATTCCGTGAGTCCCTTTAATTCGCTCATCGTCTTCGTACCGATTTGGGCATTTGGCTTATGAAAATTCTTCAAAACAACATTTCGTGATGCTCCTCCGTACCTTATAAACTAAATGAAGAAATTTCATAATTAAAAGAGAAAAAAATCTATTCAACAAGTCTTAACTAAATCTATTGGATTACAATAAATCTATTAGACTACAACATCAATAAATAAGAAACGAAAATCTGAATTTTACATAATTTTATTTGCAGTGCGAAAAAATCATGAAAATGAATAAATAAATTTAAATTTTCGGAAATTTCTGAGACAATGGGAAGAATGTATTATGTTCAGTTGCTAATTTCTAGAATGACAGAATAACGGCGTCAGCAAAGAAAAAGTCCCTTGTCGATTTACTAATTTTCAGGTACATTGAGTTTACTTGTCTCTATCTCTACTTTTCACAGTACCTATAGCTTAAGATTAAACTTGACAGACCTTTGTCAACATTTTATTGTCTTCAGGCATTCCAGCGACAACATTAGCAGTTAACAGTTCAGCATTAACCATCAAGCCTTTTCGAGTACTTAGACCAAGTGCAATACTATCCTTCAATAAACGTGCAACTGCCTGAAAGTAGTAAACGGATTTCAGGAAGAACTTAAATAAATTACTGCAGCAAACATTACAATATTACATCATTGTTACTCTTTGAAACAAATCAATCAAAGAATAACTTCGAAATCAGAAGGGTATGTTAGAAAATAAGAAGGTCCGACTCAGATGTAGTTTTTTCTACCGATTTTTTCATTTGCCGGATTACGATTGCTGTATGTCCACAAAGAATGAAATTTCGAATATAATGGAAATTCAATCTTTTATTGTAAATAAAACCAAATATACCGATTCCGATAAAATCATTTTCTACTGTGTAAATATGCTCTCTACTACGAAAAAATTTTACGAATCTTCTTTCATACATCATAAGTATGTACAAATCCTCTTTTTACAATTCCGTCTAGGCATATACCGTCGGATATTTCTTTAAAATATATGTATATTATACCTTTTGTCGTTCACTCAGTGCACGACCTTGCTGCTTTTCCTTTTCACTGTCGCTACCCTCGTACTGAACGTCTTTACGAATGAGATCGTTGCAGCATTTAACAAATTCTGTTAACTGAAGTTTCAAACTTTAAAGCAAATAAAACTTAAAGGAAATTTGCAGTGAAATGAAAATATTTATGATTTTCATATACATAGAAGCTAATTGTTTTGAAAGTTTAAATGTGGAAAAAACAGCAAAATGATATAATGCGTGGTCATGCTTAAAATGACATTTCATTTCGATATGAGATCAAATTGATGTATTCTAATGTCCTCATCGAATAATTCTACACCAAATGATTTGTTAGACCCGATCGTGGCGCTAACTGAATCAAAAGCATACTTAGAAAAAGAAATTTGGAGGTGTTAATATCATTCGAATGATCAGTCAGACATGCGTGACATGCCTTACAACTTGTACTTTCTTTCCCCAACGACTTATCCAGAATAATTTTTAACATAATATATTATGGAACTTACTTCCTCAATATTTTCCAAATGGATACCATCCATTAAATGTTTCGCAATTTTTGACGTTAAGTCAACCGCACGTTTCGCATAAAAATCATTACATGATATTATTCGGTCAGTAGCAAATGTCGGTTTAGTCTGATGTTCTGTTGTTGACAGCATTTGTGGAATTTCATCAAGAAGGGGAGCAACTAAATCACTACTGGATAACTTAAACTGTTTCAAGAGACGAAATAATTGCTTGTGAGCTTTTTGAGCTGATGCCTTCACGCTCCATAAATTTAAGTCATTGTATTTCATGATTTTTACAAAATCATGTAGCTGCTTTTCTGTTGGTTCCTTCTGTGTGGCTAATTTATTTTCAACTATCTGAAATCAAAACCTGTTGGACATGAGAAATTAAAGTTTATAAATATTAGTTTTTATTTGCAAAATACAGAGCAGAAAATTTGGTTTCGAATTAATCTATGCCTTATTTTAAAATAAGGTTATCCATTATACCGTTTACTTCAATTAGTAAGTTAGACCTATTCTTAGCAGTAAATCCGAAATTAACTGAATCCTCACTAACTTCAAATTCCAATAAGAAAAAAATGGTATTTGTGATGGCACTGGAGTTTAATACTTCTATTTCAAATTGTGCAAACGTCTAAATTTGAAAAAAAAAAAAAAACTTGCAGTGTCAAATAGCCGGAAATATGCAATTACTGATCTCAGGCGCTGACATAAGTTACCCCTCATACTTTCTTTTGCCAGCATGATAAACTTGATAAGCAAATCAGCAGTCAATAGCCGAGCTTTAAAGTCAATAATTGTCGAATTTTGTATCCATTCAATTGTCATCGCTAAAATTTCATCGTCGCCTTTATCCACTTTATAAAGTGCTTCGAAAAGTGGCCACGACAACAGCAGTGTCTGTGTACGACAATCGGTCTGTAACAAATTTTCAAGTGTTCAGTCAAATTATCCAAATAGATTTGAAATTAAACACATAAAACCGAACATAACGACTACCCAAATGTTTTACTCATAATAAAACTGATTGTAAAAAGTAAGAAATTAGTCAAACTTCACATCAGGATTATTTTTCTAAATGACAGAAGTAGCTTATTTGATACTTCACGTAGATATTACAGCATTTTAAGTACCAATTAGTAACTAAATCGAAAATGTAAAATTCAACTACCTGTACTTGTTCAAGTAAATTATCCCAACACAATACTTCCATCTTACGCCAATTCACCAACAAATGTCGCAACTCTTCCAGTTCATTCATTAGCGAATGCTTTCGATCAGCCACTTTCTCCCATAAATCTGCTTCTGCTGAAAAAAAAAAAGATTCAACATTTTTCTCTTAATGACATATTAATGAATTTAGGGAGCAAAAACATTTCCACTTGGTTAGAATACATAAAATTATGAATGATAATGATATGAAAAAAAAAAAAAAAAAAAAGGAAAAGCATAAGGTTTTCAGATCAGAAAAAGACAAAAGTCTATATGCATAAAAATAGTCATCAATGTAATATTAATCAGGTGATCGGTTACTATAGACAACCACTATAGGTCCTACCCAGCAGATGCTCCAGAAGTGCCGAAAATTGCATTTGAGGAGTTTCCATCGACGTAGACAATATCTTCTGTGCTCGCTGCAAAAATTAAGAAAATATAACAAATAAACCAAAAAACAAAATGAAAATGAAAGATTAAAATCACTCAATGTTTAATAAACTATTGAAATGAATTGGAATCGCACAATTTTTAAACAATTACTTTTTGTATATTATTATTATTCATTTTTATCGTTTCAATTTTAAATCAATTGAAACTCCTCAATCAGATATTGTATAGTCCACATTATTAAATCATATGTAACATTAACCTATATTGTCGGCAAGCAATCATGATCTTAATACAAAACATTTTTCAGAATACAATAAATGGTAAAATGTAGACTTATAAATTACGACGCATCACCTGCAATATACCATCCAAGATTGTCATTTCAGGCCATTTTTCTTTTAACCAGTATACACGCTTAATTAGCGGCTTCATTGCTGTAATACATTTCTCCAACTCTGATCGGCTATTCCTTCGGTAAACGTCAACAACCCGCATATCTTGATTACGATCCAACTGATTAAGTGCGTACAAATTGTAAACTGTAATAAAGATCAACAAAAAAATCAACCGATCGTGGCAACGTAGGAAAAACTGATAATATTAGATTTATCAAAAAAAAAAGGAAACATGAAACATTAATAGGGAAAAAAGATAAGCAAACAACTTTTTTTTCAATCCATGAAGTTGAAATCAAAACTCATAATTTTTAAAATTTCTGAAATTTTTTGAAAGTTTCAAGTAATGATTATGAAAACAAATAGTGAAGAAAATACCAAAAATTTTTGAATCTACAAAATCGTCCACAAGACCACAGGACAATGCTGTATCCATCATCCACGCTAAAGCCATGTGACCATCGTAGTTATGCATAGATTTCTCATTCGCCAATAAATGAAGTATTTCTGTTAAACCTTCGCTATCGATGCAGGTCTCAGATCTTGAAGTGAAAAGTTGAGGTTCTTCAAGTAAATCTTGCTCATCGTTGGAAGTTGAGAAATCTGGCAGCAGTTCTCGAAGCTGAAAAATATATAAAATGAAGCAATATTTGACATTCTGCTAGTCCTTGTTAGTTAAAGACATTTATATGCCTAGATGATGGCGCAAAAGTGACCAATAAAATGTCAAAAGTAAGTTGACAATTACAGCAACAGAATCTATGTGACACATTTTACAAAAACGTTCTAAATTCAATATTAAGATTACTGAAAAATCAGTGATAAACCCAATTAGGAAATTTGCAGTTAAATTGCACTCATAAATGGCTCGATTTCTCATGATTTCAACATATATTTATTTTTGTCTTATTCTTTGACACTAGATGGGGATATAATTCACCGCCTTTTTAAATTGTTATTCCCTGATAACTGCTGTATTCTACTCATCTTACATTACCTTTATGTCATCCTCATCAAGTTCTTCTTCTCCATACTTTGCGCTTTTTCGATAAACATACGCTTTTTCTTGCTTTTCTGTATTAGCTTTAAACCAATTCGACCACTCGTTTCCTGAAAAGCATCAATTTCAATAAATATATTGTATTTCCAAAATCTTGATCTTCTATTCCCCAATTGCCTGAATTGATTGTTTGAATCAAATGAAAGCTTGATTAAAGAAATCAACAAAAATACGGTCAAATTAATTTTGACCCAAATCATAGTCACATTTTAAATAAATGAAATCAATTGATATTAGCCTGAAATTTTTATTATTAAGTATTGTTTTTTTTTTTTTATTAAGTAGGATGAAGGCTTAGTTATGAAAAATGAAATATTTGCACGAGTCACAACAATTTCACCTATTCGTCTTCTAAATTACAAAACATCACTCACTAATCCATTCAACAACTGCTTTGATCATAATCTCTTTGGGTTCGGTGAAGCACTGCCTGTTTTTCCTGTATTTCTGCAGAGAAAGAGCTACTAATTCTTTCTGTAGTCTCTTTGGCATTATTGTCTTCTGCGAGATACACCATTTATAAAAAACACCACTTTCTGGTAAATTATTCAAGCAATTCCACTTAAACTGCAAATTTTTGTTAAAATTACTTTGCTGTTATAAGCAAAACAATGATTTCTGCTCTCTTCAAACTACATCATACTTGAAGTTTATCCGATTTAGATAGTGCAGTTATATACCGATAGCTTAATATGATCTTTTTACTTTCAGATTACGTCTTTGCTACAATGTTTATATCCCATTATTTCATGACTACATGCTTTTTACATCACTAAAACTATAAACATATTAATTTCCGGAAATTTTAAACAAAATTCAAACGAGATATTTCTACACGCTTCTTACAACAATAAAAATAATACAAATCAGTTTATTCTCTCGCCATCATCCTATTCTATCAAATTTGATTCATTAACTAATCCTAGAAATCTTATTTATTTTTTTAAAATCAATGAGTTAAGATTTACCGAGAATTTGGTTGGAAAGTTGTAGGCAGCAATCAAATCGCGTGAATTGATTGTTTGAATCAAATGAAAACGCTTGTACGAAACCGCTGCCACCAAAACATTCAAAAACATGAAAAACGGGCAGATAATATCCACAAAAGCACTATATTCAGCAAATATTTTCTGAAAAAAAAAATGTACGGACATGCACAATTACTAATTTTTAAAAAGAGATAAGAACCAGACATATTCTTTAGTCATTTGGTTTTAAAACAACAGAAACATACATTATAGAAAGACTGAACAGACGTCAGAAAGCTATCAATCTGTGCTACAGTCATTTGAATATCATTATCGGATAAATTGTCTAAATGATCCAAATCAATATGGGAAAATGTGCGATGCTGTTCGACAATTCCTTCCAAGAAAGTATTCATTGTTATTGCCAGTAATGGGAACTGTAAATTATGAAAAAGTCTTTAAGATTTTCGAGCAATATAAAAAATTTTTGAAGAAACGCAGCAAATGAAATTTCTTCTTAAAAAAATTTTTAGACTGACTTCAGCTTAGTTTCATATATTTGAAACTATAGTAATTAGGAGTAATAACATGCATATATATGGTAAATGACAAATCAAGAATTAGTTTCTAAAAATCGGGATTGAGGAAAATCTGCTCTAATAGATGCTCTAAAACCAATTTCTAAGTCAGCAATAATATGAATATGCTGTTTTGCCAAAATTGTCAACGAAAATATTACACAGTAATAAGCAAACGGCAAGAAACTAATTCACTAAGAAAAAAAATTTAAGCAACACCCTTAAATTCTCTCATTCTTATCAAGGATACCTCAAATTCTATGAAAGTATCTTTTGTTAGAATTTAACTTTAAAAATTTACATCTGTATGCCGAGGACGAAAAGAAACTGTATTTTGCGAACAGTTTTGCAACTCCTTCACCACAAAATTATGCGCATTTAAAAGAATACTGATGAACGGATGCTTGGAATTTGAAAATAATGTCAAATCTGTCTGCCCACTTACTATTCCCTGATAGGATTGTAGAACTCCAATAATATTTTCAAGCAATTTTTTCTAAATTCAAATAATTAGAAATAATTAGTCACAATAAGAAACAAAATTAAACGGAGTAACACCAGTAGGTAATGGCTTCAGTCTTTCTAGAGAGAAAAGAAAACTAAGCAAAAAAAATTACCTTATTCATCAAATAATTGAAACTCATTTCATCATTTATCACTGGGTCAATGCAGTTCTTTGCCGGAACTGATAGTGATAACAATGAACAAGCAGCTATTTCCAGTCGTTGCATTAAACTTGACAAGGTAATGTTGGAAGATAAATTAATAAAAGATGGCGTATCCATCAACGATTCGAAATGATCTATCAGAGTTAGAAGCTTTTCCCTGAAATAATTTACCTGCTGAAAACACCACATTTCAATAACTTTTAAGCAATATTTTTGAAGGATCTAATCACTTTTGTATAATTTAATCAAAACTAACCACTCTAAAATGATCTACCACATGCTCATTTTCCAAATTCATTCCTGAACTATCACTCCACCAGTGAAACAGCAATTTTCTAATCATTTAAAAAACCTAACAAATATTCCTCAAACAGTTTTCTGTCACCGTCTAATAGTAACCAATCCTGAATTACAATAAGATAGCGCATCAAAATCTCTGCACATGTTAGAGTAGACAAAAAAATCAGATTTTGAAAATCTAATTTAATTTATCACAATTTAAGCTTTAGTGCTAACACAACAACGAATACAGCTACGATTAAGACCACTAACCTGTATTTCAGTTTAAAAGATTTTAAGTGAGCTCCGATCTTCCATAAATAAGTACATAAATGCTTTCGCTGGATGGGAAAATCACCAAGCTGTGCCAGCGTAATCTCCTGTGAAGATAACTGAAAACTCATCGGACGCCATATTGACGAGAACAATTCCGTACCCAAAGTGACCCAAGCTAGATCACTATTCTGGAAAGAAAATTTAATTGTATCGAAATGTTGTATCGAAATTCATGTCTTTCTATTATTAACAATTCTATTCCATCAATAACATCAATTACTTTATTGAACACCAAAAAGTCATTTCTACTATCCTATGTTTCCATACAGCGCAATTAGAGGACTTTTCTGTTCTTTAAATAAAACTGTTTTGAACATTGTCTGATCTGAATTCAAGATCTCCTGCAAGAATAGCAGAAAATCATAGTCTAATTTAAATAAATTTTATTAACTTACTTTACATGCAATCGGAATTTCTCGAACAGCAAAATCCGAGCTAAGATATTGGCTAAAATATGCAACTTGTGACCATTTTTCATCTTTAAGATTTAACCATGCCAAGCGATAAAGTTCAACAGGATGATGCACTGATATTGATAACAACTCAAGCAATGTCTGTAAAATGAAAAGGATAATCAATAAGATGAATGCACAGCATAAAAGGGCAGTATATTCAGTACACTGTGTAATGAATTCTTTCACATACAATATGTGAATCATATATTCACTGGAATAAACATTACGTAATTCTATTCTAGCAAAGTTATATCTATGATAGTAACCATCAAAGTATTTTGTTTGTTTTTTTAAAACATCAATAGATCAATACCTGTTTTTCATTGTGATTATTCAAAATAGCAAAACCACAGCAAATATTCTTCATTAATTTCAGTGCTATGCTTAAAACACTACTCTTATTATCATCATGTTTTTCCATTTCAGCAATATTTTGTTGTATCAAGCAGCTTTCATTTTCCATTGAAATACTGCACGTATTCAAATCTTTGAGTTCGTCTTCATACTGCAATAAAACTGTCATTGGAAGTTGTTAAATCCCAAAAGTTGCAGAATTTGCAATGTTTGAAAAATTCAATTCAATTCAAAAAAAAAAAAGACAAAGAAGAATAATCTGCATGCAACGCCATTTCTCAGTAATGAAGATAATTCGATCTTATCTAAAAAATAACATAATTTCGTATCTGAAATAGATAAACAGAAACATGACAAACCTTTCTCCACTCCTCATAACTCCGAAATGGTTCAAAAAAGCTACATCGTTTGTGAAAATTAGAGTAACGCTCCAAAGCTTTCTTATCAGTCAACCACACTTTATCGATAGTAGTTGCAGCAGAACATAAACCTGTGGACCACCTGAATTAAATCACTAATCAATCACCTCATTAAATATTAAGTACGTATGTAAGCAAAACGTTTCCATTTTAACTACTAATGTGTTAATTCTTAGGAATTGAGAAAACAAAGGCTCAGCATAACTGTTTAACTGTACATCAGCATCTCAGACGCAAATTACCCTTATACCATCATCGCCCATTTTTATCCAACTACTACAAAGGTAATCCCGAAACCGAACTCGAACTTTACGACTAATACATGGCAATTCCTAGCAATACACCACCAGTCGAACATTACATTACTCATTGTCAACATAAATTATTTTGCAGAGCGCAATTAAATATTTCTCATTGATTGTTTCATAATGGATAAATATTAGCTATAGCTTGCATGTTCTCTATTATTTTAAAGCTCCAAAATTTCCAAATAACTTACTGTTTCCAAATATTGGAATAAGAAGGATCATTCAAACGCTGCCATGCAAGATGAAGTGGAGCACATCCACTTCGTAAATCCATTTGCTGATGGCATGTTTTTATGAAAAGTGTAATATTCCACAAGATCTGAAACCTTATTGTTATATTAAGCACTGCACATTTAAAGTTTAGCATAATGAAATCTAATATCTTGCATAAAGTGGATACGAAAGTGATTTAAAATTTTAATTTGCCTATTATTGATAAAAAACATTGATAACATCACTTATAATTAGTCATTGGTTTACCAATGCATTTATTCTGCAAAATTTGCTTAAAACCAACTCGAGCAACTTACACGCCTTTAGCTAGCCTTTATATCTGATTAACAAAAAAATACTCATTTATGACAAAGTGCTGCTCGTACAACACGTCCAGAAAGTAAATTATCGACTGTTTTTTCTCTTTCATATTCCAAAAATTTGACAATAAAGCAAACAGAAAAAAAATATAATCAGAGAACAAAAAAAAAAAAAAAGTTACTAAGCATGAATCCGAGACCGCATAATCCGTTGAAGAAAACTTTGAAATGTACACATTTAATTCATTAAGCAGTTCTTTCACATGTGAAATTGCAGGTGAAGGAAGTTGGTCACTCCGGATTTTTCCTGGAAAATCAATATTCAAAGCTAACCTGATTTAATTAAGTCTATTACATATCTACCTAGAAGCTTCAATGTGAAAAGAATGAATTAGGAGGTATTGAAATATATCTAAACATTGAATCAGAAATTTCAAGAACCAAGTAACCATCGATATTGTTAAACGGATATTGTTAAATTATGCATATTTAGATTCGTACAATCGGTATAGAAAAATCTGCAAATATTTCTCGGAATGCTCTGTGAGTCAAGATCTTGAACTCACTTTTAATAAAAAGATTGCTTATGTCAACGGCAGATCCTTTCTCAGTCAAAATCTTATCCAGATTAAACTTTGTCCACAAAGCGCACATCCCGACGATAAATCTAGAAAATTGTTTACTGATATATTTTCTAATAAAAACAAATTACCAAACTATTGTAAAAAAAACTGATTTAACACAAAAAATTGATCCAACTTAAACATAAATTTAACTCGAAATTCATGATCAGCAGAATCAGCAGTCCAACTGTCAGTCACGCTAGTGCTATTGCTAGCATTATTTTAGAGTCTAATTTTCAAGCTTCAATAGATATGTAAGAATTAAAGTGTAAATTTACATATATAAATGAAGAAATTTTAAACCATGATAAAGCTTTTTCTGTTCATTATTTCATGTTAGTAACAAAGTTTGTTTTTTGTTCTATAAAGTGATTTGCATCAATAGATAATATGACACCTATCATTGTCTACATATTTGTCTGGAGGTTTTGTAATGCGCAATGTTGGAGAACCATCAAAACGTTCGTCATAATCCAGTGCCTTATTTTGTTTCAGGTTTTGAATGGCTTCAATAACCTTATCTCTTGCTTTCGTATCTAAAAAATATTGTCAACAAATTAATCAATGAATTTATTAAAGATTTGGTAATCATTTGTTTAATGAAATATTAATTTAAAAAATTAACAACCTGTGCACTTAAATAGTTCGACCATTTCCTCAATTTCCAGCTGTTTGAACGGAATGCAAAGTGTAGCCCAGAGAACACCAAGCATCCAATCATGTTGACTTACATAGGACCAAACCAAAATTTTCCATTTGCTGTATATGGTAGCAAAATTAGAATCTATTGCAGGGTAAACTATGAAGGTTTCTTCGTTGTTCTCATCAGTGTCCATGACTTCTTCATTCATGATTATTTTGAAATGCTGAAATTTTGGAACTCAATTGCTTCATTTAACTCGGAATTTCAAGTTATTACACATCTAATTATCATTATCATATCAATAACACTAATTACAAAACATTCCAAACATTTATTTGATCCTACTTTTGCATCGAAGAAAAAAAAATTCGTAATTTTCGAACTGCCGTCAGCTTTTTAATAGAAATGCGAACGTGAAAGCTGACCTTTATTACATTTACAAAATCCGCGTCTTTCTCCTTCAAAAGTATCTTTAACTTCAACAACTCCCAGCATGAAAGCTGCTCATAAGCTTGCATTATTGCTGGTGTAATTCGCAGAATATTTTGATTTTCCGTGTTCATCACCATATTCTTGAAATAAAGTTTACAAAGGTAAAGCTAAGAGTGTACTAATGAATTTAGAATAATCATTTAATAAAAAGGGGAAGAAATGTTATCCACAACTAAAACCAAGAAAAAAGAAATCAAAATTTCTTGATAAAAAATAGAAATAACAAGTACGTACCACTAGATCTTGTGCTACTCTAAACCAAACACCATCATCAGGAAGTAAATATAATTCTACTGAACGATTACGCATAGCTCGTGAAACGCTGCCGTAATCATCATCCATAGTGAAGAAAACTCTAAATTTATGAAACCATTAAACTGTCTAAAGTAACAATCTAACAAGACATCAAAAAATTATGAGCCAAAATAATGCGAAACTTTTATCACTCAATTACTTATAGTATTTCAGTACAGCAAATAATCGTTCAGAAGTTGGTCTGAAAAGTAAAATTAACAAACAGTAACCGGAAATCATTATGTGCTTTTACAACAGAAGTACCATCACCACATTCTTGTAAATTCAATTCCCCATTACTTTCTAAACAGGCATTTAATCGATCCAATACTGCGGCACTATAAAAAAACGAAGTCAATACAAGAGGTCAATATATCGCCTTAATCAAACAACTAAAAAATAGTTCAAAGTTGATGATTAAGAAGCAACCTGCAACAATTAACATTTTCAATCAAAATCCAGTAACCATTGATAAATGCATCAACAAAACGACTATTAAGCCATTCAAAACGCATTTTACTTTCACCCAATTCCTTGTAGTAATCCAACAATTTATTTGCAATATCTATAAAAGTAATACTCAAAATCATTTTGTCATGGATAATAAGTAGAGTAAATTAATTTCTATTTTTAACAATATAGAATATCCAAGAATTCTCGGAAATGTCAAAATTCAAAAACACAAACCATCATCGACAAGAAGCATAGCGGTTTGTATAGCTAGTCGTAAAGTAAGTATATCATTAGCACTATGTATATCATCCAGCAAATCCGGAAATCGTTTAAGCAAATTCAAACAATGTTGTTTTATGGAAGTGAAATTGATCTGATCGGTAATCTTAATAATGCGATATTAATTAACCTGTATATTATTTGCTAAAATATATTAAATTCTTAATTTGGAATTGAAAAATATGCGAAATTGCTCCCGATATCACACGGTACAGCAGAAAGGAACGACCGAATGTACTACAATGGTTTTAATATGAAAAATACATATTGATGAAATCGTGATTATTTATCCTGGATAATTGAGAATGTAATAAATATTAGTAAATAGTGTTTAATTAGCCATGAAATTTTGATAAAAAAAAAAACATTCAAGATTACTCGAAATAAAAATCTCTTGTAACCTGTTCAAACGACCCGAGAAGTTCGAGTGAATCAGATTCTGAAGTTAGATGTATCGTATGAAGCTTCTTTCCCAGTAACGATGCCAAAATGCTTATAGCTGTTGATTTGCCAGAACCAGCTTTTCCGACAATTAATGCAAGCCAATTCATTTTCACGCAAACAGCAAGTTTATTCAGCAATTTCATTTGCGATGACAACAATTTTCTGAAGAAACATTAGCTCATTTAATTTCAGTTTACGTCAGTTAAGTTTAGTCTCAAGAAAGCTGTGTTAAATGTAAATTTCGAAAATTAACTTAGACTTGAATTTGAAAAAAAGGGAAATAAAATCTACGTATTTTGTCGCCCGCATATTGCTCCCGATCGTTCGAATTCCACTTTTCCAATGCGAATATATGAACCAATCAAAGAAAGTGATGCTACAGCTTCAGTACATTCAAATTTGAAACATTCATAAAATAAGCTTCGCATCTGTAATATTTGATCTATGAAATTCAAACTTTTGTGGACGGATAAGTCGGATAAGTCTTATATTATGACATTAATCATTCCTGAGATATTACACCAACCAATCTTTTTCTCAGTGAATCGAAAGAATTAGCAAAGTTAAACCTACTTTTTGTCGATCAGCATTACTACGTAATCTCCATACGTACAATAAATCAAAACCATATGCAACATCACCATTGTTCTGTAAAAGTAGAGAAAAAACTGTTTGACGCATATCTTAGTAAATAGTTTCCAGCTAAATCCGTTAAAAATTCGAAAAATATAGTGCAAAATTCAACTTACAAAAACTTCTTTAACTTACTTCAACCGTTAGTTGTGCCCATCTCAACAAATCACGCAAATTAAATTCAAATGGTGATCCCTTCCTTAGAAACTCTGGATCTTCTGCCATAAGATTTGTTATTGATTTGTTCACATTAACCATACTTTGGATAATATCATCAATCAATACAGATCCAAATGAACTTCTTATAACTTCAAAGAAATCTGATGTATCCATTTCGGCTACATAAATCTGCAAACTTTTTCCTGATTCCAGGACAATATATCATTTTCACCCACTCAAAAACGAATGATACAGATTTTACTAAAATAAATCATATTACATAGTTTGATATAAATTAAGTAATCTGCGTTTTGGGTAGTTTCCAAAAGATTTAATATTACGAAATCCTATAATCTTTTTTGTCATTATTGAAGAAAACATACAGATGTGAAGCGATTAACATATGATTTGGGTAGCTTCCGTCGATTGCCTCCTTGAGAACATGGATTTTGACATGCAAAAAAACGCGTTTTCCTATCACCAACACCAATATCGAAGGTTCGATTCAGTTCTGGTATGAAAAGATGATGACGATGGTCGAAACATGCATTCAAACCTTCCAAAACACTCTGTGATGCCAGATTCATCTTAAAAGAATTTATACATTTGATTTTCAAATAATTCAATTTACTATTCAGTTCGACAATCCTATTTATTTAATTCCCTTAAACTATATAAACACACCACAATCAAACACTATAGCCGAACATTATATAGTAAAGATTGATATCCTATAAGCTCTAATTTTACATATGAAACATGGAATAAGTAATTCCGTTGGAAAGAATACAATTTTACTTTAATATTCATCATGCCAGTTTAAGTGATCATCTTTTTGAAACATAAATCGTTTATATGTATCGATAGAAAAAATATGACTATGACTGTTCAGTTTTCAAATTAATATAAAAAATACCAGTATTAAGTATACTACAAAATATCCAATAAACATGGAAAAGCCACATATTAAATATGCAAAAATCTTAAATTATGACCTCATCTAGAAGAACCCATTGTCCCGTTTTGATTGCATGCAAAATAGGTCCATCTCTCCACATGAAAGATGGTGTACCATCAGACAAAATAACGGGCACATCGCAACCGAAGAGATCTGCCAAGTCCTAGAATAGCTAATGCAAGTTTTCTTTTCAACAAAAATTTATCATCAACAATTATAAATTTAGCCATGTGTTTTTTTTTTTAAAAAAAAAAAAACAGACAAAACAAGAAACTACCGTTTGTTCCGACAAATTCAATCTAGTCAAAGAATGGCCAGTAACAGCAGCTAAAGCAACAACAGTGCTTGATTTACCACAACCTGGAGGACCTTCAAGCAATATTGGTTTATCAACGGCTAATCCACGCACAAGCCTAGAAACATATTGTTATGTAAAAGTTAAATTTTGAGTAGTTATTTGAACAATTTTAATATAAATCGCTAGTAAAAAAGAAATGCTTTTTTTAAAATATAGTTTTTATTATGAGAAACTATAACTTTACGGCAAATACTCATGAATCATTTACCACTATCTCCAAAACCTTAATCGTCGATGATTTCAAGCTTACAGTTTTACAGTTTTCTAACTTTTAGTTTAATTAAATAAGACTTAAAGGAAAGGAACAATTCAACTATTCACAAAATATGCAGTACAAGTTATTTCAAAATAGAGCAAACTAAAATATCAAGATAAATAGAGCATTATTTTTTGTTAAGAATTATGCAGTAATAAATCCATAACAAGAAATATTTAAAATTGAACGAGCAGTGTGTTCTCATACCTGAAAATATTCTGCTTACATGTCAGGGCATCAAATGTAAAATCTTTGGGTATAAATCGTTTGGCTGGTCCAAAAGGAATACGAAAATCTCCAACAATGAGACTATGTGAATCTTTTTCATCGAAATGCAATGTAGCCGGTAAGGAAAGCGATGCTACATCACAGACGCTATCCAATTCTTGTTGAATAATTTGACAGAGCTAAAAAAGAAATGTAAATAACTACAAATGTAAATTATTTTATTTGGACAACAACTTCAAGTGTAATAATCTAACTCGTAAGGGAACCGTGAATGAACAAGGAGGTCTAGAATTTAAAACAATCTGAAAATAAATTAGTGATGGAATTATCTGGAAGTCACAAATTCCACCATCCTAGAGTTATCCCCGTTTTGTAAGACAAAACAAATAACAAGTAAATTTTTGCAGAAAAGAAAAAATTTTCACTCCATCAATGGCCTTTTTCTTTAAGACATTGCAATCCAAACTGATACGAGTCGATAAAGTACCAAAAGCATCAAAAAGAGTTGCCGAAAAAGCATGGTAAATTGAAAAAGATGGTGAATTAGATCGTGACAATGCAGCAATAACAAGCTGAGTAACTGCTACTATATCACGAATTGTTATCGTATTCCTGAAATTTACAGGAATCTTATTTATTCGGCTTAATTTTTCTATTTAGAAACTATTCATTATCAAATAGAAAATTCTGAATCAAAAACAAAACTCAGGTAAGTCCTACATTTCACTGAAATTTGAACCTTCCATCCAGCATTTAATTTGTAGTCATATGAATTCACAAACCTTAGCATATGAGAATATTTATGATCAAACCACTGCACGAATTTTACAATACATTTGTTAACTTTTAACCGCAAATCATTCTCATCCAGCAGTGTAGTTGTACTCAGCAGTTGATCCACAATAGCAGTTAAATCATCACCGAATACATTTGATGGACACCAAATTTCTGTGAATCGATTTCTCAGTGCTTTTGAGAGCTACAACGAAATGATTAGAATTGACTTAATAATCTACTTCGAAATTATCTGACCCAACAATATTATAAATGCACAAAGATTTTGTAATAAATCATTACACTGCACTGACAATCATAGATCCCTGAAACCTAAGCTTTAAGATCTCGTCCTTCTTATGAATTTTAAATAAATTGTTAAATATAACAAACCTCTTTTTTACCATAATCTCCACCGGGATTCATAGTTGCTATAATATTGAAACCACTTTTTGCTTGTACTTCCCCACCCGATAAACTGCCATCATTCAAAAACAATGAACGGGATGGCTCCAGCAAGGGATTCAGCCGCTCCAAAACCTGATCATAAGAATGACTTAAACAACTCAGTTAAACTAACAGGTAAAATTAAATAGAATATTCAAGACAAAAAAAAGAAAAAAAAAAAAAACAACAAACCGAATCAGAAGCAAGCGAGATTTCATCTATAAGAAGTGGTCGACCTTCTTTCATTGCCTGTACGACTACTCCATATATCCATTTGAATGCACCATTACCAACCGGACGTAATGAACCCAGAAAATCAGCAGCTTCCGTTCTTTCATGACAATTCAAAGCCAACAGATTCTCCTGCAATATTTTTTAACCTATCATATTATGCATTTAATGAATGCTAAGTTCTAACATACTTTACACAAATCAACAAATCCATGGAATGAAATGGCATTTTTATAGATCAGTTGTCATTTTCCTCCAGAAACTACACATAAAGATATCTTCTATCCACCCTACAAAACAAAAGAATCACTTTTGCAAGCATCTGAGCAACCGTTGTTTTACCACATCCTGTTTCACCAATCATTAGAACTGGCTCAGCAAAGTGCCAACTTTGTGAAACCAAAACAAGCATCCTTCGAATGGTACTGGTTAAAACAATATTATTCACAGCTGTGCATGAACGAAATTCAGGCGGTAAGTAGTGCGAGTCAGTGGCAAATAATCGCTCAACATCTATTTTACGCTTCAAATTTTTTTCCAATATTTTTTTCACGCATTCGACATCGACTGCATTACGACATCGTGCACCAAGCAACATAAACCCTGAATTCTATGATTTTTCTTCTCCAGTTTTTGGTGACTGTTTCAAAAATGAAATAAGCAAATACGAGACTACATGCTCTGAAGAAAACATCGATAATGTTGAGATATGTTCAGTTTCTAAGAAATTACTAATTGATTAATTTTTAATATATTTTTGATCTTAATTTTAATATTACTAAATTTGTCTCATATTTTTCTTTAAATTTAAAATACGCTGAAAAAAAAAAAAAAAAGAAAAAAAAAAAAGAAAAAACATACGTTCAACAGCACAATTAACACTTTATATGATAGAAAAAGACTTACCATGTTCAACCAAACACTGACGCCAATCATTGTCATTAGAACCTGCAAGTCGTTGTCCCCATCTGAATAAATCACGAAGTGTCATCAACCCATCACTGGCTGAAAAAACGCCAATCGCACTACGCTGAGCACGTAAGTCACAAAATACCGAAACCATTGCTTGTGCAGCTGATGGGGCGATTTTACAACTGAAAAAAAAAAAAAATTCATAAAAGAATTTAGATTTAATTTCACTAAATATATTCAAAATATTTCGTTACAATATTGAAGCAATGTTGCATATTGTAGTGCCAAGAAATAAACCATCGAAAGGAAGATATACACACAGAAGCACTGGTAAACGTTACTTGATTAAATCCAAATGGATCAAAAGGAAAAGGAACAGTTTACTTCTGGCATTTTGAAAGTTTTCAAAATTATTCTGGCTATACCTTGACTGATCAAGACAATCAAGACATGATCAGAATAACACAATACTGGAAAAATTTTTGTAATTACAAAAGCTTTGGAAATTATCGTTACCTAACGATGATCATTTGAGCTAGTTCATTGTATGGCAGTTGATCGAATTGCAAAACAATAAAACGATTGAGCAAAGCACGTGAGAGAGGTTTACGACCGGCATAAGTGCAAACGGGATTTTGCGTTGCAAATACACGAAATCGGGGATTAGCCTTTACGACTGTGTTCGTTTCAGAAATATACAATTCACGATTATCATCTAGCAACTAAAATTAAAACAAATGGCAACTAAAATACATGTAAATCTAATCCCATTTACAAACCGAAACGGCAAATTGTGAGTGAAAAGATCGAATATCATGCGTGTTATTCCAATCCTTAAAAATATTTGATCAAAAAACATACCCTATTGAAAGCTTCAATGATATCGGTTGGTGCAAGATTTAGTTCATCAAGAATTATCCAATGTCCATCACGAGCAGCTTTTACTAATGGACCTTCCATAAATACAAAACGGCCATCACCATCTGGTACATAGGATCCCATGTATTCTTGAAGATCGGTGTGTTCATGATTATTAATCCGAATAATCGTATTCCCAGTAATTTTAGCAAGATGGATTACCTAAATATTTTATTCAAATTTTAAATTCAAACTTCAAAAAATCACAAACAGTAAAAAATTTCAAGAATAAGTTTATGATGAACATACAGAATAGTACAATTAAGAGAACATTTTTATCTCATTCATAAATATTGTACAGTTCAGAAATTTAAAATTGGATTTTATTTATGTAAAATCATCAATTTAATATCAGTTACAAACGCACCATGGCTGTTTTTCCACATGATGTTTCACCTTCCAACAACACCGGAAATTTGCCACTACAAACGATTCGAGCAAGCTGGGCTAAATTTTTTCGAACTGAAGCTGTACAAACATAACCGGAATCATCTTGTGGTTTAGCACTTCCTTTTTCGATCCAATATCCTTCAACTTCACTGGAAAAAGAAAAAAGAGAATGACCACAAAATGGAAAAAAAAAAAGAGAAAAAGGAAGCAAAATGAAATCAAAAGACATTCAAGCAATGGCTTTACAAAAATTTCATTATTTTATTTATTGGTCACAAGATATTTCTAGAGTTTTACAACCTCATGCTATCTCACTAGTGTACCAGTTACTCATTCACTGTAACAGTCAAATAAACTATATTTATAAAATTTGCATTTTTTAAATTGTATTTGATAAATGAATCGAAGAATTCAAGGAAAAGAGAATACAGCTCATAATTATTGAAATATTAGTGATACATACATGCGATTATCAATAAATTTCGCGTTCATTTTACCCAATGAGATTTTTTTCATTTTACTTTGAATAAGTTTGCCAACCACTGCTTGAGCTTCTGCATTCAGATCACTCATGAAGGACATAGATACTGCTTCATACATGTTACGTATCTCATTTCCAAATACATTCTCTGCCGTGAATGCCAACGCACGACATAAAGTACGTAAGCTGAAAAAAAACTGGCATATGCAAAACATTAATTTCTGATCTTTCATGAAAAAAAAAAAAAAAAAACAGTTGCAATAAAGATGTTAATTGAATATGATTGACTTAAATGCTCCAGAACAAACCTATATTTTCCAGGAAAAGATATACGCAATGTCTGATAAAGTTCCAGCACAATAGATATTTTGGCAGCATCAAATGATGGAAGATAAGCCTGTGCGATGATATGCAGTTGATCCATTTCTGTAGTTTCATGTACAAAAATTTCAGTGAAGCGACTTCTGCAAAGACGTAAAATCGCGCGCTGCTAAATTAATTTTAAGAAATCAGAACACTCAATTTTTTCTCAATGATTCTCTCACCTTATTCCAGCTGGTAGATTTCGTTTCCCTACATCACTGGCAGGATTCATGCATGCAAATAAACGGAAATCTGGATGTCGACTTTCTGAATCTTCAGTAAGGCGTACCACAGAATCCAGACATTCCGGTGTAGCTAAATTAATTTCATCAACCAGAAGCCACTCACCTCGTTCAGCAGCCTAGAACAAAGGACGACTTTGGTAAGATGTAGCTTTAAAATCAGACAGCAAAAACGAATATTTGTTAACAGAAAAATAAAAAATCATCTGAGACTAGAAAAGCAACGTTCTGTAATTGTAGATTGGAATTTTAAGAAAAATAAAGCTTTTTAGAGATTTACTTCAGCAACTGCTCCACGAACATATGCAAAGGAAACAGCTGAAGCTTTCAGTGATTCTGCACAACGTTCTGCTCGAACAAGTAACTTCGCCCACGATTTCAGAGAGTTATGTTTGGATGACATTTTTAATCTACGACGTGATGTTTCCGCAATTAATTTTGCATAGTCACTGTATCGTCCATTTGATAAACACATCTACAATGATTTGTTTCACTTGTTTTTTTTTTTTTTTTTTTTTTTTTTTTTTTGGGGGGGGAAGGGGGGGTGGTATCTCTGGAACTGTGCTAAACAAAACTCATATTGCTAATACAACCAAATTACGTAAGTAAAGCCAACTAAAAATACTTTATCTTCTTTTACTAACCTGTTAATAGTTTTTTTTTTTTCATTAAAATAAACGACAGGTTTCATGATGATAAATTACTTCTTTACATTTCAATACAAGTGAAACAAGTAATGGATACGAACCACCAATTTTAGAGACAATTTTAACGACAACATGTCATAAACAAAGAGGCATCTGGTGGATGTTAAATGTTCTTAAAATATTAAGCATTTTTTAATTAAACTTCCGAATGTAATCCAAAAATATCTCGAAAATAACGAAAAACTCACCTCTAAGTGATTCAGAAACTTTTCATTTTTTATCAAATCAAACGTTGCAGCAAATAAATCATCAAATTCTTTTTTTAGTGGTCTTAACAAATAGGGTATTGATACTGGTTTATACCTAAAATGTCAATAAACCATCAAAAACACATTATGTTCGATTATATTTCAAATTAAAAAAACATATATTGTCCCATAATATGCATGCTATGCGTAAATGAATGAAAAGAATAAATTAATTAAAATTTTTACTCGAAATATGAAAAATTAAAATTTGGGAGTTCATAACTGAAATACATACCCGCCAATTAAATCAGACGAATCTGAATGTTGACTGAGATTAACAACTCGAAGAGTAGTGCCAATACGATCTGCTAGTAATTGTACAATAGCTGTTTTACCAACACCAGTTTCACCAACAAGCAATATTGGCTCCATTCGACTTACACAAACTGCTATCCGCTCCAGTAACTGACATACGTTACGTGTAATGCCAAAACAAGTAACCTTGCTAAAATTTCAATTCTCAAAAGAAAAATTAATTCGTTCTAATTAAATGATTATATATTATTGGATTACTGGTGAACGTTCTCATACTGATATATTTTTACTTAAATGCAATAAAAAAAATCTCTCGCTTCAATCCTTTAAGTAATTTTCCATGAACTTTGTTTCAAATTTTTTCGTTGGTTTAATTTAAATTCTACGTCAGTTGCAATCATTTCTATGCATGTGATATCAACATATTTGATTTCATTGTAAATAATGTACGTGCTCTATTATTTTGACTCCTTGTCCTTGAGGAATATCTTCATTCTCTGATTATTTATGTATCTCTATTTAATTATAACATTTGCTAAAACAAATTTTTCCTGCATTTTAAAATTTTAATAACTATTTTAAAAACGCAACATTTTTACCTTTCTCCTGTTATTTGATTTCTCGGCAGATTTACTCGGCCACATCTCATGCTAGTTTGTGTCACCGAAATTTCAGGTAACCGGAGGTTTAACTGATATATTAGTTGATCGTGATTCAAGGACAAACTGTTGGCAATTATTTCCGAACATGCAACAACATCTTCCTGCCTGCGGCAATGAATTGCCCAACAGTCAACCAATTCATGAAAAACAGCTATCGAATCCGACAAATCATTTAAATCGTTGATACGTGTGCAGGCTTTCAATAAATCCCTACAGAAATCCGTTACAACGTATTAGTTTTTGGCAGTGCTTCCAAATAAATTCATTTTTCTTTTAAAAACAAATTAAAATCATTTAAGAAACCTACGTCGCTCCTAATTTTCTTCCATTCAATTGATTAGCCGAGTTGTTGATAAATTCGTCAAATAACGTAATCAATTTTTGAGCAATTGGTGCAACCCTTTTGCATAAAATACAAATAGCACGATGAAGTTCACTATTTGAAAATGGTGGCAGCGAAATTTCAAAAGGTACAGAAGTAAGCAACAATTCAACATCAGCTGATCGGAAACTTCTTTCCTGTCTTATACATCTAAAGACTGAATGTTATTATTTTCCGAATCAAATGTTAGATATCCTTTTCTTATTAGTAATGTGATTAGTCCAAAAAGAATTTATCCGGAATCTTATAAAAAATCCTAAGGATTCGAGAAATTTTTATAAATTCTTTAATTGAAATGTCTATGTTTATGCTCACCGATTTCTAATAATCTTGCATCAAAAAAACAGACCTCATTGTAGCAACAATATAAGCTTCATTATGCATTCTTATTGTTTCACCGGAAGTTACTCGTACTTCACGACTATCACATAAGTTGATTATTTGTGCTATTAGATCAGCCGAAGCACAATCGATATCTTCCAAAAGTATGATTCCCTTATCAAGAATGTACTAAAACTTAATTACGATTAATTTTGAAACCAGCGATTAAACAGTGAATAACCACGAAACCAGAGCTTAATTCGTTATTTATATTAGCATTCTGTATCGAACTATATGTCAGATAACTATCTATTTTTACTCCACAAAAAACCTATCACTTAAATGACTCATTAAATCTATTCTTGAATGACTAGAATTTCTTTTGTAGAAGGAAATACATAACGTATTTGTCAATGGATAAATGACATAGTACATCCACGTTGAGATCAATGCTTTTGTTTACTTGTTCAACTAATTTGTTATAACCCTAGCAATTAAAATCAGCGATGATTCCAAAGCGTCTTTCACAAAGAATACGAAAAAAGAAGATTTTGATCTTATTAAAGGCTCATACATAATCTATCAAATAGCTAATAGTATCTATTCCAAAAAATCATAATTTTATTGGAAGCAAATCTTACCTTCGTGAAGGTGCTCTGTTTCCAGCAAAATTCACCAGGTATATCAAGGCAATGAAATATTCCGAACAAAGTTTTCGAATCGATTTGTTCACCCATTTGTATAGTTCGACATGGTATTTTCATACTGTGTGCAACTTCCTTTATAATCGATGTTTTACCACAACCAATTGGACCCTAAAATTTCAGCGACAAAAAGTTAAATGATCTTCTTGCAAGAGATATGTGAAAAGAAATTAGCTCACTTAGAACTGAAAAGGATTCCAAGATAGACTGAATTATTAGGACCCATATTTTTATACTACCAACAAATTTACGCAATAATGAATTCATCTGCTGAAGTGGGTTAGTTCGGTGCTACATATCATTTGATGTGAAAAAAATTAGCAAGAAAAATTGTTTCAAATGTTATTTTACTCCTATAACTCTGTCAGAAATTACTTTTGATCCTAACAATAATTTGTACATTAAATGTTTAACGTACGTCATTTACTGCCATCATCCAGTCATTATCATTTCCATTCTTCCGTTAAGTAATTAAAATCGTAGGCAAAAGAAAAAGTTTTACATAAGATTCCACATTTTGAATTCCAATTTTTAAATTAATCTTGCAAAATTCAGATTTTTAATTAACCTTTTTGCTTTTGAAATTGTAAAGGAAAACCGATAAGCAGAATTTTTTAGATTTATAATAACAGTTTCGAAAACTTACCTGTACGAGGACAAATACACGATTTCGGATGCCAACCTCCAACTGTTCACGATAAGTAGCTCTAGTAGGCATAGTATCCGGTACAAAATTAGCCACAGATTCGTTCTCTTCACTGGACTTCCTACTTCTTATCATTTTCTCCGGTTTTCTGCTTTCCGCTTCATCGGTAAGCAATAATTTTCGCTTCTGCTTTCTTGTCTTTTTCACCTTCATTCTCCCTTACCTGAATTGAAAAAGTACGAAACAAATTTACATCTCTACATAAATTGTTTTGGGCAATGCCAAATTCGGGCGGAATAGGCTCTGTTATATAGCTTATATCTCGCTTGATTGCCAAACAACACTTAAATCTCGATAAATGAATTTAACATTATCTCCATCTCTTAGATATAATCACATTGATGTATCATATATTCAATATTAAAATATCGGTATAAATCGGTATTAATGAAAAGTTTATTTGAGCAAATTTATTTTAACAAAATAAGTAATTTTTTTACAAATTATACCACATAAGAAATGAAGTGAGATGGGATAGAAAGAGAAATGAAAACGAAAGGCATTTGCATACAACATTTAACAAAACAAAAACTGCAAAGTACAATAAAAAACCGGAACCAATCATCAAGTTAACTCAACCATTGGTTCACTTAGATTGCGCACAAGTGGCAATTTACATCGCAGTTTTATCTCTCAGCAATGCCTATATCTTTCATTTCTGCTTTCTAAAAATATTGCCTTGCTACTCCACTTTCCAGATTATTTTTTCGAAGACTCAAAAACTTGCATGCTTCATAAAATTACTTTCTTTAAATTCTGCAGGTTAAGTTTTTGTGTCAATTTGTCTGATATTGGCATGATATAAAATACTCAAATATTTCCATTAACAAAAACGAAATAATTTAGCGAATTATAATGTGAATCGAAAAGGAAACAGCTGGAAACACAAAACATTCACAAATTTTGTCAACAAGTTAACACAACAATAATGATATTAAAAACGGGAAAAAAGAAATACGATATGAGATCAATCATAAAGAGTTCAATAATTTAGTAATCAAAACCAACAATGGCATTAAATGAAACTATGTAATAGGTGGCAAATGGCAAACAATACCACTGGTATCAATTGCTGAATAAAAGAACACATTTCGAAGAGGATCATCCTTTTGTGAAAGTGCCTAAAACTTGATTATTTAAAGAAGTAATTTAAGAAGTTAAGGTTTTTTTTTTCTTAGAGGAACTTGATTTTTTAAACAAATAACTGCTATAGACTTAAATTCCTGAAAATCTGTTTACGAAAATGCATAAGCAGTCTCAATAATAATTTTAATTTCTAATGAAATCCGACCTTGTAACACTGTAAAAGTATAACTACTAGATTATGTTGAAGATAAGCAAGGCATTGCTATTAGCCAGCTCTTGTTCAGCAGTCCAAAGAGCAGCTCTTAATACTCGACAAGTAACAAAGATAATTTCAACTGAGCAAATTTTGAAGGTTAATATCCCTTCCAGAAAGCCCACTTCATGTATTATATTATTCAGTAATAAATGGGAACTGCAATGTGAATAGTTAGACAATCCTTTTGTTAAACTGTCATATTTGAATAGAGGAATGCATTTTGAAACAGCATTTGTATTTAATTGGATTTCAATTTTCAGTTCAACATAGCAGCGAAAAGATCCAAATAAAAAAAGGAAAAACCTTTATTGCTTCCTGTGCTATATGTGCTCCAACGATAGCACATGTCGGGCTCAGTTGTGGGCCAACAAAACTGAAATAACTTCAAACCTAATTTTTTGTAAAAAGAAAAGCTATCCACGACAATCTAATAAAAGGAAAACGTTTCAATTATTAACCAAGTTGTTACTGAAAGAATCAAATTTCACTAACTGCGAAAAATATTTGTCGTTGAAATATTCGTCATCAAGCACATGATTGCATTGCTCCAATTCTTTCTTCCACATTTCTATGAATTTCTCTTGCTCCACAGTATCATCGCTATCTTGTAGTCGAAGCATAACTAGAAAATAGTATTTTAATGGATATTTTCTATGTTTGAGTGATTACATGTTTATCTGCAAAAATTTCCACATTTTTCTGGATTTAACTATCTCACATAATTCGATATTAAAGATTTAAATGCAAAAGAGAAAATCTGCAACAAAACAAATTCTTGTTTGAAAATTCTACTATAGCACATTAGTACTTGGAGGAATACCTCGGACAGGGAAATATGATCGAGGCAAAATTTGTTTTGCCTTACGAATGAGTCTTTTATGAGTCCAGTCGACATTCCATGCATCGTCCCATAATGGGTATGAAAATGTCTAGAAGTAATTAGAATGTAAAGGCAAAATAAGGTACTTTTAATTAATTTATAAAATCTCAAATTCAAATAGAGCAAACTGTATAATATACAATTGATGGCATCAACATATGCGAACTTTAGCAAATCTAAAGTTTTAATTTTATGTTCATTTTCAAACGTAATATAGACAGCATACTTTAGAAAGTTACCATGTGTATTTTTTCATCGTCGTCCAGTACAACATTCACTGATGCTTTATTTTCCTTTCCTCCTTTTCCATTTTCTACTTCACTGCCAATTCTTTGTTTCTTTGCTGGTGAAGAATCGTCCTCTACAGAGTCATCTTCCAGTATACCACCTGTCCTTACTTTTGGTACAGTCCTAAAATTTATGAAATGGTATTATCCAATCCTCAATTTAGTCAGAACAAACATTATCTTTATAGGATACAAGCACCAGTCCTGTAAGTAAAGAAGAACGCGGGTATTTGATTTGGATTAATGGATGAACAGATAATGTATAATACTAAGAAGCTCAACAGATGATCTTATCAGTTTTTTATTCAGATATCAACGGTATATGAACTTACACTAAAAATGAACAGTCCGTAAAGTCGAAAAATGCGTATCCTATCCAACCAAAAACGCCTCCAGCAATAAATCTAAAATTAACTTTTAAAAATATCCATAAATAAAAAGAAACACTGTTTCTCCTGCTTTTACCATTATTCAGGATGCTTAAAAATCCCGGCTATATGAGTTACCCATATATTCCGCTAATAAATGGTACTATCAGAAATATGCAGGTTAAATAATTCCTGCAATCACACCTATTAGATATAAAAGAAGATCACTTGAATGGTTCACATAAGATGAAGAATTAAATCACTTCGTTTCAGTTCTGATTTGGACTATTCCTAATTCAAAATGTTTCGCTTGGATTAGTAATTCGCTGTTCATTTCTAACTATTCAGACACTTCAAAACTCATGTAAGGTTACAGAAGTTAACGAAATCGCACGGTTTTCTAGCATTCCGACATATTTTACTGATTTGATTAATGACGGCGTATTTTTGATCAACCAAAATAATTAAATCGAAATTAGTGAAGAACTTTTCATCTTTTTCCGAAATATCACCCGTATCCACATGCAATTCCACATTCGGATTTAATAATTGACATTTCTGCCGTGATGCTTCAGCACGCTGAAAAATAACAGTGCATAAAATCCGAATGTGGTATATGAGACGAAAAGAGAATTATATGAGTTATTGACTAGAGCAAGGAATAGAAAAGTTATAACAAATTTTAGTAAAATTGTGCTAAGAAATAATAAAATAATCTCCAAAAAGTTTTAATAAAAAAAAAAGTAAAAATCAATAGAATAACTGCTAAAAAATGCGTTTCAATTTATGTATCAGAAAACATACAACTGAAATTACTATCCACAGATTTTAAAGTTGAACTTCATTAGTAAGAAAAAATCTGCGAACTAAATTTTGATACTTCGTTTGATCAATTTATGTCTTAAGAACATACATTTTTGCCTTCACTGCCACGTTGCAACAAAAACTGACTGCAGTAATCATCCGCACAAATCTAAATTAAAAACACTGTTGGAATAATAACTAAATTAAATTTCATTCAACCAAGCAGGTATCCAAATTTCATATTCGCATATGTTCGAAATGATTGAAAATAGATTTTGAAGCTAGAAAATTAAGTTTAATACTCATAAGTTTGCACAACATTCACATATTTCTTTAAATAAATCAACAGGCGCTTACTGTTTTATTATCCAGTAGCGTTAGCGATTTCAATCCGGTTAACATTAAATTCTTTGAAACTTCACTTCCACATCCTGACAAACCAGCGACTAATACTGTCGAACTGCGTAATCTGTAAATGCTTGAATCTTACTAAACCTATTATTTCCGATAATTTTCAAACAATAGTTTAGACGAATTACTGTTTTTCTGAAGTTAATATGAAGAAAACCTGTTAATAATGCCCCCAAAACAACTTCTTATAACCCACTTCCAGTCATTTATTTGAATATTCCTTCTTACTCGTCGAAAAAATTGTCACACTGCTCACACGATTTTGAGAATGACGGAAAAATAACTGTTGGACAGCTCATTACGAAAGAAAAGATCCCAAAGATTCATCCCAAAGTTTAATTGCATCAAATTCCATTTTCGTCAAGACTTGCTTTTCTATGATAAAAACACACGAAATCAGAAAAGAAAAGAAACGCTGAACTAATCTTTTACAGGTTAGAATAAAATGTCCATATCTTAAAAAATTAACTAATCAATTTTTCACTTATAATAAATCAGTTCGTTCTGAAAGTGAAAAGATTAATTTCTGAAGAACTGACCTATTCTGAGTTTCCAAACCCCACAAACGTATCTGTCGATCGTAAACAGCTTTCTCATCCTCACTGATTGTATATGTATTTGCGGCTGTAAACCTACTGGAATTCGACATTGACGACATCTTTTGAAGTAGTCCTATTTGGCTGTATTGCTAGGAAGGAAAAAATAATGTTAGAAAATTTGAAAATCCAAACTCACATGAATTTCTGCAATGTAAACTTTTCAGTCCAACATTTTAACTCGATTCATTCTTTTCTCTCTAATAAATATTTATCAAGAAACAACAAATATTATTTAAGCTATCACTTCCAACTGTTTACGTCTATCTCTTACACGTCGCACATCAACAACCCTGTCCACATTCACCCCTGAAAACACGTGCCATATCACGCAATCACGTGCTGTATTACGCGTCCATCCGTAAAGTACTGAAAAATCAACTTCGAATAGGTAAACGTCAACCTGAACCGTGGGGCGGGATGAGTTGTTTCCAAATTTGAAGTTAAATTCAAATTCTTTTAAAATCCATTTGTCAAGTTTGCTGACGTAGAAAAGTTTTTAATATGTAACGGAAATGTAATGTTTAATGTTTAGAATACTATGACGAGCTATTCACTTCAGTGTATAGAATTAAATTTGAAATAAAAATATCTGATGCTTAGACAAAATGTGTTTATTAATCGAAATTTCATTTCTGATGAATGAGTATAGAAATACTACATAAATTCTTCATTTTAGATATTAGCTAAAGAAATCAGGATGAAATTTTAAAAACTAAAGAGCATAATTTCACTTCCACAAGTTTTGTATTTTTTCAAATTGACGATTTAAAAAGTGTCATGAATATGAAAAATGCCCAATTCTCCACTATTATTTTGCATATGTTAGACAGATACTGAATTTGTACCTCAAATAATTTTATTTATCTTATTATGTAATCGATGAACTGAAATTAAAACAGTTGACGGAATTTTATTTCAAATCATAAAATTTGCATTAAAGCTTCTGATATGAAAGAGTAAAAGCAGAAATGAGCGCTTATCACATTATATCAATGAAACTTATCTTATCTGAATAAAAAATTGCAGAATTAAATTAAAACAATTCTGTAATAAACTGCTGTTTACTTTAATTTAATATGATGGATGAATTAAAAAACTTCAAAACTTTGCTCATACATTTTTTTTTTTTTTCGTTTCATTCAATGATTTATGAATTGATTTGTTGCAAAGAATTTAACAATAAGTTATTGATTATTGTACTTCTAATTTGGAGCAAAAAAAGAGAGATTGAATTTAAGATTTTAAAGGTAACTGAAAACAGCTGACAAAATTAACAGATCCAGAAGATGTCACAACATCAGCCATCATCCATTGACAACAGCTGTTTCTAAGCAAGAAGGATATGATCCATGAGTTTATTGGTTGCACATGTTGTTGAGGTAATGATCACTTGTTATGTTTATAATCATTCATGAATGACCCCTTATATAGAATGTTAATTCATGTCAAAAGGTCGAAGGTCAACAAACAACAGTAGTTCTTTTTTTTTTTTTTTTTTGGACATAAAAAGCATAAATTAGTGATTTTGAAATGCTGCTTAAAAGGAAAAGAAAAAAAATTTTTTTTTAAAGGTTTTTAAACATTGCAATATTTAATAAGATATATAAAATAAATTTTAGTAATTATAAAAGTATGCTGTAATGGATTTTAACTTTCAAGTACTGAGCATTAATTTTGTTCGGACATAAATTATTGAATTCATTTGAAATGTTATCAATTCTGAAAAAAAAAAATCCATATAATAGAAAACATTAAGGAATTCGCATGACTTCTTGAAAAATTGACTTAACGTCGTGACGTACGTGAAGGTCTCTTGATCTGTTTCATTACATTTAAAATTTCATAGGCAATAATCAATATCAAATTTTTTCCATATTTCATTACCACTTTTGCTGTTAGTTATCGCTGTTCAAATAAACTGAATAGTAAAAAATTTTGTAATTCGTAGTAGCAAATCTATTTTTAAAACCTTTTTTTTTTTTTTTTTTTTTTTCACAATTTTTAGAAAAAATCGAAATTATAAATTACTTATGAATTATTTATGAATGGTTTTCTTTTAAGAGAAATGAAGTAAATTTAAAAAATACTATATTTAATTTTATCTTAAGAAAATTGAAATTTCACTAATCTACTTTGTTTTTATAAAGCTAAAATTAAAACTTTTAATTTAATAATATCCATATTTTCTTAGCTTTTCTCATACTTATTTTTTTACCTCAAGAAATCTCATTCGTACTATAATTACAGGCAATTAAACCAGTCCAGTATAATTAGCTCATTAATTATGATCAGACTAACAGTAATCCAATTGCGCGAAACAGAACCGCCCATAAATGACATATCGAAATTTAAGCATATGTGAGGATATTTTGGTGGATAACCTGTTGTTAGCCAATTACTGTAAGTTATAGGATTAATACTACTTTTTTGTTATTACATATATTTACAATTAAAATTTATAAAAATGTTATCAATTTTTCAGTGTTTCATTGAAAAATTTTTAATCCATTGGTTGAAATAAATTTTTTTACAATCTTAAATTTTGACAAATTTTTAGGTTTCGTCTAATTATACCCTTACTATAAGTATGAAAAATTAACTTACAATTTATGAAGTATATTAATTTAATTTATTTTTGTAAGTCATTAGAAAGTAATCTTTAATTATGAAGCAAATCAATTTTCATATTCAGTAAATATCAAATATCATTTCATCTTTAGTGCTGGCATTGGATAGTGCTTACGATAATCCAAATGATTATTCCACACGATAACATGCATTCATTTGGCCAAAATGCTGATCCAAGGAAGAAAGATGAAAATAAGCCAAGTTGCATTCATCGTTTTCCTTCCAAATCAAATGTTGAACGTATTACAAGAAAAGCAAAAATTTGTAGGAAAGTTTTTTGGATTTGGAAAGTAGCAAACTCAATTATTCAAATTAAAGGTATGATTTCGAACTGAAAAATTATTTTATAAGTTGAGAAAAAAAAAGGAAACTTGCTGTTCACTTTCTAATAAATTATATGTTTAATTACTCAACTTTATCAAGTCTTAATTTTTATTTGTTTATCATTTGACTGTGAAATAAAAAAGTGTAACTTTGATGTTTGACTACAAAAAAATTGAATCATCATTATTAATCTGTTAGATTCACCATTAATTTGTTAAATCATCATCATCACTCACTCATTCATTAATAAATTTCAGATCAATACAACATAACTATAAAAGAAATTGGTGCCAAATTAATTGCTCTTGCTGATGCATTTGATGATAAATTTTTTGGCGATTTAAGTATTTCAAAAAAATAGTATGTGACTATTTTTTAATATCATAAAATCTTTAATAAATTTGATAACATTTAAACTTGTGATTTATCTTAATGTGATAACTTTCATTTGTTCATACTGTATATTAAAAAAAATGTTTGAAGTCAAAAATGATATTTATGGATAAATGTTGCTCTAAAGTAATTAAATCGAAATGTATCGAAAGAAAAATGTATGAATTGAAAATTTTGCATCTAATTGATTTGTGGATTAGAAATCTATTCTTCTTTTGTTTCTTTTTTTTTTTTTTTCTTCCATTTCTCTGCTAATTGATCAATTGGTAATGTTAATATTAGTAAAAGGTAATGATGCAGGGATGTTCTCAGATAGCGGAAGCATTTAGATGTCTATTTAAATGGGAACAAAAATAAACCTTTTATGTTAATTAATTAGGTCAAATAATCAACAATTCAAGCTATATCCATTGGTAGAACGGCGGAATGCTTCTTTTCATCAATAATTTAACTACTGTAAAATTGACCGAAATAAGATGGAAATAAAAAAAGAAGAAAGAAATAGCTACATTCATTTGGTAATCCCGCCTACATGCCAAATGTCATCATTCAAATGTGTCGTTTTGACCATTTAATCGGCATCTGTTTTGCCGATAAAAGTTTCATTTATTATTTATAAATCATTGTTATTCATCATCAATAACATTACTAATTTATTGTCTTCAATAAATTACTTTGAACCATTTTCTGAAAGTTCAATACATGTCTCAAGCCTTCAATACATCATCATTCATACGAGAAAACTATTTAACTAAAAATGGTAATTTTTGTAATGAATTCTGTTTTGCCATCCTTATTTAACTTTAATCTTAAAACTGTAATGCCAATAATGCACTACATTTCTGTCACATAGCTTCGGATATCGAAAGCTTTTACATGCTGATAAAGCTCGATTTTTAATTCGTTAGAAATTGAATTCGCAAAAAAGTAGATGAACTAACTGTGAATTTATCAAAAAATTTGATTGAAAAAGTCTAAATGGTGGAGTAGTCATAACCGAACTTTATTTAAGATCAAAAAATGTCATAAACTTTACAGGAAATTGAGGTAATAAAAACTCGATAGACACATCGGATTATCATATGATATCATTGGAGTACAATGTTACGTCAGCTTTTCCGGCAACTAGCAAGATGTATGAATGAAAACATGTACAACTGACAAAACTTCATTCATAATCTCAAGACTTATTAGAGTCTTCTTTCCAGCACTTATGAACAAAATTTTCAGTAACTGTATTAGAGAAGAAAAAATATTCATGCATCATATTTTAACAGACCCTCACACAAATTCAAAAGAAACACAGAAATTCAATTTCGAGAATAAGATTTCATAAAATATTTGTTTATAACTTTGGATACAGATTAAAATGTTACTCAAGGAAGTTATTATAAAATAGGACATGATTGAAAGAATAAGGACTCGAAGTGAAAGGAAGGCAGAAAGGAAGTGGAAAAGTAGGATTACAGATATTTTATAGATAAAGCAATTCTTTTTTTTGAGAGGAAAAAGAACAATGAAATTTAGAATATTGGGAAAATGAAGAGATGTTTCAGAAGATGGAAAATGAAGAGACGTTCGGTAGAATGAATCAGAGAAATCAGAGCTTATTTTTGTTCCGTGTTGGAACGTCTTGGTTTCTTCGCCACCTCTGAAAACAAGTTCAAAGAACTATGAGGAACTTGAATAAAGGTAGACTGTTTGGCTTTTCAAACGGTAGTAATTTTTCAAACATAAGCAATTTTTAATAAATAATAAAACTTTCTGAAACTTACCATTTTGTGCTCTCACAGTGAACAGAATATCTTTAAATTCATGCTTATAATACTACAGAGGAAAATTAACATTTCTGTTTTGGGAAAACGTTCTTCTATTTCTATTCCATGTATACTATTGATCAGCAGTCTCATTTCTGTTTAAAATTTTTAATTTTTGCTTTTTCCGAACCAATTTTAAATTACATAAGTAAGCAATATTTCGCAAAAAAAAATATTTTACGATAAAGAACTGTTACGATAGATAAGAGAGAAAAAATTAGAATTTTGGAATTCAGATTCAATTCAATAAAATCTTTATCATTTTTTTTTACTCTTAATTTAAGGAAGATTCAAGTAAAGATTTAGGTACCAAGAAGATCTATTTATTAGCTACCGGAAAATGATAGCTGAATTCAATAATTTAAGACTGTAAAGCGGACATTAAGGAGATGACGAACAAGATGCAAAATTCCAAATTTAAACATTCAAAAAAAATTCAAAAATTTAATTTTTTCGACTTACTTTTAGCTGACAAGGTTCGAGCTGATGTCGCATTGCAACTGGATGTTGGACTTACTTCACTTCTCTTACGTTTTTCCGGTGTTTTATCAGCATTCGATGAGCTAGATGCTAATTTAGCGGCTAAAGTGAGAATTTTCTTGAAATACATTTTTTTAGCAGAATTCAAAGCAAAATTGTGGCAGACGTCAGATTATTATGTAGACTTTTTGGGATATTACTGCTTTGCAGCCAAGATCTGCTTATTGGCTACTGGAATGTGATTAGCTGGATTTAATAACTTAAGATCGTATCTAGAGTGCGGACACAGCATTAATAGCATTGATAACATAAAAGGATCAGTTAATGAAATCACGTCTTGTTCAAGTATGCAAAAAATTTTTCAAAATATTTTAATCTCTACGGTTACCTTTGGCTGCAGAACGGGTAAGCATACGATGTGTTGAGGTAAACTCTTCACTAGCTGAAATGCTTCTTAATTAAGGATCTGTGCTTAATTATTGGAATCATGACAATAGATGCCTTGCTACTGATTAAAAATAGTGCAGAGTTGTAAGCATTGACAAACTTCCCAATAGCTGATGGGTTGAGAATATAGTAACTTTCACGGTCAAAACATTTTGAATAATGACTCAACCATCGAAGAAAACATCCTGCATCCTGTAATTGAATAGTTTGATGACCTACGAAATTTTCAGTAAACTTACCGGTATCCGGAGAATGAAGTGAATCACTATGTTTGGTGAGAACAGCATGGTCGTTCCCAACAGTAACTGAAACGCTGTTTTTTAATTTTACAAAAAATTTGATAACTATGTTACTTTTCAAAACGTTTAAATCAAATTGCTTATCGTCCTCTTCAACCTCAGAAGAGTACGTATGGTCATAAACAAAAGCCCTATATTTAAAAAAGCCAAAATACAAGTAATTCTCTCATGCCAAAAACATCTCAGATATAGACCGGTAGACTCAGTTACTCCTTCTTTTACAGTACTGCTTTACTAATCACTAAGAGATTAGCAGAGTAAAACGGAATGATATGGGTGATGAAAATCATTCAGTAATCTTGTTTCCCAGTTTATATGTGATAATCTTCATGATCCTATTTCCCGCCCTCACTCGATACACCATAGTCAACGATGTATCGAGTGAAAACAATTTGGAAATAATGTACCTTCGACTAGTTCAGATCTCCCACTGTCAATTATTTCAGTTTGATGATCAACTACTGGTGGCGTATTGATTTTTGTTGGGATTGGCTCATGTTCATTCTCCTGTTCCATTGATACTTCCTTTATTTCCGTATTGTTGTTTCTATTCGTTCCAGCTATTTCTTCATCGGTATTAATTTCCTCGATCTGCATGGAAGTAATGGTAAATATACCACTATCTTCCAGATTTCTCCTTGTTTGAAGCATTCCTCGTTGCTCATAACGGAAAGCATTTTGAAGTACATTGACAAGGGAATCATCTTGTTCTCCATAATCCATGACGTTTGGAACAACATATTCCTCACGAAACAAAGGTTCCAGAGTAGATAGTTGGATAGTAGATATTTCACCGACGTTCATCAGATTTTCCAGTTGTTCCTCCTGTTGCTCCTGCTGCGGCTGCTGCTCTTCCTGCTAGAAATACATTTTCACGACAACTTCATTGGCAAGATTTATGTTATTCTGAAGATAAAAACGAAGGAATAGAATTGTCTCCTCAAAACGATGTCAATTTCTTGATTTTGTTCTGTACTGTAAAAGAAAATGAAATTTTTAACAGAAACCAAGAATAGTAATGAAACTGCAATACCCTGCAAAATGCTTCAGAAGCATCTATATCAACCATCATTTCCGACATATTATCATCGAATTTCTCTTCTGCCATTTCACGATTTATGCTTGCTCAGGTATTATTTCGAAACACTAGAAATACGCAATTATTAAATAGTTATGCAAAAATTCTGCAAAAAAATTTCTGTACGTAAGTCTGTAAACTTTATGAGATCCATTTTTGATAATTGGTTTTATTCCTCCGCTAAAACCTGCCTCATGCAGCTTAATGTTTCAACTTTATAACATATTCTATTTAACATTATTTAGACTTAATTATCTTTACCTCACTCATTCAATCTCATTTAAAATTACGAAAACTAACTTTGTAGACTTTATAGATCCCCTAGTTAACTATAAAAACTACTTAAAGCAGAACCAACTCTGTCATTTGTAACTTCTGCTAAGTTTGAAAGTTTCACGAAACTTTACTTAAAAATATCAATAAAAATCAGGCCATTATATTTGCAATAAAAAACTGAAATCCTATATGATTAGAAGACTGATAGCATGCCTATCTCCAGAAATTTCCAATTTCGTAGCTCTCTGTTTAACACATACATTAACAATACATGGAATAAATTTATTTCTCATTTAAATCTCCCAATACGGTCGAACGGTCACAATCAGAGAGAGAGAGAGAGAGAGAGAGAGAGAGAGAGAGAGAGACTTGACGGGACAGTTTAGATATACCTGAGATCTCTTCCGGAAGATAATGACATGATCGGAACTCAGACAATCGTACCTCTCCCTCAAACTCAAAATGCAATAATAGTCAGTGCTCCAACATGTAAAAACCTAAGTTTATGGTTCGCGCCAAAACATTTAACCATCGCACACTTTACAAAAACTGCACGTAGCTATCAGTACGAGAAGCAGAAATGCACGTAGCTGTCAGTTTAAGAGGTAGAAATGCACGTAGCATCAGTACGAGAAGCAGAAATGCACGTAGCTGTCAGTTTCAGAGGCAAAAATGCATTAAAAGGCAAAATGCGCGTAGCTATCGGTCTAAGAGACTAGAATGCACGTAGCTGTTAGCTTAAAAAGTCTAAAATTTGTGAACACAAAATGTTTTGAAATCTTTGGTGAAAGCATAGTAGTAATATGAGTCAAGTAGTGTAGCAAATGCCAAACGTGATCGTACGTGTGGTACTCCAGAATAAGACTTTCGTGATAAAAGTGTCTAACAATCCATTACTTATTCCGTGCATAACTTGCCCATTTACCGGTTTGATTGTTATCACTCATATGACCGGATCATTCCTTAGTCTTATCAGTGATTGAGTCTTATCAGTTTAGATTTGCTGAAATCTCGATTTAGCAAATAAGTTTTGTAAATAAAGAACAGAAAGGAGTGTGTAAATTTAAACTGTTTGTGTAATTATCAAGTGCTATATAAATACGAGGAATAAACTGAATAACGCACTTAATAATTGACGAATTCAAAACTTAGCTTCAGTCAAATTACTTTGATCCATTTGAATTTTAATTTAATTTTTATTAAAATTTTAACAGGATGATGGACCGTACGACTTGATAGAATTCCAGAAGTAAATGATCCAGATTAATCTAATCACTAAAGGCTCTCTTATCTGGTTGCACTCCCTTCAATTGATTACAAAATTGGCGGAATTGGTATAACCCGATACGTTTCTGTCCCTCGGGTGTTTTTTTTTTCTCTCTTTTTCTGACATTTGTGGTTGTATTGCTCGAGAATGGTGATATAAATGAGATGATGGATAATTCCGTGATGATCAACATTCATCTGCAGACCATTTTCTAGGAATTTTTGAACTGAACTTAAAAAAAAACCACTGGTTTCGAGTTCACACCTTTGTTTTTTTTTTTTGTTTTACTCTTTCTAAAGTGCACTGAACGCAAATCAGTGTCCTCAATGATTTTTATTAGTGACATATGAGCAATCCTGAACACTCAAGAATCTGTCACTTCAAATTTTTGAGAATCTTTATGACAATCACGCCAGAATATACTTTATTTCTGGCTGATATGTGAAGCAGAAAATGTATGCAAGCTAGACTTTTGAAAATTCAAAATTATTTATTTCATGTCCACATTAACATCATGCCCACATCAAATATACTTTATTTGCCAAGACAATACGCGAAACCTGACAAACCGAAGTGAAATGTTAAAAAAAGCAATAGAATAGTGTCTTGAAAATCTAAGATTTCACAATATTTCTAAGAAAACTAAAAAATCTGAAGATTCCAAAATAAGAAAAGCTCTAAAATATTTCTAAGACAAAAAAAAAAATACTTGTGTACAGCGTATCATCAAAGAAAACTGAGGAACTTTTAATGATGATCTGAGAATGATACCTTCGTTGTATTAACATAAAATATAAGACTTTATCTTAACCCAATTCTCTTAACCTTCCAATCTAAGCAAGTAGAATGCTGACTTATCGTAAGTGTGCCGACTTGTAGTGCTGATGAAACTTGTCAATTTAAAACAGATGAATACAGCGCACAGAAGGATCAATTAAAAAATCTAATACAAGATCAAACCAAACAAATAAATCATAAAAATATTGCGAAGATACTAAGTAAATCTAAGGCACCATTCTAAAATGATGAATAATTTATTTAATCTTCTCTTTCAAAACCTGTGCAACAGTCCTGAAATGATAGTTAGACTACATATACTACTGAACTTATCTTAGAAACATTTCCATATAAAAGTGGTGAACGGAGGAACAACTAACAATTAAGAACTGGACTACATTAATAAGCTAAAGTACTTTAAGACAAATAAATATTAGAGAATATAGAAAGGTGTATCAAAAAAAGAACAGATATTAGGCTTTGAAAGTAAAATTTATAAAGTGAAATAACTTACTTTCGTCCGACACGTAAGTAACCTTTCTTTGGCACTTCTAAAAAACAATAAATGAAACATAAGCAAAGAAAAAGACGAAAATTTGATGTCAGATCGCAAATCTTACATACAGATTGGATTGAAATACTAGTAAGTTGGATTAAATCGCTGTTCGATAGGAGTAATCCGTAAGCATAACATCCTAATTCATTAATGAATTAAATCAATTCATTACTAATAATCTATCTGATTGGTATTCAAATTTATTGCTTCAACTGCGTAAACCAAATCGATAAGACATTATTAATGCATCAAACAAACCGTCAATTTTCGCTAAACTTGGTTCAAATCCTGATATAGTTTTTTGTTTTGGAGGTGATCCATTTTCACTTTTTGCTGAAAAGAATTTCAAATTTAATTGCCATTTCGACGAATAATTTCAGCAGTTGAAAATAATACCTGATCGAAACAATCAGAATATAAACAGTAGAATTCCTATTAAAATGAATCACTAATTATACTGATATTTTTACCTTTTTTGGCAGAGCGAGTCAACATAGGATGAGATGGAGTCGAAGTTTTGTTTACTGAAAAAAATAAAAAAAATGTTTGATTCAACAAGTATCGTTAATGGTCTGTTAAAAATGACTCATGATCTATGGATGATGCTTCTAGAGAAATATCTAATCTATATCAAAGCAACGTACACTGGGACTCTTCTGATGCAGCTCGTCTCCGTCGATTTGGTGAAGCTTTTGGAGTCACATCTGGAATTGTCTCTTTAGCTGAAAGCCAACGAAACACGATTTTTAATATGAACAAATTAAAGAAATAAGAAATGAAATCAGCAACTATTATGTGTTCAGCAATGTTGCCCGATTAAAAAGCTAATTACCTCTAGTGTTTACCAATAATTTATTTATTTTATAACTAGGACCACAAAGCTATACTTAATAGTAACCTTCAATCTGTTCTGATTGTGTTCGACTACGGCGAAGCGATTTCCTTGTAGGAGAGTCTAAAAAATGAAAAGAAATGCATTCCAGAATCCATTTAATAATGTCAATTGAACAGCTGAGACTGATATCTAATTATAGCCGGAATTGCATTGATATCATTGACCAGCCTTGTCTCATTTTATATTTCCTAAGTTATTGAAGCATCATAACATAGAAAAATGTTTTTAATTTTTTAAGTAATTTTAAGTATACTGTCTTTAACATAAATGATAGTTCATTACTTCATAACTTACTTTTGGCTGATATAGGTCGAGCTGACCGTTGTGGTGTCACTTCACGGCTATGTGTTGAACTTGTCCTGCTTTCTGAACGTTTTCGGCGTATTTCCTCAGTCTTGGGTGGACTTTTAGATGAATATGTAGCTCGAGTTAAACGTTTCGGTGTTGTTTCTGGATTACACGGTGAATTTGTTCTACTTTTTAGGCGTTTTCGTCGTGTTTTCTCAGTTCTTTTGGCCGAAGATGTAGCTCGAGTTAAACTTTTTGGTGTTGTTTCCCGACTATGCGTTAAACTTGAACCGCTTTCCAAACGTTTCCTTAATGTTGGCTGAACTTCCGGTGATAGCGATACCAGTTTAGCTGTTAAAATTAAGGAATTACCTTAAAAATTATGAACTCTGGCTTAAAATAATATAACAAATAGAAAAGTTTTCTGTTCATGAATTTTAAACACATCAGTAAATGAAACAGTTATAATACCTTTAGCTGCAGAACGAGTAAGCATTCGATGCGATGAAGTGGATATTTCACTATCTGAAATGACATACATTGTAATTCACAATTTTTCAAAAACATTGAAACTTCACAACTTTACATTATACTATCCCGAATAAAGCAATTTCAGACAGTTATAAGTAATGACGAATAGTAAAGATTTAGTAAACATACCAGAATCCGACAAATGAAATGAATCGCTGAAAAAAGTCCGAACTGCTTGTCCAACAGCATCTAAAGAAAAATCCCATTAACTAAATATAGAGCCAAATTCAACTTTCAGGAATCTCTCTTCTAACACCATCTATTATTAAATTGCTTGTCCTGGGAAAGTTTCTTAAATTTTAGCTTACTTCTGTAAAATTAGAAATGGTATCTCTGGACAAATGTCTCAATTCCTTATTACTTTTCGAAAAAAAGAACTCGACGACACGGTCTAAAAAAGGAACAAAGACAACATACCCTCTTGCTTCAGTCCGGGTGTTCTAGGAGAAAGATTTACTGATTCAGAAAATTCAACTTTCACTTCTGAAAAAAGAAATAAAAAAACAATGAAGTAGACAGAATAACAATTTCCTATGCACCATTATGTATCCTAAATGTTTCAAATGACTAATCACAAACAATTATACAATGTGAATACTTTATTTTATCCAAAAATACTACAGTTCAATTTATTCAATCCTGCAAGTCACACCGGAAATCCTTCTGATGAAAAAAAAAAAAATGAAAATATCAATAACCACAGTCTTCGCTATTAATATAGAGAGCTGTATACAGCAGGAGACTTTTAGTCAACTTTTAGTCAAAGATAAAGCTTGATTTAATACAATTTCCTGTACACCTGGAACTGTAAGCACTTTCTTCTCTATAGAATACTAACTGGTGCATACATTAATGATAAAATGACCAAATAATGTTGATGTATATACTTCACAAAAATTTACATTCTATATGTCACTTTTACCTTAGTTATTTCTTGAAAACATTTTAGATTTAATTCAAAAATAATTACCAGTTAAGTATGAACATTTGAAATTTAAAGCTTAATGATATTTTAAAGTATAGTGATGGAATGTTTCAAAATTTGCCGCGGTTTTGAACTGTAGCATCAACGTTGAAAAAGCAAATATTCATTCTATATTGACACAAAGTTTGCGAAGTTTAAAATTCAAAACTTACCTTCCTGTCCCTCTAATTTTCCCCATGTACTCGCTAAATTCGTTTCAGGATCACAAACAATAGCTTTTTCGATTTCCGTGGATGTTGGATCATTTTCATCCTCTTGCTCGTACGAAATCTTTTTCTGCAACGCTTCATTTGACGCGACGTTATCAGTTTCATCCTCTTGCTCGTACGAAATCTTTTTCTGCAACGCTTCATTTGACGCGACGTTATCATTTTCATCCTCTTGCTCGTACGAAATCTTTTTCTGCAACGCTTCATTTGACGCGACGTTATCAGTTTCATCCTCTTGCTCGTACGAAATCTTTTTCTGCAACGCTTCATTTGACGCGACGTTATCAGTTTCATCCTCTTGCTCGTACGAAATCTTTTTCTGCAACGATTCACTTGACCCGATGTTATCATCGTTACTTGATGCGATGTTACTTTCCCATTCGGCTGCTATTTCATCAGTTAAAGAATCTGGTCGCTTTTTCGGTGGTTTTGATGATATTTTAATTCCGAAGATAGTAGAATGTCTGGAGATTTTGGTAGTTAATACTGAAGTACTTTCAGGAAGGCTACCAACGCTATATATACTTTGTTTATCCTCTACACATACATCAGAACTGATATTATGAGCATCTTCATCCAAGGGAATGTCTGGATCTTCTTGTTCTTCATAACTCACAGATACTGGAGCTGTACAACTTTCCCGAATTAGGGAATTTTCATTGATCATAACAGATGGCTCAGTTTTATCGTGTAAACCGTTCATTTCTTCTTGTTCTTCAAAACAGTGCTTCATTATTCTCTCCTGATCTTCCACAACATCCGAATCACTCTGCTCCTCAATCGATATCTTATATGGACCTTCTTGATTTGTAGTACTGATAGATTCAGTTTTTTCATCCTTTTTCATCAAAATTTCCAGTTCATCCTGTAGCTCCAAGTGTTTCTTTTTGTTCATGTCCGTAAATTCCAATCCATCCTTAAAAGAATGGAATTTCTAACCAACTGAACAGATTTTTTCTTTTCTTTAAATCAGTTCTTTCACTTTATTAAACTTGTTACTACAAGTGAAAAAAAAAACTCCAATACGAAAACATCGCATAATCTAGCAAAATGTAAAGCAAAACCCCGTCCTTCATATCCAAGAACCACATCGATTTATATTATATTATTTTTATTTTATTTTTGCATCGCAAAAAAAGACTAGCACTCTATTCAGCAAGAAAAAATAACGAAATACCGGATTTGGAGCATCTAATGCATAGGCATAATTCGTTTTGAGAGGACCAACTTTACATTCTTGTTCTTTCAATTGACTGATACTTGAAATAATGCTGAAAAGACAGCCTAAATAATTCATATAACTTCCAGTGCTTCTTATCTTTTTTCATCCAACAAACTTCGTAATGTAATAAAAAATAAGGACCAAAAATAACATTATACCTATCACAATTAGACACGAACGAATTTGGAAGGTCGAAGCGAAGACTTTTAAACTGCGACTCTGTTACTGAAATTTGCATTAATTAAATTATTATTGAAAAGTACCACAGTCTTTCGGAAATTTCATGAATATCAAACACAGTACATTTTTAAATGTTAGTAGCAATAAGAAATAAGATTCAGTGTTAACAAGAGAATACCATCAGCTGATGTATTCTCATGCCGTCGCTCTTTCCGAGTTTTCAAAATAGAGGCTGGTAACGGCGCCCGAGAGAACAGATCAGCTGTCGGTGATGTAAATGAATCTTCTGCGTGTATTCCAGCTATGCGGCGACGTCGCGGCGTGGGTGTTTGTAACAAGCGATGAACATTTTCAAGATCCTCTTTAGGCAAAATTCTGAAATACATTTTTTCCGAAAATAAGCACTTGCATTTGAAAGGTCAGGGTAAATTCGGAACTGAAGTTAAATTTTTGGCATTTTTGAAAATTGTGAAATAACCTTTCGTAATTTGAAACACGTCGGTCGCATACGGGACTTGTCGGGAAGTTAGGTAGATTATGCATATCTCGTGGTATCTGTGTTGTTTCACATTGGCTAAAAAAATCATATTTATTGCCAAGCAACAAAGGATCTTAGCATTTATATAAAAAAAGTTGAAAATCCAAACAAGTGAAGGTTCGTGCAACATAATTATTATTGGAAATATGAAAAATCACAAATTCAGAAATAACCCATCGCATTTCTTTCATTTTTAGGTTCCGAAAAGTAAACTCGTTAATTTTTGAATACAGTTCTCTTTTAAAATCTATAAATGAAGAAAACAAAATCCAAAGAATTAGGAGATAATTTCGAACAGAAAACCAACCTCATAGCAGGTAATAGATATGGATGTACAGCTGGGCGTTGTTTGGATGAAGTATCCCTCATCATTTTTCCACTACAATCTTAAAAAATTTAGCTTTTTAAAAACTTCTTTTGTTCAACATTTAATCTCAAATTAAAAATATATTCTGCACCTGAATTTTGTAATATCGGAAGAACATCACGCGAAAAAATACCATCCGCCTGAATTACAGGGAAGTCTTCCAAAATCTTTGCTGTCCATCGATCACAACGATCTACTAAAATTCCGTTCTTTGGTTTTTTTGGCTGAAAATTCATTCCATTATTCAGCAGCAAATTACTTCATTTATTTATAATTTTTCCCTTCTATTAAGAGATCAAGTAATCAAAATTACAGTTCAACAAACTTATTCACTGCTCATTAAAGCATTCAGTTTCTGAAGTATAACATTTGCAACCAAAGAACTATTAAAAAAAAACATATCACAAGAACTTACAGGTAAAAGACGATCGAACATTTTGCGCCTTAAACAAAAACGATTCCATTCACGAATCCCGTCAGGCTTTTTTAACAGGTTTTCTAAAGAAACTGGTTAGTAGGATAAACAGTCATCAAATGAATTAACTTATAAATTTACCCAAATACTTTAAATTTCCAAAAGCATAAAGAATGACAAATATTCTCAGTTAAATACTAACAATGTAGTAATATATTTACTGAAATAATATCTAAGACGTTACACTACCTTTTATCAATTCGATTTCTTTTCTGTTTAGAAGCAAACGTTTCATAAGTCGTTGAACTTCACAAACAGGTTCTTCTGTTTTTGTATCAGTAATCCCGCTTTTTCCACATTTGCTAACCGGTTCCTAAGCATTTAATCATTATTTTAGCCTTCTACTTACAAGGGAAATGCTTTTTCTATAAAAATCAGCGGAAAAAAATATTGCTACGACATAACGATTGAGAATAAGTGGTGTTGTACAACATTACGCTAAGATTGAAAACATCGATAATTTGAAGGTAGGAAAACTGAATAGAAGGGTTGGGAGATTAAATTTCTTTTGCAACAAATATTTCATAATCATTATTAACAAGTGTTATTCATAAAACATCTAAAAAAAATTAAAAAATAAAGTCATACGGAATTTTCGACAACAGTGTTCAAAATTCCTAATTTTTTGACGTCAAATTATTAGATTTTGAATCCTGGTAGTACATGAAATAAATTAAAAGTAAGTTATGTAAAATGGTATTAAACATATCAGTGGAATTCTTTTACATACAGGGTGATGAAATAGCTTCCAGCAATGAAAATTGTAAAAAACTGTTATACCACAAGCAATACCTCTAATCTACAATCGTTTCTCCAGTTTGTTTCTATTTGATTACATATTGCTTGATTCCTATATGGAAAAAGCCATTTGAAACGATCAAAAACTTTCGGCTTCTAAAATTCCAGCGAATTTCAATCAAACTTATTTAATCTCGTGCGAACGAAAGCTATTTAACTAATGAAGCTAATGTAAATTATTTAATATAGTCGAACCAGATATGATCTGATTAAACGCTTCTATAAAAATATTTTTCTTTGTGTTCCATTTAAAAATTTTCAATTAAATGAATAAAAATTCACAGTAATAATGAATTTAGTTGCTTTAAAAACAATTTGAATTTCATAAAGTTAAAACCTTTCCCATAAGATCATCATAATCAAGCAGAAAATATCCAATTAGCTTATGTTTTGATGTTTCAGTTATTTTTATCGCAAGTGTAGCCGAAAGCAAGGCCTAAAATTGTTTGCAACTGAATTGGAAAAAAAAAAAAAAAAAGAAAATACGACTAATACGCCTTACTGAATGATCATTAATAATGTATGATTGTTAATTACTAGGTTTTACTTGTCAAGAGAAAGTTAACTGTTTGCTATTGAGAGATCAACTGCGTTAAATATTGGAGATAACGATTAAAACTCAGAAATTTCAAGAACTCACACCAATTGAATTCGGTGGATACCATTCATCAGCAGTGAGACCACACCAGAAAATTTCGTTAGGACAAGCACTTTGCATTTCTTCTAGCAATTTTATTATATATAGTTTACTGCTGAAACAAAAGATGATAATGATAAAGTATATGATAACAATAAAATATATCAAGTTATATATATACCCATCTTTTTAACTTTCCCCTTAACAAACTCACTGACTTATCAGTGAAGAGACTCAATCACACGGTTTTTTGTTTTGTTGAACTATGAGGTTGCGTCTCTTAATTAACTGGAACCTAATAACACAATTGATATGTTTTGGAGACAGAAAAGAAGATGGAAATAGAGAGAAAAATGAACAGTTTGGATAATAAAATCACTGTTAATTTGATCATCAAAATTTAACTATTACACTCACCCGGGAGCCAAACGTTCCTTACGTTCATCCACTTTTGCTTTCATACGAGCATTAAGAGCAGTATAATTTTTTACTGGAAGTAATCCACCATGATGAAAAAGAAACACGATATTCGTATAAAAAACCAAATTTCTAGATGCCATCATACTATAATTTGAAGTAGTTGCATCTGCAATCTTCTCTGCAAACACATTTGACTTTAGCTAATAAAAAAACTTCTTATATGTTTCTCTGAAATAAACAATGAAATTAACTCTTCCCGAAATATGCAAACTTTCATTTGAAATACAATATAAGAGGAGTTGTTTAATATGCAAACCAATTACTACAAAGAAATTAGGTCAACAAACCTGATGGTACTCTTTTCGAAATTTCAGCAAACAGCTCCGCAGCACAATGAAAAACTGCTGCACTGTTTCGCAACCAACACATATCTGCAGCTGATAACGCACGTGGAATACGATCAAACCATGGCTCAGCTGAAAACAGACAAATTACGAATATAAATATGTGGTACACAATAAACCGGAAATTTCTTTATGCATTTACGCCTAAGTCATTTTTTTTTACTCTCCCTGACAAACTGAATTTTTGTATGCTTGGTGTTGTCTACGCCATTTTATGATTACAAAGTATCCGCAAAACACAACACAACTTCTGATGTGCGAATAATACTTCCATTTCCTACACTTCGTTCTTACTCCTTTCCCAGAGTTTTTATTATGCTTTAATCCCGCATGAATAACGTGTCCTCTTTTCAACTAAAACAACCTACTCGTCAATTAATTTAAACAGAAAAACAAAATTCAGAACTGCACATTATACATAATGGAACAACAAAAATCTACAACCTAAATTTGTTTTTCCAAACTAAAAATTTGGCATTTCAAAAATTTGGCATTAATTTGGCATTTCATAAATTGGCATTCACGCACACAGATCTCATAAATTCCATTCTCTCTTACATTAATGCATAACAATTTTATGTAAGTTTGTATGTCTTGTAGAAAAAAAAACTAGTTAAATTTTGCAGCTTACAGCATTTACAAAACCTCAAATTGAAAATATAATTTTGTTAAAATTTACGCTTTGATTAAAAAATAACAAACTAATGACGCTAAATGTTACAAAGTTCATCGAATTTCTGTTTTGCATTAACAACTTCTTTCCATATAAGCGAAGCGATCTGATGGATGGTATCATAGCTTGGGCATGAGGTAATATGTTTTTTGAGTGTATCATTGATTTCACTGTTGAACAGCAGTGATGAGATGATTATTGATTCCTGATTAAAATATGCAATTTGTACAACTTGCTAAAGCATCTTGATAATAAATGAGTAATCAGATGAATTGCTAACTGGAAAGCACTATCGATACTTCCCTATAGTTTGCACCCTTGCAAATGACAGATAGACTAAATTGAACAGTTAGATAATGTCAATAATTTTATCACTAAGTTTCTCACTACTTCTTTTCGGTTTTCATGAAGGAAGATGCATTATTTGAAAAACCAATACAAAAGTAAAGTACAGTTTTTTAAATTTTGTCTTTTGAACCAAATTTCAAAAAAATACATTTTCTAGCGGCGCCGTCGATATTTGACTGCTCTCGGAAATATCAGCAGGTGTTTTTGCAAGGCCAACTGCATTTAAATATGCGCATGCAAGATCAGACTTCTGTCCAATTGCATCATCGAAATTTTGATCCAGCCATTTTAATACCTGCAACAACTGGATTATGACAGTACATGTATGTTATAATCGAGTAAATAATTTGAGTTTTTCGGGACTTTTGGAGGAAGAAACAAGCATCGTGCTTGTCAAAGTTAAATATTTCTACAATATCTACACTTTCTTCTGTCTTAAAATGGAAATTTCTAGCAGATAAACGCTTGTAGATCGGTTTATTAATAAAACACTTTTAAACTCTGAAATCTCCAAAAATAAAATAAAAAAAAAAGGAAGAAAGCCAGGATTAACTAAATCTTTCAGGTAAACAACTAAAAAGCTGTATCTTCTGCTGAACCTGTACTTTCACCCACTAGCTAAAATTGTAAAACTGACACATTATGCTAGAACTAAAAAACGCAAAATATTTAAAACTAATAAAAACTTTTCTTCAAATTCACAATTGACCAATCATTCTTGGAACTCACAACTTTCTGTATGGATGGTATGAATATTGTAAATTCGCGGTTCCCGTTGAATGCGATGATTTCGAATGTATATGATGGTGCAAATATAAAAAAATCATTTGTTTCGCTATACGGACTTCGGTGTTGCCAGACACCGGAATAATTTACTAAGCAGTCCTTAAAAAATTTGATTAAAAGAACTGAATTTATTCTTGTCACTGAATTCTGTCATTGAAAGAATGATAATTCTTAGTTTTGAAATTCATAATTACAGCCTATCGAACTATTTATTAAAGCAAACGACAGCTTAATACCTTAATAGTCTATGAAAAAACAGCAATAATACAGAAAAACTGACAAGACAGGTATGTTGGTCATTGTTAACCGGTAATGTAAACAATGACAGGAAAGGGTTAAGGTTCAGGAATGATTCCGCAAAAATGACTTGTCGTGGCAAACGTTTGTAATAGAAGGCGTTCAAATCAAAAAGTGCACCCTAAAATTATATTTTATACAAATTCATAAAGCACACTCCACAAACATCATTGAAGTAGCAGAAACTTGTGAGCAGATCCCATTAATATACACTGTCTTACGTACCAAAAGAAGGAAAAGGAACAAGAAATAAAAAATGAATCTCACGCACGATTTCAATTTAAATTAACTGCATCTGCTTAATCAATTAGTACCTCTATAGTATTTTTAGTAGTTCGCCAAGTCATCAGCAAGCGAGAAGTATCAGTCACATGTACACGTAGATATGATTCTTCGATATTCAATAATCTGTAACATTATACTTTTAAGAACTGGACAGCATCACTCACTATATCCATTTCAATCGTTTCTTATGAAACAAATAGCATACTGCTAATATAGCCAAAATAATCTGAAACATCTTCAATTCATCCAACTAGAATATAGAATATATTTGCATATAAAATAAATTGAAAAAAGAAGAAATAGAACTCTGTCCCTGTCATTCAATCCAAGAAATATTCTCCTCTTGGAAGTAACAACCATAAAAAATTACCGTTCTGAAATGCCATTCTTTGCGGCATGTTCTCTAGAAGAAGAAGAAACAACAGTTCGGAAAGAAACCCATTCAGTGCATTTTTCCGGACTCCACTGCAAAATTATTTCATAATTTCATTAAATTCAAGCAGTAACGAATTTTAATAACGAACTTCCGAAAATTTTTATAATGAAACGCAATGTTAAATTTATAAAAAATATCAAATTGCGTTCGAAATTAAATTAAAGAATGGATAAAACTTCACCGTAAGGTAATTAATAATTATTAAATCATTGAGAGTCCATTCATTAGGAGGATGTCCTTCATCATTTGGAAAATTAATCACAAGCAATATCACGTGCGGATTTTTCTGTTTTCTGAAATTTATCAATAAATAACTTGAAATGTCAAATAGATTTAATAAATATAAAATCTCTGTAACAGCTTTTCTTTTTTTTGAAAATTTAATAAGGTTCAAAAAAAAAAAAAAAAATCAATATGAACAAATCAAGCTAAAGGCTCAAAAATCGTATACTTATATCCACATCATAATAACTATTACTATACTGATACTACAATAAAAAGCGACATTACAAATAAATTTAATCAAAAACAAAATGTATAAAATCATACCCTTTAGAATAAGCAACCCAGAGATATAATACAGGACGCGGATCATCCATTGGTTCTTGGCATGAAAAACCGTAAACTGGAGAAGACGAATAATAATAGGATGCACTGGAAAGAAAAATAAATCATTTAATAACATTTGCTGTTGCAGTAATGCATGAAATAACAATGATTACAATCATAGGTCAGCTGAAAAGAAACGATTCAATAGTTTGTTTCATAAAACCAATCTTTTTTAAGGAACTGATGCATGCATCGTGCAATGCATGATCATGTAGAAGATTCGACTAAAAATACACGAAATGTTTTAACCAATACAAGCAAATGTCTAATGAATACAAATCCCAGCATTTTAATAAATATCTGTACAGAGTTAGTATCATACACTTACTCATTGCCGTTAAGAAGATTGACGGTAATGAAGGCACCACAAGAAAAGCCAATGACAACTGTTTTGCACCGTTCTAAGTAAGTTATTGCTGTGACGTGTATTTCATCTGGAATATAAAAAAGATAAGTTGTAATCACAATTTAATAAATATATCCATCTGTATTAATCCAAACGAAAAACTGGATAAAAGAACAATAATTTATAAAACTAATATAATTTAATTGCCTACTGGTATCATTTTAAAATTTATTGAGTGAAATACGACTTGTTTTATCCATTCTACCTTAATCATTTTTATCAATTCGCTATAAAACTACAAAAAAAAAAATGCATTTACCAACATTAACAGGATATACTGTACCGTTATTAGCCACAAAATTAAATCGTCCATCAGAAATATAAGATTCTGTAAACAAAAAAAGGCACATTTTCTTCAGCCAGAAAATTCTGGTCCAAAGGATAAAAGAACAATATTCCAATAGATTTGTCGCAGTAAAAGTTTATAAAGTTAATATAATTTAATTGCTTATCAGTATCATTTTAAAATTCACTAAGTGAAACATATGGCTTGTTTTATCCTTTCCACTTTAACTGTTTATCAATCCACTACGAAACTATAAAAAAGACATACACCTGAAAGAACTAATGGATCAGTGCTGCATAAAAACTTACTACACAAATTACTAGAAAAGGGTGGTTTTCTCAGTTCTGGATCAGTTATGTTTGGTACATCGATCCCAAAATGTACCAAAAAACAGTCACCACCACTGGTGCCAACTGCTACAAGGTGTGGAAAACTCCTTAAATTTTCATGCAAACATTCAATTTCACTCTTCTTTGTCGCATCCAAAATTGTCACAACTTTAGTGATCTGAAAATAATTCTTTCAAATGAAGTATGAAAGTGAATTTCTTCCATATTTTAAAAACTCCCGACACTGTTTAGAATCATACCGCCACAAAGGCGAGTTTTCTAAAAAATATGACAAAGCTGGTTGCCTAAAAAGAAGCTTGTCATGTTTTAACTTATTTTGTCTGAATGTTTTCTTTTAATATGAAATTTGCAGACTACTGATAAGACAATACTAAATTTTGAAATGAATGTACGAAACCTTTGTGCGTATTAATATTTTCTTAACAATTCTACTCATCTTGACACTATAATACGCCAAGAAATATTCCTCATTTTGTTCATCGTTCACCGCCACTACCACACCCAAACTTCCGTCTAGAATGAAAAATTTGTGCACACACTATTTTGATTCCATTTCTCATTTTCGACTTCAATAAAAAATTCCGTGATATTCTTTCCATGAAAACCAAAACCTGCTATGTAGTCATACTGTAACGGTCTATATCAACAGAAAATGTAACTGATTATAATGAACTGCAGTAATTTACCTCGAAATGGCAGACTGCAAACATCGATAATAGTACAGCTACTGCGAAATCCACAAGAATATAATATCGGTGATTTGTAATAAATCTGGCGTATTAATATACAGTTTTTCCGGATAATACAATACCAATCCGTGTATTCACCTGAAAGTGTTTAACAAATCTTTTTCCCCAAAATTTAGTTTTGGGGAGTTCAATTTAAATTTGTCTTGCTTGCGAGAAATGCATTCAAGTTAATGTAAGTTTCAATCAAAAATGATCCAGTTATTCATGAAATTTCGGATGGGATTTTACAGCAAGGAAATGATGACATAAGGAGCTTCGAGAACAAATTAACTAGCAGAAAAACATTTACTAACAAGTTCAAACAACTTTTCATTTGTTTATCAAATTCAACTAACTAAATCAGTTATCACCTTGCTGCGTCAGAAATTTTCCCCATATTTCGGTTCTTCTTTTTTCGCTAATTAGTTTAACCTTCCTCAATGTACCCTGTTGTTTTAGCATCGCTTTCCTGTAAGCAAGTGAACAAAACTGAAACTTCATCAAATCCAGAAGAAAAAAAAAAAAACATTTTTTATATGACAGATTATTGCATAAAGAAATTTTTTTTGGCTGAAAAATAAGGATTAATTCAACGATTAATTGAGAAATGGAGAATAGATGTCAAAATTGATGCAACCATAAACTAAACATTACATCAAATTTTCTAAGTCATAAATTAATGAGCTAACAGTCAGAAATGAGTTAAATTTAAACTGCAGGCTTCAATCCTGATAGAGCCTTTTCGTTAATTCATTTTATACTTTCCGGAACCGGAAAATCTTCAAAACATATTTATCATCCACGAAACAAAAACATATCTAAGTAACAGAGAATAAGTGTAATACGTAGAGAGCATCAAAAGTTTGCAGATAACAGAGAACAATAAATGATGCGAAAGGCATAAATGAAATAAACAATATGTAAATCAATTAAGAATAAAACAAATTTTTATGCTTCATTTAAAAAAGCGCAAAGAATTTATTTAAAAATGAAATCAGTTCGCTACACGTAGAAAAAAGAGTGCATTTAAATAGGAGATTAGCTATACAGTGAAAGTTAAATGAAAAGAGTGTATGTATTAACTGGAAGAATTATAAAACGAGTAAACGACAAGCAAATTTTATTGGTAAATTATTTTAACTTACCCTGAGGGTAAGTTAACTATATTGTTATAACATATTTGTAAAATTAAATATAAGTAAAAATATTGACAATTTAGAAAATCATCCGTGAAATTTTGCATTATTAAAGTTCGGTATAAAATACTAAACCAAATCTTTCTTTTTTAATTTTTAAAATTTGAAACGATTTTTCTAGTCGAATTTACCTTATTTGCGATTTATATTCAAACGTAAAAACATAATGTAAGTGCGAAAATTTGAGACAAAAGTTGATATTATTTAATTATGGCAATTTTGTAGATTATTTATAAGTTTATAGGTTACGTACGTCTTACGTATGCGTGTATGAATACGTGAACGTCTCAAATACATAGCATAAAATTGTTGTGTGATTATTGTTTCTTTACAATAAAATCATTTTGAAATGATACATTCTGAGCTATTCGTACTTTTTTTTGGAACAGCGATCGGTCGATCAAACGATTTTCAAGAATGGATCAAACTTCATTTTACCAAATTCACAATGATCTTAACGAAAGTATTACTCTCTTATTATTCTTAAAATTATCACAAATATTATTTTATTAAATCTAAATCGAATTCAATTTTATTCTTATTCCATTTCACTTCCATCATATTTTATTCATTCTTTTTCCTTCTCATTATTTGCCCAATTACTTTGTAAAAAAGTAAATAATCAAAATTATTAATGTTTATGTAAATTACTCATACAATAAGATTTAATCTAATTTTAGTGTATGTGGTGTTAATTAAACGTTCAATAGAATTTCAACAGTTTGCTCGTAGTACTGTTGAAAAATTACCAAAAATTTATCAAGAAATTGAAAATGATGTTAAATTTAAAATAAACGATACAATTGCTGCTGTACAAGATCAGGTCTTTTTGAAATTCATTTCTCTTATAAATTATTTAAATTTATTTAAACAAATAGAGGTAGTGTTTGAAAAAACTTGAGTTTATTAAACAAAACATAACCTTTAATATTTTTATACTGCAAAATAATACTATCAGAAAAAAAATCTGATTATTAATTAAGACAGCAATACCTGGAAATTTGAATTTTCATCGCTTTTTTATGACATTTTCATGGGGTACAATTATGCTTATCGGTTATTATTTCATGTATTTTCAAGGTTCTTATTAATTTACTTAATAATTTTGTTTCATAAAAATTCTTTTTAATGGTAAATTCTCAAAATATCATTCAATTATAAATCTCATTTATTTAAAATTATAGTATAAATATTTACTTTAGAATATTTGATTGTATTTTAGTATGTGAATATAAATGGAATATTATTTAAATATGTTCTTTTTGAAATCAATTTTGTCTTCTTTACTCATCAATTTATTTCTTTAAGTCTATTCAACTATTTATTGAGTACTTACTTTAAGGATCAACAATTTTGCCATTATTGCTAGATTTCATTTTTGATACATTATCAGCTATATTACTTGCTTATATTATTATACCAGCTGTGCTTTATTTTAACTTATCAAAATATGATGAATATAGCCGAAAGTCACGATTCATCCTACTTGTTGCTTCATTATTTCAAGTATTTTAAATTCTAAATGACTTTTCGATTAAGTAATTAATTAATTATTCATTGTTAGATATGATTGCTATGCAAATAACTTGATTAGTTAATAATTACTTAATCAGGTGAAACAAAAAGTCAAGAAAATTTTAAATTTCTTCATTACTTACTCAAGACAACTTATTTTCTCACTCAAATTTTCAGGGTTTATTAGTTGGCTTCCTGTTAAGCAATTGTTCAACAGTACTTGTTTTACCTGTTGAGATTATTAATATGCTTTTTGTCTCAGTAATTTCGCGGATTTTGGGTCACAAACTTAATAATGATCGACAAACATACTTTGGAATTGTTAACGGTACTGGATTCATTGTAAGTTTAAAATCAATTTTTCATATATTTTTCAATGTAACAGAATTATATGATTGAGATAAAAAAAAAAAAAATAATATTTCTGATTCATTCTTATCCTATTATATTACATATTACAACATTTTCATTCATGTAATATCAAGAAATGCTCCAGTATTGCAGTGAATTCAATTTTTGAAGGTAATAATGGAGTTTGAGTGAAATTTAATTCTTAAAATTTCAGTTCCTCGTCATCATCGGATATATTACACGACAGTTAACTAAAGCTTATTTATTTTCAACTGCTTCAGCTGTTCTTACGTCACATCTTATCATTCAAATTTACATGCGTCGAGTTATGCAGGTAAAATGAAACCTAAATTGTTGACATATTTCAAAGTAAATAGTTAGGAGAGAGAGAGAGAGAGAGAGAGAGAAACAGTAGTGATAAAGTATTTTCTTATCAGTATATCATTAGTAACAATAATTTCTAACAAACATTATTAACAATAATTTTATACTTAAATTATTGATAGATTTATATGCAAATGCATTATTCATAATTTTACATATAGATAATAGTTATTAAAATTTCAAAAGTTTAATTTTCAAACTGAAAATAGTAAAAAAAAAAAAAAAGAAAGAAAAAAACTTAGTTAAAATCAGTTTACATTTAAATGAATAAAAGTAAATTTAAAAGTTAATCAATCTTTGATTTGATAATTATAAGTTTCAAATTTGCATTTGCAAGTTTGTGAGGAATTTTAATTACTTTGAGTAGTAATTAACATTGTAACATTTATCTTATTTAAAAAGGACAAGAGCACTTAATTAAATAGTTTAATTCTGATTTTCTAATTTCTATCATTCAATTGGCAATTTTCTATTTATAAACTCATTTCTTCTATGTTCAAATTAAATTTATGACTTGCAAAATCTTACTTAAATTATTAAATTAACATTTACTCATAAATTCTATATATTTTGATGCGGAAATTCTTGCAGTTCGATCTGCTTCCCTCCTATATGTTATTGTTGATGATAACATTATCAATTTACTGTCAAACATTGGTTCGACTACTATTCGGTCAATATGTACAAATAGTTAGAAAGCATTGATAATAAAATGACATTTTCCTTTTGCAAAATGATTTTGAAAATATTTTGCTAAAAAAAAAAAAAAAAAAAAAAAAAAAAAACAAATTTCTAATAAACTTTTAAAGAAAAAAAAAAAAAAAGAAAATTTAATAAACTTTCAAACTCACAGGAAAAAAAAAAAAAAAAAAACACTTCTTAAATGCATTGTCTTTTTCTTTTTTGTTCAAAATTTCTTCGCAAATTTTGTGATTCTTACATTTATTATATTTCCTAATTTTTTTTTTTTTTTTTTCATTTCTGTGTTATTACTTAACTTTTGATTTTTTAATTTTAAGGAATTTTTTATCAGCTTCAAAATTTAGATCTTTCTAATTTTGTTTGCCAAGTTTAATGTAGATAAAATATAGATAAATTTCTTGGTCTCTAAAAAAAAATATTTGTATTATTAGTGATCAAAATTTTTTTAACTTTTTACAATGTTTTTCTTTCTTTTTTTTTTGACAAATATTATTTGAAGAAATAATTCTGAAGAAATATTCCTTGAAATATTTAACACTTTTTCAATAAGAATATGGAGAAAAGCAAAAATTTTTTAATAAATATTATTAACAGATTTTGAAAAATTATTTTTGATTATTTTCTCAAAAAAAAAAAAAAAAAAAAATATATGAGAAACATTTTTGAAAAAGATAATTTGAGATTCAGCTAGAAAAATATATTTTACGTCATTGTCATTGCTGATTTAATGACTCCTCCAATACAATCACATTATTGCAAAATATATTTTCTTTCTTTCTCCTTTCTAATGATCACAACAATAGATAAATAATAATAACAATAATAATAATAATAAATAATAAATAAATAATAACAATAATATTCAATTCCGAAAAAAAAACTTTCTACAATTCATCTTTAAATTATCTTTTACTTTTCCCTTCTTCAACGTATTTTTCCTTCATTAAACAATTTAAAAATTCAAAGAGGTCAAATTTTCTTTCCTTTCCTTATTATTTTAAAAAAAAAGAACTTCGAAAAAAAAAAGTTAAAAATATTCCAAAAATATATATTTAAGAAAACAAAATGGAATGAATCGAAACATTTGAAATGTTACATTTAAAATGCTAAAAACTTTTTTTTTAAAAAAAAAAAAAAAAGAAAAATTTATTAACTTAAGCATTACAAATCATGTTTGAATGCATGTTTTTATGTGATTTGATCAGTTTATGCTTGTTAAGATTAGCTTTCTTGATAAAATAATTAAATTCATGACAAGGATGAGATAGTTAGTTAATGGTTGATGACTGATAACGACAATGACAATGATAACGCATTATGATAGCAAATATCTTCAACAAACACAGCTGTTCCAGACGATCTCCAATAAGCATTTGTGCATTTCATCGTAGATTTAAACATACCTGATTTCTGGTCACTAATACTACCTTTGTAAATTTGCTTAGTACCATCTCTTATATCAGCAACAGATGTCATATATTTTTAAATTTCTTATTTCATAATTTAAATTATGCAAATTTTTAAAATCTTTTCTTATTATCACTGTTTTTCTTTTTTTCTTTCTTTCTTTCTATTTATCTTTGTGAATAAAATTGTATCAAATATTTCAATTTAGTCAGTTTTATTTGGTTGTTGTTAAATAGCCTTAGAAAGATAATAAATAAGTATGAAAGTAAATAATTGAATTAAATTGATTAATGCAAAATGCATTTAATTATTTATAGTTATTTCTTTGATAGAATAAAAAGTTTAATCTAAGAATTAAGCGTTTAATTTTCTAAAAGTAATTAAAAAATAGAATGCAAAAAGAAACAAATAATTATTTTACCATTTTATTTCATTCTTTCATTTCACACACTCTCAAAAAAGAAAAATATTTGTGCTAGAAAAAAAATATATCACATACACATGCATACATACATTACACACACATACACATACACATACATTACATACACATACATACATACAATATGTCTGTGCCATAAAATCTATTGATAAGATTTGCTTCATTAATTAATTTATGCCCGCCATGGGGAATATCTTTTAATAAATGTATAATTTAATAAGAAAACATCCGATAGGAATTCATGTTGATAACATATACTTACTAAAAAAGTATTTCATCAAGAAATGATAATTCATTAACAATTTTCCTTTTCTATTCCATTTTATGCAATTCCAATTTGATATTTAAGTCCCTTTAAGTTTTTATTGTATTTTCTTCTTTGAAATTGTCAACTTAATCTTTTATTTTAATATTTTTCGCTCAAATTTTCATTATAATATTTAATCTTTAAATTTACTCAAAACTTTTAACAATAAAACATTTAATTGGTTTGATAGAAAAACGAACTGATGTGTTATCACATTATTATCATTGCGCTTAAATGCTTTTTTTTTTTAAGAAATTTAAAGTTTCATTTTCGTATATAATTTTAAAACTAAGAATTATCTGCGAAATATAATTAGACAGCCAAGTGAGAATTATTTATTTTAATTTTATATCATTTTCAAAATTATGAATTATTTACTAAATTCAATTGTTCATTTAATTTTGTATAATTCTCAAAATTTGATTAAACATTTTTTCTTTTTTTGCCTTCAACTATGCATAAAATAGTGCTAATTATAAAATCATGTAATTATCAAAATTTTTATTTTTCTTTTTTTTCTTTTTTTTTTTTTGCTTTTCCAAACAAGATTTCTGTTTGGAGAGTTGAAATGTGGAAGAAACAGTTGTTCGAAGATGATGTTGATCCGTTCAAAACTGCTTGATTCTCTCTCTCTCCCTCTCTCTCTCTCTCTCTCTCTCCCTTTTTTCCCTTTCTTTTTTTAGATGTAATAATTCTTCATTTTACTCATTTTCCTTTTTTTTTTTTTTTTTTTTTTTTCATTTAATAAATATCTAAAAATTCTATTTTACTTTTTTTTTTTCAAATACCATTTAAAAGTGAAATTTTTTTTTCTTCTTTTAAAAAATAAATTTTCAAAAAAAAAAAAATTTTTTTTTTTTTTGATCAAATTTATAAACTTTAAAGGAAACTAATTAAATATGAAAATATTATTAGAATTAGAATTAAATTAAATCTTTGTAATCATTTTTGCTCTAAAAGTTGACATTTTGATGGATGTAACATCAATATAATTGACATTAACAGTGATATGATATGGCTATCATTCTTGTTGATAAAAAATTTGTGAAGGAGAAAAAGTTCAGTTCAATTTGAACTTTTTACATTTTAGCTTTGTTTATCTTTTTTAACATCTAATATAAATCTTTTAGTTTTTTTTTTTTTTTTCAAACTTTTCTTTTTCAGTAATCTAAAAGAGAAGATAGAAAATTTTAGAATATTAAATAAATGAATTTTTCTATAAAAATTAATTTTATTTTTTAAATAATTTAATCAAATTAATATTTACTATTGGAATCATTTTTAAACTAATTTTTCTTGCATTTTCTTTACTTTCTATCAGTCAAATGTCATTCCGATTAGAGAACAAAATTATTTATTAAAAATGAGAAATAGATATTTTTTTTGCAATTTCAAATTAGTTTTGAAAAATTTATCAGTGAAGGAATAATTGCAATTTGGAATAATTCAGACAACAAGTCAGATGGTTATCCTAATCAAATATGTAATTCAATCTATTATTTCCAATCATATTTATTTCTTCATTTCAAAATTTTCAACAATAAACACAATTATTGAAAATAGATTGTAAGTAATAATTAAGCTTGAAATTATGAACTTATTGCTAGGCTAATTAGTACTTTCACTTTTGCGCAATGATATCTTTATTTAAAAACAAAATAGCTAACATATAATTAAATTAGATTATTTCCATTTCATATACATAAATCAAAATAGTCTAAACAATTTTTTTTTTGGAAGTTTTCTAAAGTTAGAGTAAGTTTTAAAATCAAAAAATAAAAAATAATGATAAAATAACACAAAGTGGCAAAGTGAGTAAACAAAAAAGTTATGGAATAAGAGAATAAGAATATAAGAATTTGTAAAAATTGATATGAATTATTTTAATTTAATTATTTTTATTTTATTAATTCTACAATTTCGTTTTTTGTTTTTCTAAAAATATTTTTTTCTATGATTTATTTATTTATATTATTTTCATAATTTAAATATTTTCGCGCAAAATTTTGTCAATTTTATATTTTTAACTGTTTAGCTGTAAATTTATCAATTTACGATATCAGTTAAATAAGTTTTAATTCAATTCACCGCCTATTCCGTAAGAAATAGTTGACAACCGGATCCTTAAATAGTTAAATAACTGTAAATTTACCAGTTTACGATATCAATTAAATAAGTTCTAAATATGATTTAAATTCCATTCCCCGCCTATTCCGCAAGAAATAGTTGACAACCGGATCGGACGATTATTGTCGTAGCATTGCTCAATGTTCGTTATAATCTTTTCCAATGAAAGTCATTCATTAAGCATTTATTTCATCTATTAAAGTTTTTATTTAGGGATTATCAATTGTTGGATTAAAAAAAAAAAAGGAAAACTTCAAAAACTCAAATAAAAAAATTAAGAATTAAAATTAAAAAAAAAAAAATTTATTTTATAAAAAAGTGAATTTTTGAAATTTTTTTTTAATCGCATTTTTTAATTCATTTTCATAAATTTGAAAAATTCTGAAAATTTTTAGTATAATTTAGGAAAATTATAAAAAAATTTAAATTGTTTGTTGCCTTTGTTTTTTTTTTTTTTTTTTAATATTTTGATATTTTGCTAACTTATATAATTCAATGATTTTGATTGTAATAATTATTTGTAAAATGTGCTAATTGTTTCTTTGTATCTTATAAACAAGTCATATATTCTGTCTAAATATTTTTATTTTCATTTCTAATTTAATTAATTTCATTGCTTAATGTAAGCATTTATTTTAATAAATCGAAATTTTTCAAGAAATTCAAAATGAAATAGTTGAAAATTTGAAGAGTAAATAGTATAAGTATCAGTTAAAATATTATTTCATTTATTAAATAAATGTTTATCAAAACTTTGAAAATATTCTAAAATGAAATTTTAGAAAAAAAAAAAAAAAGTATAAAATAAAAAGTAAAATTAAAAATTTTAAAGAAAAAAATACTATAGGAAAGAAAAAAATAAATTGTCAATGAATATACCAAATTATCAATAAATATGCATAATCAGTTATTAAGTTGTGATTTGATAATATTAATAATAATTATAAATGGTTAAACGGAGATAATTAAAACGGATTTCTTCCGGATTCTCGAAATTCATCCCTTTTATTTTATAGATCATTGATCATTGCTATCAATTTTGATCTTTCATTTTTTTTTTTTCTTTTCTTTCTTCCTTTTTTGCTATTATTTGTTATCGTTTTATGAGAGAAGTAATTTAGTGTAAGTAATGATTAAATGATTAAATTAATTCAAAGAAATCTTTGGCAAAAAGTTTTTTTTTTTTTTTTTTTTCAAATTAAAAATAAGTAAAATATTATCAAATATTTCATAAAAAAAAAAAAAAAAACAATGTCAAATTGCAATTAAATCTTATTTAACTAATTTTCAACTTTTAAAAATTTGTACAATTATTTAATTGTTAAAATTAAATAATTAATTTATTTAATTTAATTTAAAGTTAATTATTTTTTAATTCCTAAAGAATATTTTTACATAACTTTAATATTAACTCATTTGTTTTCTTTTTGAAATTTAGTAGTATTTATCGTAGCTAACAAGAATGTACTTTCCATTTAATAATGTAATTTGATTTTTTTTTTATTTTTTTTAAAAAAAGAAAAGTTTGAAAAATTAAAAATTATCCACTATTTATATTTTTTAATCGAATGATTTTCTAAAAATACTTTACTTTCAATTTATTTTTTTGGAAAACAGACCAATTTCAGTTCTTTAAAATATTTTCTGAACTTTTCATTTCCGGTTTTTATACTTGGCAGAAGTAATAATAATAGTAATAATAAAATTTATAAATTTTGTGTTCTTCATTACCATAAACACATTCAGGAATATTTCTGTGATGTAAACCGGAAATAGCAAATAGCAAAGAACGGAATGTGATAATTGTTGCAAGGATATAAATATTAAATTCAAATATTTATTATTATTATTATTGCATGCATGCAGCAATTATTCAAAACTATTTACAATTTGACCTATTATTTCAATACATTTCGGAAATTTTCAAAAAAAAAAAAAAATAAATTTTTCAGTTGAAAAATATTTTTTCTAAAATTCAACTATTTAACATTTAATATAAAATAAAATAAAAGATAATCTTTTCTATACTTTCAATAAATTTCATCATATTTTTTACTTTTTGATATTTTAAATTAAATATTTTTCGCTGTCTATTATATGTATAATTTTATGGATATTTTATTTTTTGTTTAAATTATTTTTTAAGATTTTTTTTTTTTTTTTTTAAATTATTTTTGAAATTATTATTAATGTTATTTCATAAAGAAAAAAAAAAAAAAAAAAAAAGAAAATTCTGCCAAATTTCATTTGTTAGTTTTATTTTTATTTAGTTGACTGAACAGTGATGAACTAATCAAAATGATTGAAATGGGAAGTTTGGCCTTCCAGAAGATTCATCCTAATGATGCTTTTCCTAAAATGCATTCAATTTGAAATTGAATTGAAAAACCCTTCCATATTATTTATTACTTTTTTTTTTTTTTGTTTGTTTTCTTTTCTTTTCCTTGTCATTCGTTTGAGAAAATTCATTAATAAGAAAATATTTTCTAATATTCTTTTTTTTTTTTTTTTTTTTTTTTTTTATGACTAAATTTTTATTGCATTTAAATAATAATTCTTATTTTGTTAGAATAAATATATTATTGTTATTTTTTGAAATTTTTTTTATTTTTAGTTTCAAATTTAACCAATCAAAAATTTTGAATTAATAAATAAAATTAAACAATTAGATTTACTAGTTATTTCTAAAATGTTATTATTATTATTTAACATTGTAAAAGGAATTTTAGTATTTATTTATTTTCAAATGTATAAGTAAGAGTTAAAAAAGTAACTCATCTATTGCTTTGGTATTTTTTCTTTTTTTTTTTTTTTTAGATTTTAATAATGCGAAAAAATTGGTTCTTATAATTTGTGCTTGAAAAATAGGAAAAATATTTACGTTGTATTCAAAATTATATTTTGCTTTTTTTTTTTTTTTCTTTTTTTTGAAATAAAATTCAAATTTTTTTTTTTCTGAAAAAAAGTTAATTATTAATATAAACACAACTATCATTATTATATTTTTTTTTTTTTTTAAATTTATATTTTCGAAATAATATTTTCATTTTGTATTTTACATTTCAAATATTTTTTAACAATTTAAAAATTATCATTCCTTTTTTTTTTTTTTCTTTCATTCTTATCAATTTTTATTTAATTGCATGACTATTTCAAATTTTAAAAGTCATTTAATGATTAAATTTATGGATTATAGTTTATTAAACTATCATAAATGAGAAATGAGAAAATGATGAAAAATTTTTCTCATCAATTTTATTTAATATATTCTTCATTTATTTTATTTTAAAATTTAAAAAAAAAAAAAAAAAAAATTTGCTATTAAAATGATTACCTATTGGTATTGTTTGCATTTGAAATTATTCCTTTGCAAAAATAATAGAAAAAGAAAAGGAAAGGAATGTTTTCTAAAAGTATTCCCAAATCTGCACTTTAATACTAATTCAAAATAAAATAATTTTAGTTTTTAGAACGATGGTTTAGAAAGTGGAAAAAATGAAAAAATGGATTTTTAGCAACCAAAATTTCATTTCATCTTTCTTTTCTCTTTCCTCAATTTTAATTTCCACAAACTCTCATTTTCTTCTCTCTTTCTACCTTTTCTCGTCAACTTTTATCATTTAGCATTTGCACATGAGAAAATGCATTATCAGTAATTTAAAATTTCATTTTTAAGTTGAACTAAGAAGGATCGTTTATTTGCTAGCAATCTTTTTAAATTTAATACAAAATTTGGATGCTAAAATAACTTTTGCTTTTGCTTTTGCTTTCATTTTTTCTCTCCAAAAAATCTAATTTTTAAATTTAAATTACAATTAAATAAGTTTAGAAATGAGAAAATGCACTATCAGTAATTTAAAATTTCATTTTTAAGTTGAACTAAGAAGGATCGTTTATTTGCTAGCAATCTTTTTAAATTTAATACAAAATTTGGATGCTAAAATAACTTTTGCTTTTGCTTTTGCTTTCATTTTTTCTCTCCAAAAAATCTAATTTTTAAATTTAAATTACAATTAAATAAGTTTAGAAATGGAAGTTGACAATATCTGCTAGCATTGGTTCAGCTAAGATTAGTAATACTTTTAGCACCAGATAGTGGTATAGTTATTTCAGAAATGAAATAGATTAATTAAATTGTTAATTAGTTAGCTTGATAAGAATATATTATCATTGATTATGATATCATTTTGCTTAATTGATGATATTTTAACAAACATTCGAGTATGACAATACTTAAACTAGAAATATTAGAGTTAAAATAAAGTAAAATCTTTCTTTTTTTTTTTTTTTTTTCATACTTTTTTCATTTTTTGCAAATTTTTAATTTTCAGAAAACTCAAAATTAAATGCTATTCATCAGTAATCCATTATTATTAGAACGTGAAGTGAAATTGGAATTTGATGATAGTCACAACGATTTCAGAAAGAAATGTGATAAAACGGTTTGATTTTAACACTTTAAAAAAAAAAAAAAAATAACTAAAAAAAATTTTCTCTTTTCTTTATTTTGATTAGAAATATAAATTGACAATAATTAAAATAATTATTTACTCATCCATTTATTTTTCTCTTTTTAATTAATTTATTATTTGATAATTAAATAAATGACTTTATTACAATTTTTGTCTATTACAATTAATTTTATAATAAATGCATAAAATTTTAATTTCAATTATTTTTTTTTTTTTGAATTTATTTAAAATTTTAGTATATTGCTTATTTAATTCATTCATTTTTTTCTACTTTTGTTTGTTTATTTTACTTTTCACTTCTATGCTACATTTAATTCTCATCCATTTATCATTTTATCAAATTTTCAGAGACTTGTAATCAGCGGTTTATTTTTATATGTTTTAACCTCATTGTTTATCATTATCTTAAATTATCCGTTATCATTAACAGCAATTGCATTCCCTATTATTGTACTTATTTATACGATCGCTGTTTTAAGTGATAATCGGCGACGAGATTTGTGGCCAATCATTTTTATCACGGTTTCATTTTAAACATTTATAATTATAACAATGCAAAACAACTGATAATGATAATAGCTATATCAAATTTTGAAGGAAGAAAAATCTTATTTTGAATTTCTAAATAATATTTTATATTTTGAATTTCTATTCAAATCAAAAAGTAATATTTTAATATTTTTGAATAATATTTTGTATTTCGTTTGTTTTCTTTTTTAGAAATTCTATTCAATCAAAATGACTTTTTAATATTTCAATTAATTTACATAAAATGCAAATATTATAAATCTGAAATTTTAAATTTTTTATTTTTTTAAAATTTCAAAAAAAAAAAAAAAAAAAGTTTGTTCGAATAAATAAGAAATAATTTAACAATGAATAAAGGAAAATAATATTCAGTAAGCAAAATTAATTAAATTTACATATGAAATAGTAAGTGTAATAAAAGAAATGGAATAAAAGAATTTGATGAAAACAAAAAAATAACCTTTGACACTTTGATATATTAAAATCAGAAAATTAAAAAATTTCTAACAAACAAAATGAATTTTATCAAAATAACTTCATTGTGGAATAAATTCGTAAGATTTTTTCTGCATAATTAAAATTTGCTATGAAAAAAAAAAAAAAAGAAAACAATTGTAAAGAGAAATTACATTACAATAAGTGAAAAAGTTTTTTGATGAAATCAATTACAAAAATATTTTCATTAAATGAAACGATAAATTTAATATTATCCGATTTATTTTCTTCAGTTTTCCGGTTTCGTTCTGAAATTAATCACAATTACAATGTTTTTCATTATTTATCCGTTGCGAAATGATGAAAACACTCCGAAAATTATGGATGCACGCAAGAAACCGGGACTATTCGGTTGAATTTTCTTGATATTTAATAATTTTGCCTCATTTTAAATTTAATATTTAATTTAATGAATTGATTCAAGTTTTATTTAAACTCTAGCTTGATTACGTTTTTGATGATCCGATTTATGTTTCCGATTTCTGTGGGATATAGTTAAGACTTCCAAACTGGAAATATTCTAATGAAAAGTAGTAATATTTATTCATAAACAAAAGAGAAAAATTTATTTTAGCATTAAAATAATATTAATAAAATTTAAAATAAACACAATGATAGGTGAAAATTTTACTTATAAAATTTCAAATAATTGAAATATTAAATTTTTCCTCTAAAATATGTTTTACCAATACAAAATTTGTTTCAATGTTTAAATGAAAGAAATATAAATCATTGAGAAATTATAATTTCCTTTTTTCTTTTATTCTTTTAATTTTAAACTTTTTTAAACAAAATTTTAAATTTTAAACAAAATACTTAAATTTTAAGCAAAATTTTAAAATTTAAAATTTTTATTTTTTAAATTTTAATTTTAAGCATTATTTAATGCTTTTTTTTTTTTCAGGTTGGATAAGAGAAGAAGAAAAAAGATTATTTTTTGGAATTTTTTTTTTGATTGAATTTGTCTTATTAATAATAGCATGTTGTTTACATTGGTATTTCATTTCATTCTCTCATCATTCATCGACAAACACAACAATAACAGCAATGGGAAGATCGAGACGTAACTTACGTAGAAGTCATCGTGTTTAATGTTTGTAAAATATTTTAATTTAGCAAAATTCTAATTTACTTAGAAATGTTTCTGTTTTTTTTTTTTGTCATCTCACAACAAAGCAATGCATAATTTGTTGAATTTTATTTAAACAAATTTACTTATAATTTTAGCTTAGCAAGAAAAATAATCAACAAACTGGTCTAAAGTATATATAATAGACGAACTCGTAACCAATAAAGCTTAATTTACTTTTGGCTAACTTATCGATATATGACAGTGTACCGTGTAATCTAAAACATCCGGTAGACATGTTCTACCATACTGCAAAACGGATGTAAAATGAAGTGAAATTCCGGGCAAATGTTAGTCTTCCAGGAAAATTATGATAAATCAAAAGCTATAAAAAATGAGTTTAAATAAATTTGAAATTCATTATACATTTGATTCATTCAATTTTTCGTTACATTTTAAATACTTTTTGATTATTTTGATAGTATAAATAATGCAATGTTTCTATTGTAAGCTACTATTTTTTCTGTTGTGAATTGTTGAGATGAATGTCATAAGTGTCACTAGCAATTGTCACCACTACTAATTTATTTTCATGTATTCATGTAAATGAGCAAAAGCAAATAGCTAATTGCACCAACTATTGAACTTCCTTTATTAATTTATCTTATTTATCTCGCAAATGTGTAATTAAATCATTTCAGAAAGGAGAAAAAAAAAAGTGTATAATTACATAATGAAAGGATTGAAATGAAAAGGGAAAAGCCACATAGTGACAGTTTCGGAAAATGCAAAAGATTGACGAGTTGGTGACAACTGATCTCGAACAAAAACAAGCATCAATAATCGATCTGATAAGAGATGTGAACAACAGATGTGTATCTGTCTGTCGATGTTTGTGTGTGTGTGTGTGTGTGTGTGTGTGTGTGTGTGTGTGTGTGTGTGTGTGTGTGTGTGTGTGTGTGTGTGTGTGTGTGTGTGTGTATGTGTGTGTGTGTGTGTGTGTGTGTGTGTGTGTGTGTGTGTGTGTGTGTGTGTGTGTGTGTGTGTGTGTATGTGTGTGTGTGTGTATGTGTGTGTGTATGTGTGTGTGTGTGTGTATGTGTGATTTCAGCTAATAGTGCTTAATCGTAAAAAAGTGAAATGAAATGTCTAATTTATCACTGAGCGGAAATGTACAGCAGTGAATTGTTACTGATCGTTGGTGATAAGTAATACTGATCTGTCACTTACATTCTGATAAGATATTCCCGAAAATTCTATCCCTCTTTCTCGAGAAATTTAAATAAATAACCAATTCAGATTTTCATCAAACAATTCTATCGTTTTTTCATTGGAAAATTTATAACTAAAATTTCTCATCTGATTAAATCTCCTATCATTCAACTCATATTACATGTATTAAAATTTAAATCTAAATTTGATTTTCGAACTCAAAATTAAAAATAAATTTTTCATCCAAAATTTTTGAACAAAAAAAAAAAAAAAAAAAAAAAACGAAAGCAAAAATTACATCAATGTAATTTTATGATTAATTTGAAAAATAGAAATGCATGAAAGTGTTACATTTTAATAAAATTAAAATTGTAAAAATTGTTTTATCATTTTGCATTCAGATTTAATTAATTGATGGAAATGCTAAACTATAAGTGGAAGAAAAAGAAAGATGAAGCAAAGATTACAGGAATGAATTGAACAGATTGTATCCAATCATATTGAACAAAAAGAAAAAAATGATAATGGATTAGATGGTAATATTATTTAACAGTCCAATGATATAATTCTTTTATTTTTTGTCCATCAATTAGAAAAAAAAAAAACCTGTTTAAATGACATAAATTTGAAATGAGAGAGACTTGAAAGCGATGCAATTATTTCTATCTCTTATAGTTATTGGAATATGCAACTAAATTATCCATTTAAAAGTTACGTCTAAAATTTTAAGTCAATTTTAGCGTCATTTTTAAGTTTTAATTGTTAATTGTAGAGGATCGAATGTAATTTGTTTCTTTTAAAGTTTTAATTGGAAAAAATATTATACACTAAATTTCCGAGCAGTAACGATGATAAGGTATTATCATTCGAAAGCCTTCGAATGATAACAAATTGAATCAGTGAATCGATTGAATGATTAATTCTCATAACGAAGAAGAAGTGTTTGTGTTTACCTCTTTTGTTTGTTTATCTCTATTTACTTTTATGCTTTCATATCTTATTGTTTACCTGAACCATCTGCTACAACTAAATTGTCTACAAAAAGCATCTTTGTTAATTTTGGAGAAAGGTTTCTATGTTAATTTTATTTCCAAAAATTTTCTTTAAGGTACCTATTTCTGATACAGGTATTGTTGACTTGCATGAAATACGATTTATCGGTTTTTGTTTCTTTTCCAACAAACATTTCCTTCAAATATTCTCATTGAATTTTGAAAAAATGATACCTCTATTTTTCACCTTTTTTCGCTTATAATAGAAATTTATGTCTAAAATTTCTTAGGAAAATATTAAAACTTGAAATTTATTTCAAGTACTCAAATTCATTGCATGAATAATTCTCGAGTTTCTCGAGTCTCGTAAAAGAATCTATATCTATATATATATATATATATGTATTTGTGTGTATGGATAGTTTAAAATATATGATCATTGTTGGATAGAGAGTAGAACAGATGATGAGATGAAAGTAACAGATGGATCCGATCGGATTGGATTGGATCGGATCGGATCATTCATTCATCCAATCTACTCAATGATTATTTATTTCAGTATCATCTTGTCCCATCCAGTTGAGCCTAGTCCTATTAGCCTAGTGATTAATTACTGTGAGACTGCATGGAGCGAATACTTTGCCAACAAAAGCCATTTCTAAGCTGTTAATTCCAAAAAAAAAAAAAAAAAAAAAAAAAGAAAAATGATTTGCTTTTTCCATTCTGTCGTTAATTCTATCTCTTCCATTCTCTCTCTTTCCCTCTCCTTCCCTCTCTCTCTCTCTCTCTCTCTCTCTCTCTCTTTCAACAGGCTTTGATAGCTAAAAGCAAATTTCAAAAAGCGTCATACATTTATTTTACTTTATTGAAATAGACGAGAAGAGCGCGATGAAATCGAAATTTCTTTAAAAGGAAATTTCAATTCCATCCTTCTTCATCTCCCTACCTTTACCCATATTTTCTTCCGATGAAAATTTGAATCTTTTTCACAAATTTCCATATAATGCTCAGTTTGCATTCATCAATGAGAGTAAACTGCTTCTTTGTTTAGTATTGTTATGAGTTTGATTGAATTCAAATTGTCATTGCTTTGTTCTGTCCTTTAGCGCCCATTTCTCAATCTGTCCACCTCTACTCTGTCACAAAAGAAGCCGCCATTTCATTCAATATGTGCAGCTTGTCTAAGCTATAAATGTTAATTTATTATATATCAAATATTTGTGAAATTTATCATCGCAAATCCAAACAAAATATCGCTTATCATTTTATCATTACTAATATCAATTAACCTTATTTTGCTAATCTGGCGGCTATGCTTTATTGTCTCTTTTTGTTTTCTTTGGTGATAATACTTTTGTTGAATACACTCATCTATCAGTGAATACACACAAAAAAAAAAGATAATTTCACTGTAAATAATTAAGCCATTTATGAATTTTACGCTACGTGAGAATCATTCGAAAACAATTTCAGTACACGTAGATTTGATGAAAGTAATTTGAAATTCTAACAAATAGCTTTTTCATTGTGTGATTTGTGTGGAAGAGGAAGAGGAAGAAGAAGAACAGTGTGGCGTTGTCGTCACAGTCACCATCAGAACAGTTGCCCATCATTCATTTACCCATTTATTATAATCTCATCATCGGGTAAGGCTGTCTGGTATTGGGAAGTCATTGCCCCTACGATACCATCAATAACTGTGCAAGCCTTAAAAATAGCCCAATATCCTTATCGATCTCATTTCGTATATCGCTTATTTGGCTATGCAAATAGAAATTTTAAAATGGAAATTTGAATTTTCATCACTGACATGATTAGTAGTCATTCTGCATAGTTACCACATATCTTGACAAGAATTCAATTTGTGCATTTTAAATTTTCAAATACTTAATCATGACAATTTCTCTTGTCCATTTTTCTCGAAATGAATGCAGCCCGACTTATTTTGATTTCAATTAAAGGCCTATGCTAACTCAGTTTGAAAAAAGATAGATGAAGTAACTTCCGAAAAGAATAAAATGAAATGTAAAGTGACAGAGAGAGAGAGAGAGAGAGGGAGAGGGAGAATGGCAAAATAGAGTATAGCAAACATTGCTAATCTTATTTTGTCATTTGTCGGAGCCTTTGAGTCAAAATTGTTGGCTTTGTCGCTCAGACACAAAAAAAATAAAGTAGAATTAAGGAATTGTCTTTAACGATTTTAGCCATTCTTTTTTATTCAATTCCTAAGAGTTATTGTCAATTTTTCAGCATACTCAGAGATACTTTATTGGGTATCGAAAGTTTTAGAAACTTTTAGATGATAATTAGCTGATAATTATGATAATTATCAGAAAGATCACTAACAAACAATCCTTTTTTGATCTTTCTCTCTCTTGAAGCTTCTATCATCACTCGTTGCTGACAGTGAGTGTTGATGATGATGTGGTGGCGGTGTTGGTAGTGCTGTGCTGTGGCGGTGTGCACTACTGGCGGTAAGTGCGCTGCTGGCGGTGATTGTGTGATGATAGCTGTAAAAGACAAAAACGGACTGAATGGATGGATGGATGGATAGATAAGTAGATGTGGAAGGGGCTATTTTTTTTTTTTATTTTACATTCCATAAATTCTTTGACATTTGAAAAGTTTAAATCATCAGTTAAATCCTTCTACTTCTCCCATGGCAGTCTCCCTCTCTCTCCCTCCCTCTCTCTCTCTCTCTCTCTCTGAAATCAAATGTTTCTTTGTTTCACTAAAATTTGCAGTATTTTATCATTTAGCAAATACATTTCAAATGTTTTCAAAAAAAAAAGTTCTACATTTACTAGGATATTTACTTC